GGGGGGGGGCTTTTTTTCTAGTTCCGCCACTGATACACATGACATGTTGTTGTGATTAGATTTAACTGAATTTTTTTTTTCAAAACCCGATCAGGCCAGAAATGAGTATCCTATGTTCGTATTGTGTGTTTATATATATATATATATATATATATATATATATATATATATATATATATATATATATATATATATATATATATATATACATATATGGGGGCCCAAAAAATTTTTTTGCGGGGTGGCCCATTTTTTCTGGTTCCGCCACTGGTCACCAGCTAGAGTTGAGCTAATACCCACAGTTACAAACTATGGCTAAAGTTGAGCTAATGCCCACAGTTACAAACTATGGCTAGAGTTGAGCTAATACCCACAGTTACAAACTATGGCTAGAGTTGAGCTAATGCCCACAGTTACAAACTATGGTTAGAGTTGAGCTAATGCCCACAGTTACAAACTATGGCTAGAGTTGAGCTTATGCCCACAGTTGCTAACTATGAATAGAGTTGAGCTAATACCCACAGTTACAAATACCGGATAAGCCCACAGCGACGAAATCCTGTCTTGGTTACCCCAAAAATGGTCCCAGAAATTGGGTGTGTTGTAATACATAAATTTGTGTGTGAAGTTGTTCTGGTGAAAGCACACAACGCACACCACTGGATGAGTGAGAAAAGGTAAAGTAAAAGAAGTTTCAACTGCCTGTATTTAGATCTCTTGACACTAGATAAAGAGTCTCTCAAACCACATAAATCAATGGTAAAATACTCTCACTACATAATCTCAACTGATCTGTGTTCCATTGAACTCTCTCAATGGGAAATTATAGATTGGTTGGAAATTGAATTTTTTTTATATGGATTATAGATAAGCTGGAAAAAAACTGTATTTTATAAGGATTATAGATTAGTTTAAACCTGATAGTATTTTTATATAGATTATAGATCGACTAAATATTGATCATGTTCAAATATAGAATGAACATCGGGTAAATATTGATTACGTTTTAATGTAAATTCTAGATTGGCAGTTGGTTTATATCACAATTTGATGACAACGATAATCATTTTGGAACATACAATTAGTACATTAAAAATATATAATTCGGATTGCCATATACTTCTCTAAATGTTTCCGATACTTAGGAGTATCGGTTTTTCGAATACTTAAACCTAAAAATGTTATCATTGAATGGAAGTTGAAACATGTATCACAAACATAATTGTACACACGATTTAGTCTTGATTGGTATTTTTAATAAAGTAGGAGTGATCTCCCCTAAACAACTAAGTTGGTCATAGATAAATATCATGGATAAATAGTCATAGATTGTATGTTACATACAATTCTATGTGTCATGGTAGTAAATCATGGATAGATCAGTGGCGTAGCTAGGTCGGGTGTCACCCGGTGCGGCACTTAATGGTGCCACCCCTCTCCCCAGAGGCGTAGCGACTCTTCCCGGGGAAAACTTTCAATTTTCGATTTGCACCCCCCCCAAACTTTCGATTTGCCCCCCCCCCCCCGACCTCAAATTTTTCTCTATATATTTTACTATTTTTGCCTTGGTGTCACCCCCCTAAATGGTGTCACCCGGTGCAGTCCACCCCCCCCCCCCCCCGCTACGCCTCTGGTATAGATCATACATGTATGTTTGGGCTTTATTATGAATATATGTGTAGTATGTTTGCCATATCGAATTAAGCTCTCAGATTAGGAAAAGCTTGTGTATAAAATCTCAATTACACTTTAAATAAGACACTCAGAAGCCGAAGTCCGCAAGAATCCATTGATGTGAAATGATGTAAAACAAAACAACGAAATCAATAAAAACCAACCAGACGTACAAAAATCAAGCATTACGGAATGCTGAATTGATTTGCTGCTCGATTCTAACATGGTCAATAGAAAGCAACTGACATTTCTATCTATTAACCCCCCCCCCCCCCAGTAGGGGATACTACATTGTTTTTGACCAAACAATCTGTTTCAATAGTTGGGACAAGTATCGAACATATTTAATAAACCTAGGCAGTAAAAAAAAATTAAAACTGTAACAAATGAATACAAATAAATCATATTTCAAAATAATGTTTATGAAAAAAAATTCTGACTCGAATAGTGAGAGGCGGGCAAATACGAATCGTTCAGCGGGCGCCATGGCGCCCGCGGGCACAGGGTTGGGAACCCCTGATCTATTGGCACAGCAGGGGCAAAAACTCTCTACAACAGTAGCTCGAGAACACAGACCAAGGAAAGCTCTCTGTATACAACAACACGAAATTTCGGGATTTCTCTCCCTTCCCATTCGTCTTATTTCAATAGTTATAAGACATTGGCGGTTTATATTGCGATGTAGGATTAAGTTTTTGGCGTAGAAGGTTTATCCTTTAGCTCAGACTAATCTTTGATTGTGTGTGTGTGTGTGTGTGTGTGTGTGTGTGTGTGTGTGTGTGTGTGTGTGTGTGTGTGTGTGTGTGTTAAGTTTCAGTTTCGGTTTGAAGTAAGGCTTATGTCAAGTACGTGCCTGTGTTTAGCTAGATTTTGTTTTCCAGTTTTTGGTTATGTCATACATGTGATTAAACAACTATTTTTAAGTTAAAAAATAATAAATTGTAAAAATAACAAAACAATAATATTTAAAAAGAAAAGCGTTAATAACTGAACCAGGTTTATATGATGAATGGTTTTATTTCTTCTGCGTTTGACGCATTTACCGATCGTCAATTGAATTGAAATACATTATTAACAATTTTATAATAAAATAATAATAATAATAAAATTAATATTGAAAGTGAGAGATAATAATTTTAGAATGGCATAATGATTTAACAAAGGGTGCAAAACATAAGTTAAATGCTTCGGCCTAATCACAATATATACCAGATATGTTAGAAAAATACTACATATTATGCACGTATATATAAGCTTTAATAACTATAATAACTTGCTACTTACATATTTATTATAAAAATAAAACTATAATTTTAGTACATTTCCGATTATCTACCATTTTACAGAATAAAGTACTAACAGACGAACAGCTTAAGTCGTAGTCTTTTTACTGGTTGTCTAAGTAACCGAATGCAGGTATTGGTAGAGATCGATAACTTGAAGAGTATCTTTAAGCTAGAAACTGAATGTACCGTGTGTGACCTACCTGTGGTAAGCGACACTTTCACCACTCAGCTTTACCATTCATGACAACATTAGCTAGCACTTCAGCACTTTATAGCTTTGCAAAAGGGAAATATTCACATCTTATAAAATAATACGCTGGCACATGTTTCTAAACGAAATTTTCCCCACAGATTAATTTATTTATTATACATCCTTTAACAATAAAATATACTTCTATGAACAAACTTCACAGGGTTTAAATACAATCTTAAAAGAAAACGTACATTTTAGTCAATTTAACTATTTTTTGCCGTATTACACACACTATTTTGAGAAAACTAATACCCTGATTTTTGGGAACAAATAAAAACAATTAAATGCAATCTTTACGATAAAAAAATAAAAACACCAGGGATAAGTAAAAAGTTGAGTTCCCAGTTACAAAGTAAAGTAACTCCCCACAATTAGCGACATACAGAGTGCCATTAGTAATGACAAACGCCAGTAGCGTAGCCAGGAATTGGTCATGGGAGGGGTTAAAAAATGTTTCCATACGTTTCCATAATATATATATATATATATATATATATATATATATATATATATATATATATATATATATATATATATATATATATATATATATATATATATATATATATATATATATATATATATATATATATATATATATATAGGGGTCTATGGGAGGGGTTATAACCCCCCCCCCCCTAACCACCCCCCCTTGCCTACGCCACTGACAAACGCTATCTGAACGCTGGGAAGCTCAAATATAATTTCTTGGCAAATGGGGGTCGTTAAAAAAAGACTTCATACTTTGATTGGCGATTTCATCTAACTTCCATATTATCACAAAAGTTCCAAACACTTCTAATATCACGTGACACATTAGCCTACCACCCCACTCCCTCCCAAACTGCAATTTTCGTTTTTTTTTTAATTTGTGTTTCCTAAAAACGTTAACAGAACTGCATTAACATTTTGTATTTTGATCGCTTTATTTTAATTCTCAAAATGTCTTGTAAAAAAAGCTACATAACAAATTTTGGTTTCAAAAGTAATTTTTTTAAAATTCAAAATTGTGACAACACACTTTCTGAACCCTCCAACTTTCAGCACAATAGTTCGAACCCTTCCCCCACCCCCCTTGTAGTGATCACTTAAGTTAGACCCCCCCCCCCTCCCCTAACACACAGAATCAGTATGGTTGCATTAAAAATTCTAGATACACATAAAGCAACAAAAAGGTACATTATGAGCGCTCTGTAAAGTGATACTAGAAAATTGAGCAGTAGCATTTGTTAAACTTTTTAGTTTAAAATAAACCGGGAGTGATCTCCCCTAAACTTTCTCGAATATTTTTATATAAAATAACAGGGGATGGGAACTCGGGCTATAGACATGATTTTTAATCCATTTTAAATACTTAAAGTTTTAAAAATAGAATAAAATCTCGTAGACAAATTAATTGCACACCAAGTGAACGCGAAATAAAAAAGCGCATAATAGTGCGCAATATTATTAGTACTTTTAAAATTTACATTAGTTTTTTGAGAAATCGGAAGTAGCGTAAATTACTACTTCCGGTCAACAGAAATTACTCAAAATTTAACAGAAGGTAGAGAATTAGATCTTTTACTTACATGTGAAATTTCATTTATCTATCTGAAATAGTACTCAAGTTATAGGCTTTTGAAAAATTCAAAGTAGGAAAAGTACCACTTCCGGTTATCGGAAATCGCTCAAAAGTTGATACGGATCTACGATTTTGATACAATACTTATATATGAAATTTCATCAACCTAGCTGTAACGGTACTCAAGTTATCGTGTTTACACACGGACAGACACACACACGGACAGACACACACACACACAGACATACGGACAAGATTGCAAAATTATGTTTTTCCGTATCAGTGAGGTGTAAAACGTCGAGATTTGTAAAAATCTCGATTTTTTTTTTGCACGATTACAATACTTTCTCTATACTACGTATATACGAGAAAGTAAAAAGGTCATCGTGGTTTATAAGCAGTCGTCATACGTGCACTCATCAGAACTTTCATCTACTGCTCTGTCATGGTTATCCGCCTGACTATACCTCTGATCCTCATCGTTGTATTGTACACTCTGGCTGTACAGGTCATTGTAATCAATCTCGTTGTAGAAAGACGAATCAGCTGCAGCATACCAAGTCGTCGAACCAGACGACATGGCAATGACTGTTTGGTCTAGTGAATCGTTGGCGCTTGAATAGGTTTCATTATACTGATCGTAATCGTTGGGAGTTACTGGACGTGTCACTTGCTGTGAGATCGTGTCAGTTTTCGGTGTTCCTGTAGGAGGTTCGCTCTTTGGCTTCTTCACGAAAATCCTCTGTATCTTCCTTACTTTCGATTCCTTTCCTTTTCTGGTTTGTAGTTGTGGTAGCGCGACAGGATCGTGAATCAATTCTTTCACCCTCAACACTTGAGGTGGATAAACAACATGGATAGGAGCTAAATACTCATCTTCGCCTTCCGGCTGTCTTCTCGGCATCACACGTGACGATGTTGTCCTGGAGCTTTGTGGTGACGATGTTGTGCTGGAGCTTTGTGGTGACGATGTTGTGCTGGAGCTTTGTGTATGTTTTGGTCGTGGTTTACTCGGCATCGCTAGGTTTGGTCTAGTTTTATGCTGATGAGAACTGGGCTTAACTACGTCACTCGTCAACGACTCACCTGAAGAATCTGAAGGATTTAAGATATCCATGTATACGGGGATATTGGAATTGTTGGGCTGTGCAACATGACAGTTCACAGAATCTAAGGTGTTGAGAATTTCACTGTTTGAATTGGAGTTTGAAGAGATGGCTTTAGCTGAGTGACTCGTCGAAGAGCCGTCGGATGAATCAGAAGGGTTCAAAATTTCAATTGAATTGCTGGAATTACGTGATGGACCTTTCAAGGAGCCGTCTGAGGAATCCGACGGGTTCAGGATCTCCATGTATGACCTTGCTGACTGTGATGATGCAAGGGAAGAACTGTTCGTGCTTGACATGCTATCACAGCTTCCATTTATTACAGTATGATTTACATTTGACAGATTTTGATGCAACGCATAGTTGGTGCATTTGATCATAACACAAGTGTCCTGTTCGCTTTGTCCATTATTTGGGTTGAAGGTAGATAACTCGCTGAAAACAAAATCAATTTATCAAATATTACATCACTATTTATTCAGCTTCACGAAAACATTTCTTAACAATAAAGTGCCTGTAATTTCCTCCAATGTTGAACTTAATTGTTTCAATAGACTTAACGAACAGTTTTTTCATTGTTAGCATGCAAAAATAAAATATTTAAAATATCGCTTCATGTTGATTCGTAGGACAATGGACGAACCCTCAAAAATGGAACTTGGTTAGCATACAAGAACATTAAATAAACAGATCGTGGATGGGCCATGTATCGTGATCCCTCTCTCTCTTTGCATAGACCAAACAATACTAAGCTTCTCGTTTGGTTTCAGCTTCGGATGCAGAACATGATTTACGAAAGCCAGAAATGCTAATCCTATTGCCTAAGTGCAACCATAAGCCTAACAAAAAACAATAAAAAAAAATTAATAAAAAAGCGTATTTATTGTATGTCCTCAACACTTCCTTCATCGTAGAAAGCGTTAAATAATTTTCCAAAATATCCAGCCTTACAGTAGAATTATTAGAAAACTCACCTTAAAATCTGTGTCAATGTTGGTCTGTTGTCAGGGTTCACGTCTAAACAACGTCTCATCAAATCTGTTGGACACCACAGCTTGTGTTTCAGTAGGTCTGTGCTGTTTTCACTTTCCTGATGTGTTCGAATTTTAGATTAGGATCATATTAAAACAAAAAAAATAACAAAAAACAAACATATACCCTAATTTGCTGTTACAAAATTGTAGAAACAATAAGATACTTTTATAAAAATAATCAACAGAACAATACACTATCGGTGTAACGAGATGCCATCCGTAGTGTTATGTAAGAATATTCGAGAAAGTTTAGGGGAGATCACTCCCGGTTTTTTTTTTATTTATTGAAAATGAAATGTAACAACAAATTTGCCATTAATTTTAGTTTAAAAACGAATCTAGATGCCACAGTGAATCAAGTAGTACCCCTGAATCAATATGCACTACACCTAGCCATCGGACCCATGTGCTCAGGTAGCGGCTGGAAGACTCGGGGCGCTCAACCGTACACCACTACCGGGACGCCCCATGTTCAATTCAGTCAAACATTTAAGTAGCCCACCGGGTGGGGTGGACACTGGTAAAAGTATATATTTTCTATAAAAATCCTTTTCCGTCGGGGGTAGGGAGGGGTAACTGTGTTTCGGGTGATGGGTTTTTTTTTTTGGGGGGGGGGGGGTGGGTGGGTTAGTTTGTAGCGGCTACGTACGATGGTGTGTTGTGTAAAGATAAAAAGAACAAGAGAAATAAATGTTGAACATTGCCTAAAGACGTGTTTGTTGAATGAGAGGTCGAGCGTAATACAATGGAAGGCACATGATTACATAACAGACATGTCACTGTATTATTTTAGTATGTGTGATCAGTCCACTAGACATTTGCAAATCTTACAAAGTAATCTAACTTGATGTAAGTTACTAAATGGTAGTGTTTATTAGAGAGAAAGCTATGTCGAGCAAAATGAAAAAGGAAGTTGTTGGACGAATATATACAAATTTTGAATTCACATGTATAACGGAATTTGATGGGAGTCAGGGTCCTAACTGCAAGAGTTGCCATGTAAAGTTGAGCTATGCTATTCTAGCACCGACAAAACTAAGAGAATACTTCCTTAAGCTGCATGATGATAGAAAATACAAGAACACAATGCACGCTGAAATTAAGGTGTCTAATAGGCAACAGAAGAAGTCACACTGATTTGTAGTAAATATTCCTTAGTATGTTATTGGTCATTATTTTTGTGTGTGGTGGAAATAATATTTTTATGGTTTTGTTCTTTGAACACAGTAATGCCAGTGCACGATTAATTTAGTGCACCATTAAAATTATTATAGACCTACTTATGTTTTGACTTTGAAAAAAAATCTTATTATTTTTTTTTCTGTTAAGAAGGATTGGGTGAATGCAATTATGAAGGTGTTAAGAAATACTGATATAGATAAGTACTTTGGAGTGAGAAAATTTCTATTTAAGCGTTACCAAAATGTCAGCCATTGATTCGTATTGCAGCTCATGCAAGTCTACAGGATTATCGATGTACATGAACCGTACGACGTCACACATGAACCTGCCCAGTAGGTAGATATCAAATGCTGGGGTGTAGCAGTAGTTATAGCCCTTCGATTCAGGGGGCGCCCTGAATACAGACAAGGAATTAGCGCTGTAATCACATTTCTTTCCATAACATATTTGTGGTTTTCTTTAGTTAGAGATTAAACATTGTTAAGTCAACATACAGGATCATAAAGAAAAATTGTACTCCACAATAAAAAATAAGCTACAATCTTTACCTGATACTTTGAACCGAATCAATGTCCACGTTATTAAAATTGCAACTCTTTTGACTTCCAATTTTGTTTAGATGTGAAAGTGATACTGGGCAAACCTATTCCAAAATCAAATTCGATGAAAAAATTATCAAATTAAATTTGTTCAAAATACATCTAAAACTCACAAGTCAATCTAATGAGGTGAAAAGCTGTCTTTGGAATTGAACGTGAACTATCGAATGTGGCGTTTAAATGTAAATCATGATGAAATCAACAAATATTATGCGACATATCGCTTATAAGGTTACACCAGGGGTCGGCAACCTTTTGAAGCGGAAGAGCCAAAAGTTACAATTTTCAAAATTTCCCTGGTTTTAAAGAGCCACTAACATTTTTTTTTATTTCAAATATTTTATTTTTTTATTAAGATTCTCAATGTTTGTGCAAAGAGCTGGAGAGCCGCATCTTGATATCAAAAGAGCCGCATGCGGCTCGCGAGCCGCAGGTTGCCGACCCCTGGGTTACACAATCAAACAACTCTTTTGAAATGTGCATGATCACGCCAGAAGCTAAAATTTTAGCTAGCTGCATTTTACCGTAACATCTCCGCCGCTGTCCCCTGTAAAAATCCTGGAACACCTGACGTCGCCTAAAATAAAACCGAGATGGTGAAATTTTTGGAGCAGCTCAGCCACTTTAATAAACAGTGTCATACAGCGCTCCCTTGTTGTTATATTTCTCTTGTGCATTATAATTTCTAGAAGACTCTCCTTGCAAGACACTGGTAAATATATTTCCTGGAATAGTTGGAATATATATATATATATATATATATATATATATATATATATATATGTGTGTGTGTGTGTATATATATATATATATATATATATATATATATATATATATATATATATATGTGTGTGTGTGTGTGTGTATATATATATATATATATATATATATATATATATATATATATATATATATATATATATATATATATAGTGATAGGTAATAGTATTTAGGATGATTTTTATAAACGAGAAAAGGTTTATCAAATTAAACAAAATATCATGAAAATTGTAATTAGCCAGAAAAAAAAGTTAAAACAAATTAGACAGCGTAGGTGGGCTTGCCAAAGTTGCGATAACCCTACCACATAAGGTGGACAAAACTAGAAGACAAGAACAGCACATCTATTGATGGAGGACTATGAAGACATGCTTATAATATAGGTGGATGCCCTAAAGGAGAAGATGTTCGCTCTCCGTGGATAATATAACTTTGGTACATGTGCATTTTAAACGATTGAGGAAAAATGTTGAAGTGCAGTAATTTTTACTTTCTCGTATATACGAAGTATAGAGAAAGTCTTGTAATCGTGCACAAAAATCACATTAAATTTGGACAGTTTTCACCGTTTTACTCCTCAGTCCTTCATCACATCCGGGATATAGAAGACTTATTTTAATCGGGCAAAAATCATAAACTCAGATATATAAAAATTTTGGCGTTTTATGCGTAATGGAGTTGGAAAAACTGGATTATCCAATTCTGTCCGTGTGTGTGTCCGTGTGTAAACACGATAACTTGAGTACCGTTACAGCTAGGTTGATGAAATTTCATATATAAGTATTTTATCATAATCGTAGATCCGTATCAACTTTTGAGCGATTTCCGATAACCGGAAGTGGTACTTTTTCTACTTTGAATTTTTCAAAAGCCTATAACTTGAGTTTTATTTCAGATAGATAAATGAAATTTGATATGTAAGTAGATCTAATTCTCTACCTTCTGTCAAATTTTGAGTAATTTCCGTTTATCGGAAGTACTTATTTACGCTACTTCCGATTTCTCAAAAATGCATGTAAATTTATAAAGTACTAATAATATTGCGCACTATTATGCACATCTTTATTTAGCGTTCACTTGGTGTGCATTTTTTTTTCTACGAGATTATATTCTATTTTTAAAAATTTGAGTATTTAAAATGGATTAAAAATCTAAATCTATAATGGGCCACGTTCGCACCTTTCTCTCTCTCTCTCTCTCTCTCTCTCTCTCTCTCTCTCTCTCTCTCTCTCTCTCTCTCTGTCTGTCCGCAAAATATTTTCGCCGGACATCACATCAGAATCTACAGCGATATATCGAGAACTTTATACGGACTTTTGTTGAAAATAATATGGTAGATGTTTTAAATGTATAACCACAATTTTATTTAAAGAAGAAAAATAAAAAATAAAGGCGTATTCGAATGTAGAGAAACAGTATTATTTATGCAACCGGAAAAGCATTTATAGATGTGAAAAAGAACGCATAAAACTGTGACGTCACTAATGTTTATACATTAACTAATGACGTCATCTGCCGTGTTTAGAATAAAAAGAAATGAACTATTTCATTCAATTTGATTTAGATCTACGTACACTATGAAATGTACACAATACAATTTTTCCGGCCTAAACTCATAAAATTTATTTTATTTATTTGGATTCTAGATCTAGAGATTCTAGATCTAGACTAGATCTAAATCTACAAATCTACGCTAGATTAGATCGAGACGTAGACGCTAAGATCTAGATTTAGACTCTAACTTCTCTAGAATCTATTCCAAAAATAAATTTCTATATTAGGACTAAACTATTTCAAGACATAATTATTTTATACAAAGTCTTTGTTTGGAACTGGCTAATTTGGGATAAAAAAAATTAATTTGAAAGAATAGGCATATTCGCGTAAGTTAAGATTTTAAAATACGTCTTTTATTCTCCGTTTTTTCTTAGGGGCCTATATAGCGGAGATGATAGTGTACCTAAACTCACGCAGGTGGTGAGGGTTCGAGACGCACCAAGTCAACTTGATAAATCTATTTTTTTTTATTTTGCTCGGACTAAACTTAAAAAAAAATTCTATTAGGATTCTAGATCTAGATGATCTAAAAACTAGACTTACACAGATGTAGACCCTACCTAGATCTAGAATCTATTCAAACAATACATTTCTATACTAAAGTATTTCAGGCCTTAATTACTTTATTGAAATCTTTGTTTATCTTTGCAATTTGCTAATCTCAATAATATATAAAGCAAAGTTGTCGGGTGTCCGATAGGGCACTTCCCGGTGCCGCAGGCGCTTCAAATTTGGCAGGATCTTGCCTTGGGGCGACAGAACACGAGGGCTGGTTGGCCGAAAAGTCTACGATGAGGGGGTCAAAACTGACCTCGACTGACCGGCGCCTTATATGAGCTATAAATCGAAAAAAATTTGTCCACGTAGGAACCTCTTCATAACTCCTGAGGTCGTAGACCGACCCTCGGGCGAATTAATTAAGCATTCAAATTCTCAATGTTTTCGAAAGCCTAAGCGAAGCTGGGCAGCATGTCTAGTCATGTCTAGAAGTCTATATCCCGAGTTGCCATCCCCCGTAGTGTTATATTAGAATATTCGAGAAAGTTTAGGGGAGATCACTCCCGGTTTATTTTTTACGCTACTAAAAATATTGCATAATTAATATAGTTCTTACTTCAGGAAGGTGGCCCCTATTAGAAGAATGTTGGCATAGAATAAATAGAGTCTGACATAAGGCACAAAACTTATAGTTCGAGATATTAATACGTGCAACAATGTAAGCCCAGTATTATAATTCATTTTTCCATCTTCCAAATTTTAATTGTTTTAAATATCAATAGACAAGGACAAACACAACTTACTATGCTCTGTTTGTCTTGCTTCAATATATTTTTATGTAAAAATATGTCGATTCTCGGCAAAATGGATTCAAGTTTTCCACTTTCTAATATGTGCCTAATTTCATCTGTCAGATTGAATTGGAGCGTCTCCCGTGACATTAGTATCTTGTCCTGTTAGAGACAGCAATGAAGTTAATGACATTAGTATCTTGTCCTGTTATGGACAGCAATGAAGTTAACGACATTAGTATCTTGTCCTGTTAGAGACAGCAATGAAGTTAATGACATTAGTATCTTGTCCTGTTAGAGACAGCAATGAAGTTAATGACATTAGTATCTTGTCCTGTTATGGACAGCAATGAAGTTAATGACATTAGTATCTTGTCCTGTTAGAGACAGCAATGAAGTTAATGACATACTTAAATATCGAGAGTATAATACTACAGGATCAAGGTCGCTGCCCAAAAAGTCTTTCATTATAAAATCTAGATGTTGACCCAGTTCATAATTTAAAATAGTTTTGTTCAATTGTGAATCAACTTGTGTTACAACGTTTTAATTCCAGAACATTTGAATGTATACTATAAGCCGCTAGGTAGTATGTCAGTCACTAATTGGTATAGCTGGTATTTGTTATCGTGGAAGCTGGAGAATGTTGTCTTTATCTCATAGACATCTCTTTATTTAGTTGTTGAGCATCATTTCACCTCTTGTCACTATAGTGTCATTTAATAATGCAGTGATTTGTAAACACCGTGTTAAGTTGAGAGCAAATAATGACATGCCTTGAATGCATCGCTTCGTCTTGTTACAACCAATGGGTTGGAATATATAATGTACCGCCTTAATTGTTTTCGGTTCTCGGCAAAACTTACTTCTTTTCGCATTCGTCATCAAAACAACATAAAGAAATTATTATATATATGCACATTGTTTAAATATAATAAACTGCTAAATCCCAGCTTAGAATGGTAAAATAATTGTGAGAAATATTAATAGCAATAGAGTGAATAAAAAAAATAAAACTTTTTATTTCTATGGCAGAGGAGGTGATTTAAAGTTTATTTTTTTTCTACAATCTTTTCTCTCATTTCTTACCGCATTTGTTTTAAGGGTCTTAATTTGAATAGTTCTAGGTTAGGATTAATTATTTTGTTTTCCGCTTAGGTCTAGGAGGTGCAGAGTTATTTTTAAAAGTAAGTAATCTGCTGCTAGTTTATATTTTCTTTATTTACATTTCTTCTCTTTTCCTGCCCCATTTATTACTGTTACATTAAATAAAGCAATGCGACGAAAGGTTAAGACTTTTTATCCAGTAAATAAATACGTAATTGTTTTTAAAAATTCTGCCGATTTTGCTGTTAGTATGAGCGCGATGGTTACAAAAGATGTAAGAGATGATTAGGATTAATAAAATGATTAGAGTTTTGTGGCTACACCAGCATGAAAAACACTTCATCGAACAACCGTTTAGATATCATTTGGTCTAATCTGTTATGAACGGTAAATATATCGCCATCTTTTTATATAACTCCTGAAACAGCTCCATCGTATGTCGACAAAATTTGGTGATCCGAAATAACAAGTGAGACACCTACGATATGTGGTTGTGGTTATGACAACAAAAGTACCTTGGTATAAATGTTTAGGTAGTTGCTCAATGTTGCCTTAAGTTCTCTCTTTATTTCAGTTGGATTGCTACAGTCTGAAATACACATTATATAACATATTTAGGGATTATATATATATATATATATATATATATATATATATATATATATATATATATATATATATATATATATATATAAATAAATAAATATATATATATATATATATATATATATATATATATATATATATATATATATATATATATATATATATATATATATATATATATGTATATGTTTCTTTTTTTTCCTGTCAAATAACTAATGGAAAAAATACAAATGTGCACTTTGTGTACTTACAGTTATTAGACTGGTCTCCCTGATAAGAATATAAACAAAAATAATGTCTTAAAATAATAGTTGCGCTTATGTGAACATAAAATGAATATAAATTGTAATCCATTTTTTAAAAAAATAATTTTAAACTAGACTTTATGTTAAGTAAGCTAAGTTTACATAACTACTAAGTAATGAAATTTAACAATTTTGTGGATTTGATCCCATTAGAAATGAGATGACTTGATCTAAAATACATGAAAAGAAAAATTGAAATAAAATTATTGAGCCATAGTGCTCACGGGATAGCCCGGGGCGCCAAAGCACTTTTCTGGGGCGCCGGTGGATGCGCCTGATTCAATTTATTGAACGACTAATAATGCCCCATTTCATCCATATTCTATCGCACTGTTTAAAAAGAACGTAAGCTCCATAGTGCTCAAGGAATGTAGGCCAATTGTGATGGTGCTTTACAATAACTGAAGAGCTTACCGTTTTAAACAAGAAAGAAGAGCGACGTTTGATCAGCTCAGCGTCTTTTAAACTTGATCTTTCGCTTGTCTCGTTTTCTGTAAAATAATGTGTGATATCGACAATTATGGCCAATTAAGAATTTTATTAAATGCAATAATAATTATACAGATTTTAATTTGAAACCACACTTATACCATAAATGAACCATATTTTGAGAATTATTACTTTGAGCAGCTTCTACTGAGATACTTTAAAAGTGCTTGATTGTTTGATTAACTTAGTTGTTACTACACAATTCGTATACCTTTATTATTACCCAACATTTGCAATTGTTTTAGCACCTCCTCCATGGATGGTCTACGTGTTGGGTCTGTTCGTGTGCAGTCTTCTATCAGTTTGTGAAGTTCTTCTTTCAAGTTTGTTTCTTTGCACAGCTTAATACTGCCATCACATATCTGTTCAGTTAAGAGTTTAAAGCAATATATTACAATAATATCTGGGCTTTTTAATCGACATCTATGAAATAATTATTTTAAGCAGATTTAACTTTTACTTTAACTAAATTTTGGACTTGTTTCTAAAAACACGTATATATTGTTATAATATCTGTTTATTGTTGAAACACAGGACTATAATTTTGTAGATATGATTTTGTTAAAGTTATAATAAGTAAGTATACATTATTACAACCTTATTAGCGCATTCCTGATCATCCATTTGGATATGTGAGTACGGTAGAAGTCCATGGTTCAACACTTCATACATCAGATGTGCAAACATCCACACATCAGACATCTTGGAAACTTTAAACCGTTTCAAGGTCTCTGGTGCTGACCATCTGGTTGGTATTTTGCTGGCGTCACCTGTTTTAAAATACAGAGATCTTTCTTTGTTAAGAAAATGTTTAAAATGTGAACTATCATACTTGATTTTCAAGATTTATTATTTTAATGATTTAATGCAAACTGTTTTAGGTATGTATCACTACCGTGTAACATAACTATCATACAATTTATTAACACCAGGTTAATTAAAATAATTTTGTTTGCTTAGTTCCTTTCTGATCAAGATATAATAGAATCCATTTATTAGTTACTGCAAAGTTCTAAAGCAATACCCAGTAGAACGTTACTGCATTCAAAACAAAGAATCTGTTTGTTATCTTTTTGTATATATTAATCCTTGAATCGACTTAAGTTAATCCATGTTGTTACAAAAGAACCTACCAAGCAGTTTTTCCCCATCTCCCTGTACAAATGTGGCGATGTAAAAGCCCCCAAGTTTCACACCATCTGCACCAATGAACACACTGGCTGCCGTCAGATTGGCGTGCACGAAGTCTTTTGAGTGGCAGAAGGTCAAGGCTTCAGCCACATGGATCAGAATGTCCAGAAGATATTTGTCTGGGTAAGGGTTTCCATTTTCCATTTTATTTTTCAAACACTCCTGAAACAAAAGTACTAAATTGTTATACAGAAAAAACATTATAGTAAGTTTAATAAAAGATGATTGTTAAAGTTTTCCTTAAACGACGCCTAATAAAAACATCTATTGAGGTCACTATCGTGACCATGTAAGCCCTAAATATCCAGTCAATGTCAGAAATGATAAAGACCAGGAGCTTCACAAAGGGGAGGGGGAGGAGTGAATGGGGAGGGGGGGGGGGGCGACCGCACCAGGTGATATTCGACCTAGTGACGCCACTGATAAAGTTCACTCATATACTCTAGGTACAGCGGTGCCTGGATCTGCTGATGTGTCCGCCGCATCACCCGACATTTGTCATCAAAATCTAAATACAGTTCTCACCTGCAGATTTTTGTGATGTTCCGTGATGTAGAAGAGTGGAATATTTTTATCTTGACAAGCCAAGATTTTGATAATTTTCTCGTGTTGCAGCTTGCCCAAACAGAACATTTGGTTCTTGTGTTGTTGGGTGTTGTTGGACCTCCTGAAGTTGATACAGTCAGAACTCCTGTGGCACTCCTCGGTCAGTTTGTGGACGTGAATGTCAACTACTGTACTCAAATACTGACCAGTTAGATGGAACCATTCTCCACTCGCTGAAGCGGCCTCCTAAACAATAGGTAATGATTAATAAATAGATCGCTTTTAATGATTGTTTTTAAAGCCACAACAACGGTAGAATCTATATTGTGAATTTTTGCTGGAAGTACCGTGGTTCGGTCGGTAAAATTGATGAATGCTAATTCGTGAAGTATCTAGTTCGAATACTATGTTTTAGTAGCTATAATATTTAAATTGTTTATTACTTTATTTTGTAAGTGCAAAGCCTAAGGCTGTTAACTTTGCTATTTAAAAAGCTCCCCTAATTGGAAAAAAAAACATTTCTTAAAAAAAAAATCCTTGCCAAATTTTTCTTGTCCACAACTAGGAGTGGTGCTAGTGACTGCTCTATTTCTTGGACAAGGTAAGCAGGTAAACGTTCATTGTACAGCTGTTTTCTCTTGAACAGGTCGATGAGGTTTTTGCGTATGGCCGGTGTCACCCCAAACATGTGTGACACAAGAACCATCTCCACCTGTGTATAGTAAAAAGTGACCATAAAAACTTACTTAGCTAGTCTCACATCAAATAACATTTATTGATTTCACAGTTAGCCTGTTTCTTCAAAGACATATTCATTGTAACTTTGTAAACGATACAATAATTTATTACTGTGTAGGCGAGTATATGTTTACTAGGTGTGGACATTATAACTACTTCATATTTATTTTAAATTAATTAAAATATGTGTTATTCCAACAGTAACGGTTGGAGGAAAAACATCTGCGACTACTTACGTAAATAAAATAAAAAACTTACTTCTGGAGGCATGTTTTGCTGTGGCAGGATTTCTATCAAATTAACCACACGTTCACACAACGCACTTATGTCGCTCTCTGTTGTTTCTCCTTTGACATAAAAAGATATTAAATTTTCTTTTGTTTTAATAAGGTTTCTAATAAATAATAGAGCAAGTATTCCGATACCATAATCGCTTCATCTATCTATCTATATATAAAGCAATGTGTGTGTGTGTTTGTGTTTGTCTGTTTCTTTGTCTTTTATGCATTACTACACATCTCATCATTGCCGTGAAACTTTGGGAGGTTGTTCAGAATATTTCTGGGGAGGTTTCTGCGAAAAAAATTGTTTCGGCCCCCAAAGGCTCACATGGGCCGCTGAGGGCCATGTAATGCGTTTTATTTTAATAATCAGAAAAATTAACCAAGGTTAGATTATTAACTGGGATGTTTCTTTTTGTCCGTAAAAAAATCCAAACAGTTTCGTCACTTTGCGAATGATGCAATTAGCATCTATTTTTAGACGATCCAACCAGAAATTGAGTTCGATCATCTAATAATAGACCATTAGTAACGCTAACACAATGCATCAGTCACACTGATGCTTAAAACACGTCAAATAATTTTTTGAAGTGTTAAAGAAAAAATCCTGTTCATTTGTGTCCCTTTATCGAATGGCGCAATCTGCATCATTGTTAACAGGATGCTATTTGGCACTTAGGGTTTTAAAAAATGTTACAAAATGTCACTTTCTACTTAGATGACGTAACAAAGCTAGTCATTTATTGCAATTATTAACACATGCCATTTCCTACTTAGTTGACACAAAAAGTGAGCCAGTCCTCGGAATATCAAGTCCACCACAGATACTGCTAAAGATTTTTTTCTTGAATTTTTCACACATTCCTCTAGAAATGTAATCATTTCCAGATCCATGCTGTAGAAAAGCTGAAATGAAACAAATCCCATTGCTAATTATATTTAATTGGTGGTTGGTTTTATTGTTTTCCTATATTGTAGAAACAACGTAGTTAGCTTGTGTTAAGCATTACCGTCTAGTTTATCTACTGGATTAAATTCAACTGGGTGAAAACAGAAGTGTTGAGAGTTCATAGCGAAAAGGATTTTCCGCATCAGATACACGGAACGACTATTTCAGAATTGGATCGCTGCACATATCTAGTTAGTGTAGTACGCAAGGATGGAGCAGCAGATGAGGACATTAAAAGCCGCATCAGCAAGGCCAGGTACACATTCAACACCCTTCACACAACCTGCATGTCAAGAGCACTGTCTTCCAATTTAAAAAAGTGGAAGAGATAGTGTGTTCAGAACTAGGCCCAGCCGCCTTTACTTTCCCTAACTCATGTCCATAACTTGACTTTTTCTATTTTCAATAGATAAACGAAGTTTCACAAATAAGTAAAATATCTAATTCTCTGCATTCTTTCAAATTTTGAGTAATTTCCGTTGATTGGAAGTAGTAATTTACGCTATTTCCAATTTCTAAAAAAAAAAGCGTTTGAATTTATAAAGCACTAATAATATTCCGCATAATTATACACAGATTGTTTGACGTTCACTTAGTGCGCATTTTTTTCTATGAGATTCTATTCTATTTTTTTTTAAAGTGTTAGTAATTAAAAATGTATTAAAAATCATGTCTTTATCCCGAGTTGCCATCCCCCATAGTGTTATATAAGAATATTCGAGAAAGCTTAGGGGAGATCACTATCGGTTTATTTAAAAACAAAAACTTAGGCTTGCCTGTTTTAAAGAGAGTAAAACTGCTACGAATTGAGTAGACGATTTTTTGCTTGATAAGACGGTATCTTGTTCTTTGAAACTTTTATTAAAACATTGTCGAGAAATATTTTCAATTTCATTATGGTTTAATCTATCCAATGAAAAAAGACCTTCTTCAATAATGTTTGCAAGTTTTCTATTTTTTGCAAAACGCCTGAAAAAAATAAAATTTTTGACAATTACACTTATTGATACATGTGTGGACAGTTACTAATTTGTAGCATAAAAAACTTTACTTATTTAATGATAATTATTTTAACACATTTATCGTATTGCAATTTTATTTTTAAATTGTGTAAAAAGACGCATTTAATTATACAAATTGAGTAGAAATTTGCAAAAGGTAGCATCCTTAAATATATGACACGTTGATGATTTAAAGTTTGATGCATTATTCATCTAAATTTTCTGTCGGTTATAGCATTAATATGTCTGTTATTTGTATTATTTTCAAACAATATTGTCAAATAACAAAAGAATATGCTTGGCGGATCTTCTAATCCGAGATTATAAAGAATTTACATAAACAAGAGGCTTGAACTTTGTTTTATTTTTTTGTTCGTAGAAAAAGCAACCAAATACAAACTAATTAGTTAAAACAAAAACAAGTATAAATAAACAATGAATAATTCAGTTTTTTACTGAACTATTTCAGGTCTTACATTTTAATATAAATATTTGTTGCTTAGCAATGGAATAGGCTAACTTAGGATATACATTAATTTAAATTAAGATTTGGCGTAATTTTACTTTACCGTTAAGAATGGTCTCGCTTTAAGAGAAGTACGTAATGGGGAGTACGTAAGTTAAGTAAAACATATTTTTACCAAAGTTATATGTGTCGTCCTGGCTGAAACGATATCTTGCTAAGCAACATGTTATGTTAGGGGTACGGAACCCATTCAGTCATAATATTTTTACCCCCCCCCCCCCCCCCTTACATGGTTAGTGGTAAATCCCGGCGCACGGCAATGGTTCTGATTCTTTTTATTATTTTTTGTTTCTAATAGGTTTAGGTTCCAAAATTTGATCATTCTTCGTTGGGATAAATAAGACAGATTCTACAATTAGAGAATACGGAGAAATTCAAGTTTGCATTCATGAAGTCTATAAAAAAAAGATAACATTGTCCAATGCGAAATAATTTTAAAAATAAAAATGTAATACCTCATCTCTACACCAAAGATTCCATTTTCATCGTTGCGTTGCGTATCTTTAGCATAGGAAGCTGTCTCTATTTGTAGCATGCAGATAATGTTGAACCATCTACGAATCAAACATTCGAGTTTCTCGTTTACTTGTGGCTTGTTGAACTGTACCCTAGTCAAAAAAAATGTTTTTTTGTTTTGTTTTGGAGATCTTTTCAAGTTATTTACAACACAACTATAGTTTGAAATAATTTAGTGCATTTATAAGTTTGTTTTTATTTTTTTATACTTATTTTTATTTTCTCCTTTATGGTATGTAAACCACAGTACAACTATGAGAATAATTTGACACTTCAAATAATTACAGTGTTACCTCGAGATATGAATGTGATTCGTTTCGTAACATTGATCGTAAATCAAATTTGTTCGATCTCAAACCAATTTTCTCCATTTAAATTATATGCAATGCCATCAATACGTTCCAGACCCCAAAATTCTAACCTAGTTGTTTTGTTTACGTATTATTTAATAAAAAAAAATCTATTTATATTTAACAAATGCTCTATAAAGCACGATAAAGGAAAACGTTAAGAAATAAACTTGTACATTCCATGGAACTCAGACTTGGGGTTACTGAAGATGCTGCCAGAGTTGCATGATGGAAGAGATATGCGGAGAACATTTATTTTGCTCTCCTATGTTAATGCTAAATTCGTTCGATCACTTTAATTCACTTACTCGTTACACTCTTAATGTTACAATTAATCTCTAAACTAAATGGAACTGTAATGAACATGATTGAACGTAAATGCTACTAGATAATTTATTATTACTTTTACTTAATTTTCGAAACTGTTAAGCAGGTTTATTTATTCCTCCCTTTCAGAATGTTAGTAAAAAAGTCAGACTGCGAGGTTCGATCAGTTGCAACGTTATCGGTGTGTTACGATCAGTTGCAACGTTATCGGTGTGTTTCGATCAGTAATCAGTTGCAACGTTATCGGTGTGTTTCGCCTCCATGAGCTGTTAAACCCGCGTATCCAGTTTTATATTATTAACTTCTACACCTCTTCTATCAGATGTTGGTAAACAACATTTGTGCACTTGCACAACTAACTGATCGAGTGACTTGTACCATCTAGTGATTGTCTTTTTGCTATTGGATATTATGCTAATCTTTCAAATTAAATTTTATGAACCATTTAAATGGTTAAATGAAAATTATCTAGGGAAATGCACTTATCTGCAAAGAAACATCTCAGCCAAACCAGCCAAGGGAAGGGGCAACTACTGATATCAGAGCATATAATAATCACTTTTTATCTGTATTATCTACCTTTTGTTTGCGAACGAATAGGCGCTAAGATTTGCATAGTCGAAAGTATGTTTTTTAGTGGCTACTTGTAATTTAAATAAGATACAGTGTTGTTAATACTAGACTCTCTATGTGTTTTAAATTCAATAGTTGACTTGTCTAAAATAAAATATTCATATAAACAGTAATATGTTAATGTTAGATTATAATGGTATACTGTTAAGTCGGTGAGTGATATGGGCTTGAGGTTCTCAGAAAATTCTAGACGTTATTTGTTATTCGCGAAAACCAATGATAGAATAAAATACTAATTAAGATTACATGAAAATCTCTCAAAAGTGAGTGATATCTACGTATGTAATACTTATATATAAAATATCGTCCACCAAACCGAAAAGGCACTCAAGTTGACGTGCTGACACACATATACACATACAGACAGGAGCGCAAAACTTTATTTTTTTCCGAATCAAGAAGGCGTAAAACGACGAGATTAGCAAAAATCGTGTTTCATTTGTTTGAACGATTACAATTCTTCCACACTTGGTCCATGTACAAAAAGGTATAACGGCGTGATCTCTAGAGCTCTAAATATAATCACAAAAACGAAAGAAGAAAAAATAGTACATGTTAACTTCTAGCAGAATTAAAATAATAATATGTAGAAATTCAAACGATAGATTGATGGATACATTACATGCTAGTTTTTTAAGTTTAAAGAAAGTGAGATTTTCTCAGAAAATATTGTTATTAATGTTAATACATAAAAATATTATCAAACGTCTATTGCAAAATGTTTTTGATTAATTGTCAAAAAATATTTTGCTAATTGCAAAATTATGTTTCTGATTAATTGTCAAAAAACATTTTACTAATTGCAAAATGTTTCTGATTAATCGTCAAAAGATATTTTACTAATTGCAAAATTATGTTTCTGATTAATTGTCAAAAAAAATTTACTAATTGCAAAATGTTTCTGATTAATTATAAAAAAATATTTTACTAATTGCAAAATTATGTTTCTGATCAATTGTCAAAAAACATTTTACTAATTGCAAAATGTTTCTGATTGATTGTCAAAAATATTTTACTAATTGCAAAATTATGTTTCTGATTAATTGTCAAAAATATTTTACTAATTGCAAAATTATGTTTCTGATTAATTGTCAAAATTTTTTTACTAATTCCAAAATGTTTCTGATTAATTGTCAAAAAAACATTTTACTAATTCCAAAATGTTTCTGATTAATTGTCAAAAAAACATTTTACTAATTGCAAAATGTTTCTGATTAATTGTCAAAAAACATTTTACTAATTGCAAAATGTTTCTGATTAATTGTCAAAAAACATTTTACTAATTTCAAAGTTAGTTCAAGGTCATGCTTGTCATATTTATCCTCAGTTGTAACTGATTACTTAGTATGTGCCAGTGCCAGGAGTATATGTAATCTTTGACCAAGTCAGTTAGTAAAAAGTATATCGATATGAGATTATCATGTACATAGCATAGTATACATTTTCAGCGTGTGTAAATAAATGCAAAGGGTCTATGATAATACCTTAATTCATAAAATGATTTTGCCAACAACTGCTGAGTGCGATCCTAAAATGTTTTAAGACACGTAAAAATTATTAAGCTATATTATAATTTAATAGTTTTTTTTTTTTGTCATTGTCCAATTAATTAATTTGTAATACAAAACTAATTAAATTATAAAGAATATTACAATTTCAAGACTGTTATTTATTCTTTGAATTAAAAACATCACATCTGTGTAATATAACAATTTTTGGCACAGCCAGAAGCACAGATCTATATTTTCGGATCTTAACCAGTAGGTTTTTCAAAAAAAGTTTATAGTAGCGATCCCGTCCCGCGCTCTGCTACGGGCTGATGCAAAACTTTAAGAAGATTATCAATGTCTTTTTAGACGCGTGATCTTGTTTTCTAAAACTTAATTTTTTAAATGTACAGAAAGCAGGCGCTATATTGCTTGGATCTGATTTGTTATGGCGCTGGTTTCTCTACGCTACCGCCCAGACGCCCAATAAAATTCTTGAGTCACCCTCCGCAGTAGTGAGGTAGGCCCTTTTAACCTTTGGCGACTGCCCATGTGTAAGAGGCTTCGTGTGGCGGTCAGAAGAGCCACAAATATTCACAATAATTCACCAAGAAGGAATGAAAAGCTAGGGACTTACCAACATATCAATGTCAACTTTGTGCTGTGTGATTCGCCCTTTGAAGAGGAGAAGCTCGAGTGTATCAAGAGCTCTACTCTGTATCAGGACATTCCCAGTGTTGGCGGCAATTAGAGCAATACAGTCAGTGGAGCAGTGTTGGCTTAACGCAGGTAACATCTGGGTTTTAACATAAATTAGAGCAATACAGTCAGTAGAATAGTGTTGGTTAAACGCAGGTAATATCTGGGTTTAACATCAGTAGTGGGGCTTATCTGCACAAGATCCCATTTAGCTAAAATAAGTATTCAGTTGTTTTTTTTAAATTCAAATTGACTTAAAATTACAAACACGTCTAAAATATAGTCTTACCTTCTGCACTACAAACATGGCATTTATTTTCAGGCTTTCTTGGTCAGTTTCTATCTTTTTTACAGCGCCAGCCAGTTCGGACATTGTAGTGATTCTGGAAACTTTAAATATAGTTTTTATAAATTAAAATCTTTCATATTAAGATTACAACATTCATGTGACAGTTATAATACTATAACAGTAGTGAAACAACGTGATTATTCGAAATGTAATTTTAAATAGTTGGAGATGATTTAGCAAGTACGCCTAGTATTTTATGAACGTGTTAAAGTGATCATTATGTTAGATCTATATGGAATCGACTACATTTCAAGTTTTAGCAATGGACTGTCTGATATCATTAATTGGATATCCCTACATAGATCTACTTCCAAGCATGACAATACAATGGCTTAACGTACGCATCTATTTATATTACTTAATCAACATACAATCAAACATGTTTGTCCGGGAGTCGAGCCTAGCCACAGTTTTGTTTTTGTTCGCAATGTTGCCTTTATAATGGACCAGACAACCGGCATTCATCTCCTTTTGGTGTACTAAGCACAAATCTCCAAACTTCAGCGAAATTTTAATGTCCTTGTACTGTGAAATCTGTGTGACAAAGTTATCTGTGACTTTTGGAGTTTTCAGAGAATTTGGTCTGAAAAATCTCAGGCTATGTGTGAAGTCTGGACTTTTATTCTCTGCCAGGTCAGCTACGTTTGGAACAATTGCCTGATTTGAATGTTGAGTTGTTTTCTCGGGTCTTCCGTCTGTCATTAGGCGTACGTCATTGCTGGAATTTTGAGTAGATGGAAGGGTTATTGCTTGGTGGACTCCGTGCCCCAATGAGATGACAGATGCAACATTACTGTGATGGGTATCCGTTGTTTGCCCACTGTTGACCAGAAAGTTGTTTAAAAACTCAGCGATGTTGCTGTCATTGGTTGCAGGGCAGATGGTGAGTTCATTGAAAAACTCCTCAAACTCAGATCCACCAGTTTCTGTTGTGTTTCCGTAATGGACGCAGTAAAGTTTGTCATCGTTGTCTAGGAGGTACTGGTCTAAACTGTGAAACTTTATCTGAAAATTAAACGTGTCTGTTTTGTCAAATGTACAAGTTTAAAACAAAGATTTGAGAAGCATAGCCTGTCACGTAACATAGTGCAACATAACCCAATCTCAGGGGCCTTTGCTTGTCTTAAATATTGAAATAAAAATGTATTATATGTTTGTCACATTGAAGTGCTTTTTTTATGCAATTCACATCACTATATTGCAACGGGCCATTGGTAGAGTGCTATTTTTAGACAGACTCAAATATTCAGTTTCCAATCTACTTATCTACTTAGTCCATATATATATATATATATATATATATATATATATATATATATATATATATATTTATTTATTTATTTATTTATAATAAATATACACGTACACGTACATATCCTGAGAGCTATAGGTATCATCCTTGTAAAGGCTAATGTTGATAATGAACATCTATTAGAAAGTAAAGTTACCTTGTTGTAAAATGCTGGGCACTTGTGCAGCACAATACATCGACAAGCATCGAACTGCTTTTTAAAGCTATGGGCATACCGCCCTCCTGTCGTTTTAAAAATTGAGTTGTATAACAAGTAAAATATCACGAATACAGAAGATGCAGCAAAAACAATAAATTAACATATGTAAATTAACATATCACTTCCATACATTGCACCATTCTAAAAATGTATCTATTACTTTCTTCAATCTTTTTTGAAACATTGCTAACATGACTTTTTAAAAAGAAGTTAGTAAACTTAAACAAAAAATAAAAATGTAATTCTAACAGTAAGTGTAAATAGTTTTCAAATAGTAATACATACAGTTGAAATTGTACGCTAGACTTTATATTATAAACTCTCCCCCACCGATTCCTACAAGAATGCTAATCTCATTTTGTAATCAGTTTTAAACCTACCCAACACTAAGACATGCAGTGCTAATTTAATTAAGTGCTAATGTAAACAAAAACAGAGCGGCACGAAGTCATACAGCAGTTTCAGTTAACCTAAATTTATTAAGGGGATATGCTGAGTTTATTTGTATTTTTTTTCAATTTAAGATCTAAAGCGTTTTGAATATGTTTTTGTTATGCACATGACATTTAGTAGTAAAAAGCAAAAACAGGGTCGAAAACAATTTTGGTTGTCATGGAAACCCGAAAAAAACTCCGCCATTTTGAAGTTTTTGGTACTTTTAAAAATGTTAAGGCTTTTTTTTTATTTATGCACTAATAGTAATCTAAATTTATACTGCTTATATTTCAGTGTATATTAAAACTTTTGTAACGACAACTTTTTGAAATATTAACTCATAAGAAAATATCGTACCCTTTTCAGTATTCGAAAGTTTCAAATTGTTCATGTTATTTACCGTAAACTTTTGACAAAAGCTTTATTTTGCATGAAGAGCGATTACTGAAAATATGGTGGCATCTATATATATAAAGCAAAGTGGTCGGGTGCCCGATAGGGCACTTCCCGGCGCCGCAGGCGCGTCAAATTTGGCACGATGTTGCCTTGGGGCGATAGAACACGAGGGCCGGTGACGGTTTGGCAAAAAGTCTACGGAGAGGGGGTCAAAACTGACCTCGACTGACCGGCGCCTTATATGGGCTATATTACGAAAAAAAAATTCCTGCGACGACCCCCCTTGATATTTTGTGTGGTGGTAGAAGAACACCTAGGGGTGTCATAAAAAACTCGGCATATCTGGGAAAACTTCGTAAAGCGGTCAAAACTGACCAGTTGTATTTCCCTATATAATCTTTGTATTTTATGGGAAAAACAGAAGGTCATTTCAACGCAGACTTTAGGGTACTTAAGCTCAGTATATCTGGCTAATTTTTTGCATGCTCCTAGGTCAATGGCTTGACCTTTAGGGAAAACTGTCGGTTACACTCAAAGCCCTCGACGAGGGCTAAAAAGTGACCGCGAGTGAAATTCTCTTTATATGAGCTCTATTACGAAAAAAATTTTCCTCCGACGACCCCCCTTGATATTTTGTGAGGTGGTAGAAGAACACCTAGGGGTGTCATAAAAAACTCGGCATATCTGGGAAAACTTCGTAAAGCGGTCAAAACTGACCAGTTGTATTTCCCTATATAATCTTTGTATTTTATGGGAAAAACAGAAGGTCATTTCAACGCAGACTTTAGGGTACTTAAGCTCAGTATATCTGGCTAATTTTTTGCATGCTCCTAGGTCAATGGCTTGACCTTTAGGGAAAACTGTCGGTTACACTCAAAGCCCTCGACGAGGGCTAAAAAGTGACCGCGAGTGAAATTCTCTTTATATGAGCTCTATTACGAAAAAAATTTTCCTCCGAAGACCCCCCTTGATATTTTGTGAGGTGGTAGAAGAACACCTAGGGGTGTCATAAAAAACTCGGCATATCTGGGAAAACTTCGTAAAGCGGTCAAAACTGACCAGTTGTATTTCCCTATATAATCTTTGTATTTTATGGGAAAAACAGAAGGTCATTTCAACGCAGACTTTAGGGTACTTAAGCTCAGTATATCTGGCTAATTTTTTGCATGCTCCTAGGTCAATGGCTTGAAATTTAGGGAAAACTGTCGGTTACACTCAAAGCCCTCGACGAGGGCTACAAAGTGACCGCGAGTGAAATTCTCTTTATATGAGCTCTATTACAAAAAAAAATTTCCTCCGACGACCCCCCTTGATATTTTGTGAGGTGGTAGAAGAACACCTAGGGGTGTCATAAAAAACTCGGCATATCTGGGATAACTTCGTAAAGCGGTCAAAACTGACCAGTTGTATTTCCCTATATAATCTTTGTATTTTATGGGAAAAACAGAAGGTCATTTCAACGCAGACTTTAGGGTACTTAAGCTCAGTATATCTGGCTAATTTTTTGCATGCTCCTAGGTCAATGGCTTGAAATTTAGGGAAAACTGTCGGTTACACTCAAAGCCCTCGACGAAGGCTACAAAGTGACCGCGAGTGAAATTCTCTTTATATGAGCTCTATTACGAAAAAAAATTTCCTCCGACGACCCCCCCTTGATATTTTGTGAGGTGGTAGAAGAACACCTAGGGGTGTCATAAAAAACTCGGCATATCTGGGAAAACTTCGTAAAGCGGTCAAAACTGACCAGTTGTATTTCCCTATATAATCTTTGTATTTTAAGGGAAAAACAGAAGGTCATTTCAACGCAGACTTTAGGGTACTTAAGCTCAGTATATCTGGCTAAGTTTTTGCATGCTCCTAGGACAATGGCTTGACCTTTAGGGAAAACTGTCGGTTACACTCAAAGCCCTCGACGAGGGCTAAAAAGTGACCGCGAGTGAAATTCTCTTTATATGAGCTCTATTACGAAAAAAAAATTCCTCCGACGACCCCCCTTGATATTTTGTGAGGTGGTAGAAGAACACCTAGGGGTGTCATAAAAAACTCGGCATATCTGGGAAAACTTCGTAAAGCGGTCAAAACTGACCAGTTGTATTTCCCTATATAATCTTTGTATTTTATGGGAAAAACAGAGGGTCATTTCAACGCAGACTTTAGGGTACTTAAGCTCAGTATATCTGGCTAAGTTTTTGCATGCTCCTAGGACAATGGCTTGACCTTTAGGGAAAACTGTCGGTTACACTCAAAACCCTCGACGAGGGCTAAAAAGTGACCGCGAGTGAAATTCTCTTTATATGAGCTCTATTACGAAAAAAAAATTCCTCCGACGACCCCCCTTGATATTTTGTGAGGTGGTAGAAGAACACCTTGGGGTGTCACAAAAAACTCGGCATATCTGGGAAAACTTCGTAAAGCGGTCAAAACTGACCAGTTGTATTTCCCTATATAATCTTTGTATTTTATGGGAAAAACAGAAGGTCATTTCAACGCAGACTTTAGGGTACTTAAGCTCAGTATATCTGGCTAATTTTTTGCATGCTCCTAGGTCAATGGCTTGACCTTTAGGGAAAACTGTCGGTTACACTCAAAGCCCTCGACGAGGGCTAAAAAGTGACCGCGAGTGAAATTCTCTTTATATGAGCTCTATTACGAAAAAAAATTTCCTCCGACGACCCCCCTTGATATTTTGTGAGGTGGTAGAAGAACACCTAGGGGTGTCATAAAAAACTCGGCATATCTGGAAAAACTTCGTAAAGCGGTCAAAACTGACCAGTTGTATTTCCCTAAATAATCTTTGTATTTTATGGGAAAAACAGAAGGTCATTTCAACGCAGACTTTAGGGTACTTAAGCTCAGTATATCTGGCTAATTTTTTGCATGCTCCTAGGTCAATGGCTTGACCTTTAGGGAAAACTGTCGGTTACACTCAAAGCCCTCGACGAGGGCTAAAAAGTGACCGCGAGTGAAATTCTCTTTATATGAGCTCTATTACAAAAAAAAATTTCCTCCGACGACCCCCCTTGATATTTTGTGAGGTGGTAGAAGAACACCTAGGGGTGTCATAAAAAACTCGGCATATCTGGGAAAACTTCGTAAAGCGGTCAAAACTGACCAGTTGTATTTCCCTATATAATCTTTGTATTTTATGGGAAAAACAGAAGGTCATTTCAACGCAGACTTTAGGGTACTTAAGCTCAGTATATCTGGCTAATTTTTTGCATGCTCCTAGGTCAATGGCTTGACCTTTAGGGAAAACTGTCGGTTACACTCAAAGCCCTCGACGAGGGCTACAAAGTGACCGCGAGTGAAATTCTCTTTATATGAGCTCTATTACGAAAAAAAATTTCCTCCGACGACCCCCCTTGATATTTTGTGAGGTGGTAGAAGAACACCTAGGGGTGTCATAAAAAACTCGGCATATCTGGGAAAACTTCGTAAAGCGGTCAAAACTGACCAGTTGTATTTCCCTATATAATCTTTGTATTTTATGGGAAAAACAGAAGGTCATTTCAACGCAGACTTTAGGGTACTTAAGCTCAGTATATCTGACTAATTTTTTGCATGCTCCTAGGTCAATGGCTTGACCTTTAGGGAAAACTGTCGGTTACACTCAAAGCCCTCGACGAGGGCTAAAAAGTGACCGCGAGTGAAATTCTCTTTATATGAGCTCTATTACAAAAAAAAATTTCCTCCGACGACCCCCCTTGATATTTTGTGAGGTGGTAGAAGAACACCTAGGGGTGTCATAAAAAACTCGGCATATCTGGGAAAACTTCGTAAAGCGGTCAAAACTGACCAGTTGTATTTCCCTATATAATCTTTGTATTTTATGGGAAAAACAGAAGGTCATTTCAACGCAGACTTTAGGGTACTTAAGCTCAGTATATCTGGCTAATTTTTTGCATGCTCCTAGGTCAATGGCTTGACCTTTAGGGAAAACTGTCGGTTACACTCAAAGCCCTCGACGAGGGCTACAAAGTGACCGCGAGTGAAATTCTCTTTATATGAGCTCTATTACGAAAAAAAATTTCCTCCGACGACCCCCCTTGATATTTTGTGAGGTGGTAGAAGAACACCTAGGGGTGTCATAAAAAACTCGGCATATCTGGGAAAACTTCGTAAAGCGGTCAAAACTGACCAGTTGTATTTCCCTATATAATCTTTGTATTTTATGGGAAAAACAGAAGGTCATTTCAACGCAGACTTTAGGGTACTTAAGCTCAGTATATCTGGCTAATTTTTTGCATGCTCCTAGGTCAATGGCTTGAAATTTAGGGAAAACTGTCGGTTACACTCAAAGCCCTCGACGAGGGCTACAAAGTGACCGCGAGTGAAATTCTCTTTATATGAGCTCTATTACGAAAAAAAATTTCCTCCGACGACCCCCCTTGATATTTTGTGAGGTGGTAGAAGAACACCTAGGGGTGTCATAAAAAACTCGGCATATCTGGGAAAACTTCGTAAAGCGGTCAAAACTGACCAGTTGTATTTCCCTATATAATCTTTGTATTTTATGGGAAAAACAGAAGGTCATTTCAACGCAGACTTTAGGGTACTTAAGCTCAGTATATCTGGCTAATTTTTTGCATGCTCCTAGGTCAATGGCTTGACCTTTAGGGAAAACTGTCGGTTACACTCAAAGCCCTCGACGAGGGCTACAAAGTGACCGCGAGTGAAATTCTCTTTATATGAGCTCTATTACGAAAAAAAATTTCCTCCGACGACCCCCCTTGATATTTTGTGAGGTGGTAGAAGAACACCTAGGGGTGTCATAAAAAACTCGGCATATCTGGGAAAACTTCGTAAAGCGGTCAAAACTGACCAGTTGTATTTCCCTATATAATCTTTGTATTTTAAGGGAAAAACAGAAGGTCATTTCAACGCAGACTTTAGGGTACTTAAGCTCAGTATATCTGACTAAGTTTTTGCATGCTCCTAGGACAATGGCTTGACCTTTAGGGAAAACTGTCGGTTACACTCAAAGCCCTCGACGAGGGCTAAAAAGTGACCGCGAGTGAAATTCTCTTTATATGAGCTCTATTACAAAAAAAAATTTCCTCCGACGACCCACCTTGATATTTTGTGAGGTGGTAGAAGAACACCTAGGGGTGTCATAAAAAACTCGGCATATCTGGGAAAACTTCGTAAAGCGGTCAAAACTGACCAGTTGTATTTCCCTATATAATCTTTGTATTTTATGGGAAAAACAGAAGGTCATTTCAACGCAGACTTTAGGGTACTTAAGCTCAGTATATCTGGCTAATTTTTTGCATGCTCCTAGGTCAATGGCTTGACCTTTAGGGAAAACTGTCGGTTACACTCAAAGCCCTCGACGAGGGCTACAAAGTGACCGCGAGTGAAATTCTCTTTATATGAGCTCTATTACGAAAGAAAATTTCCTCCGACGACCCCCCTTGATATTTTGTGAGGTGGTAGAAGAACACCTAGGGGTGTCATAAAAAACTCGGCATATCTGGGAAAACTTCGTAAAGCGGTCAAAACTGACCAGTTGTATTTCCCTATATAATCTTTGTATTTTATGGGAAAAACAGAAGGTCATTTCAACGCAGACTTTAGGGTACTTAAGCTCAGTATATCTGGCTAATTTTTTGCATGCTCCTAGGTCAATGGCTTGACCTTTAGGGAAAACTGTCGGTTACACTCAAAGCCCTCGACGAGGGCTACAAAGTGACCGCGAGTGAAATTCTCTTTATATGAGCTCTATTACGAAAAAAAATTTCCTCCGACGACCCCCCTTGATATTTTGTGAGGTGGTAGAAGAACACCTAGGGGTGTCATAAAAAACTCGGCATATCTGGGAAAACTTCGTAAAGCGGTCAAAACTGACCAGTTGTATTTCCCTATATAATCTTTGTATTTTAAGGGAAAAACAGAAGGTCATTTCAACGCAGACTTTAGGGTACTTAAGCTCAGTATATCTGACTAAGTTTTTGCATGCTCCTAGGACAATGGCTTGACCTTTAGGGAAAACTGTCGGTTACACTCAAAGCCCTCGACGAGGGCTAAAAAGTGACCGCGAGTGAAATTCTCTTTATATGAGCTCTATTACGAAAAAAAAATTCCTCCGACGACCCCCCTTGATATTTTGTGAGGTGGTAGAAGAACACCTAGGGGTGTCATAAAAAACTCGGCATATCTGGGAAAACTTCGTAAAGCGGTCAAAACTGACCAGTTGTATTTCCCTATATAATCTTTGTATTTTATGGGAAAAACAGAGGGTCATTTCAACGCAGACTTTAGGGTACTTAAGCTCAGTATATCTGGCTAAGTTTTTGCATGCTCCTAGGACAATGGCTTGACCTTTAGGGAAAACTGTCGGTTACACTCAAAACCCTCGACGAGGGCTAAAAAGTGACCGCGAGTGAAATTCTCTTTTTATGAGCTCTATTACGAAAAAAAAATTCCTCCGACGACCCCCCTTGATATTTTGTGAGGTGGTAGAAGAACACCTTGGGGTGTCACAAAAAACTCGGCATATCTGGGAAAACTTCGTAAAGCGGTCAAAACTGACCAGTTGTATTTCCCTATATAATCTTTGTATTTTATGGGAAAAACAGAAGGTCATTTCAACGCAGACTTTAGGGTACTTAAGCTCAGTATATCTGGCTAATTTTTTGCATGCTCCTAGGTCAATGGCTTGACCTTTAGGGAAAACTGTCGGTTACACTCAAAGCCCTCGACGAGGGCTAAAAAGTGAACGCGAGTGAAATTCTCTTTATATGAGCTCTATTACGAAAAAAAATTTCCTCCGACGACCCCCCTTGATATTTTGTGAGGTGGTAGAAGAACACCTAGGGGTGTCATAAAAAACTCAGCATGTCCTGGAAAAATCGGGAACCGGGTCAAAACTGACCAGTCGTAATTCCCTATATAATCTTTGTATTTTATGGCAAAAACAGGGAAATTTTAACACAATTTTTAGGTTACTTAACGTCTGTACATCATGCTAAGTTTCTGCATACACTACTATAGATGACTATGCCGTATGGAAAAACTGTTGGTCAGACTCAAAGCCCTCGACGAGGGCTAAAAGATGATCGTGAGTGAAGTTCTCCTTATATGAGATATATTTATATAAATAAATTGACGAACGATCCCCTTAATATTATATGACGTCGTAGACCAACACTGGAGGGTAACAAAAAAATGTATTCCCGTCGGAAACAGCCATTATAGTCGTTAAATATGTTCATATACCGTAATTTCTTATATAAGCATAGCAACTTTTTGTAAAAAAATATGTAAACAAAGACATACGTCATACGTTCAGTTTTCAAGGGAAGTCACGTTTTTTAAATTATTATTTTTCAAATAATTGTATACTATTTTAAACAGAAACAGAAAATGACGAAGTATAGCATTTGTTGTAGTACAAAATTAAGTTGTTAATTCAGTTACGTATCCTAATTAAATTATCAAATAAATTTCAAAAGATAATGTAATATAAACTATTAGATATACTGTTCATTGAACCTGTGTAGTTCTAATTCCATTTTAGTTATACATTGCGTACTTTCCAATATTTCTCTGAGAACGGAATTTAAATAACAAACAAAAACATTTTTTCTAAAGTTAGCATTACTGTTTAAATTAAAGCACTCCTCACCCAATCCATCGCTAAATAATTAAGTATTCAAATTCTCAAATGTTTTTTAAAAACCTAAGCGAAGCTAGGCAGTATGCCTAGTTGTTTAATAAATAAAAAAATAGTAGGTTTTTTTTTTTGTGTTAAAAACCTGCGAACTGAGAAAAATAGCAAAAAGTAATGAAAAGTAGGTCACGAAAATACAATATCTGTTTAAAATGTAAAGCCTATTGTTAGCTTTTGATGTTTCCGAGATTACGGTAAGATTATCAAATGTATTAGAAATCAAGATTTTCAATAATGCCTAATACAATATGATGGCGGATATAAAAATTGGAATTTTAAAAACTTAAATTTTTTTCTTATTTGAGTTAATATTTTCTGAATAAAAAAATTCATAAAAAACGTTTTAATAACAAGCTTTTATGTAATGATGCACTAAAAAGTAGAAAATAAATTATAGACTACTATTTAAATAACTATAAAGAAAAGCGTGGGTCACTTTAGTATCTATTGGATACCTTTACTAATGTTAAGGAAGACACCCACGCTTTTCTTTATAGTTATTTAAATAGTAGTCTATAATTTATTTTCTACTTTTTAGTGCATCATTACATAAAAGCTTGTTATTAAAACGTTTTTTATGAATTTTTTTTCAGTACTTTACATGTTTTATTTACAATAGAGTTACATGACTAAAAACCATTGCGCGCCTACTGAACATCATGTTCAGTAGGCGCGCAATGGTTTTTGAACGCAGCCATTACGTGATGGCGCAGCTATTGAAGGTGATGACGCGTGTGGTGTGGTTGGCTAGACATGCCTACTAATTCGGTCCAAATTTTTATTAATTCATAAAAAATTAATTAGGCATCCAATTAAGTCAAATTTAGTTTCAGATTGCATTGTCTTCATGTCTTGACCCACGTGTCAAATGTGAATCGTATCGGTCAAGTAGAAGTTTCCGAATTTTCACTCCTGCGTTTCGATCTAGACTGACGACAGATAGACTGTCGACGACAGAGGAAGTGAGTTAAATAAAAGCTTGTAATAAAAAAAATGGACAAAGTATCCAAAAGTGCAGGAAACCCATTATGACGAACCCCCTCCCCCCCCCCCCCCCCCCCAGAAATGATTTTTTTACTAAGCATATCCGTTTAAAGTCATGTAACAATTTCAGCTTACCTATTTGATTAGGTGCGACCACGTGACCCAGTGTTCTAGAAGCTTCCACAAGTCTCCTCCTGCCCTCCACACAGACTTCATTCTCGCAGGCTGGGATAAATATTCCCGCCATTTGTTGCAGAAGATTTTCTGAGTGAACAGCAAAAGTAATCTCATGAATCTTTTGCACTATGTGACAAGAGTCGCGGGCTAACAAAAGAATGAGAAATAGACGATTTATTGAGGAAATTATGAAGCTTGTACAAAAACTAAAGATAAACATTAATATAAATATATATTATTTATTAAATTTATATACAAATATTCATAACTGTATTATAATAAAAAAACGGCTATAAACACACAGACATTCACACACATACACACACAAATACATATATATATATATATATATATATATATATATATATAAATTATATATATATATATATATATATATATATATATATATATATATATATATATATATATATATATATATATATATATATATATATATATATATATATATATATATATATATATATATATATATATATAATTATGTATTATATTATGTTTTATGTCTTGTTGAGCCAGCTAAAACACCGATCAAAAATACACAGCCACTCTCCCAATCTCTCTCTCTCACTGTCTCTCTCTCTCTCTCTCTCTCTCTCTCTCTCTCACTGCTTACATTTTTAAACGACCATCGTTAGTAAATATAAACAAAGGCATCTGTGGCTGGTTTTTTAATTTGTCTTATTTGAATATTGCGGTCAATGTTAGAGTAGTGGGGCAATATTTTGGGAGACATTTTTATTTTTTTTGTTTTCATGTTATGTTTGACGTACGTTTTTGTATTATTTTATTATTGCTAGTAAAAGGTCATTATTATCATTGTTCTGTTTAGTTAGTGGTTGTGTTAGATTTAGTTAGGAACTATTTCTTTGAGTGTAGTGAGACAGTTGGGTGAACGTCTGTAGTAATAAGACAGCATGATGTATGTCTTTACTGTGTACGACTTCGACAAGAATGTGTAAGGCGATTGACATTGTGCCGTTCCAGAGTAGATTAACAGACCTGAATTTAATTCACAATTATTATTGTTAGCTAATCTGTTCTGCTGAGTTTGCTACTTGTACTGGTATTTTACCCTAACTTTGTTGTTTGTGAGTATAAGGCATGCTGGTACTCTCCTGTGGCTACTTGGTACGATTGAGTTAGGTATGTTATAAGAACTGATTTTGGTAGTCATCTTCATCATCATCATCACTTCCCGTTTGTGCCCAAGAAACATGGGGCAGATGAAGTAGAGTTCATCTGTTTCAATGAATTAAGCCTATGATGGGATAGTGTGGTCAGCACTATGCCCAGCCCCTTCGTTTCCCTAACGTAAGTTAGATTCCCATCAGAGCTGGGTGGACTCAGGAATGTTGTACTGATTTGAATCAGGATTCGAACTCGAGACTCTCGGATTAGCAGTCTAACTCTCTACAGCTATGCAACGGTAGTAATGTGGTGCATTCTTTTACTCTGTGGGGATGTGATGTCTGTTATGTAGGTGTAGGTATAGGCGCTGATGTAGATGTAGATGTAGATATAGATTGATATAAATATAGATCGATGTGCATACTTTTTATATTTCTTAATAGCAGCTTCACATAATAACTTTAAAGTATATCAAAATTATCTTTGAGCATTAACTGTTTTACATATTCTATTGTGTTTTTTGCAATATTATTCAACAAAACATCTCATTTTATTTTTAACAAAAGCGAAATTATAACAAAATTGATTGTTTAGGCACTTAGTATATTTTCCTAATCTAAATTAGCAACATCGATCTGAATTTTTTTAAAAAAATCTCATCATTGAAGATAAAAATACGGATATTTTTTAAGGATAAATACTTGCCAAGTTTTTTAATGCATGATCGTCGTTTTCTTAAGGCTAACAGCTACGACGTTTCCTCAATTATTGGTTCCTTTAGAATCCAGTTAATTATGGGTCACTTCATCCAGCGGTTTAACTTGAGTCGTTTTGATCCAGCGGTTTAACTTGAGTAGTTTTGATCACTGGTTTAACTTGAGATGTTTTGATCCACCGGTTTAACTGAGACCCATCAGTTTAACTTGAGCCACTGAGACACAGAGCTTATTGTAAAATCTCCGAGGTCCAAGTTTCTCTGTCAGCACCAAGGTTTTTGTTTCCAGCGCTCACTAGAATTCACGGCTTATAACGGATGTTGACATGTATTTTACCCGTCAGAAACTGTCAAAAAACAGGATTACGTGTCCAACAAATATTACAATTATAGTCCAGTTTGTTTGGGAATTACATTATACTTTGAGTTATCTTTAGAAATCAAAAATAGTAAGCAAACGTAAGCAGATAAGGAACTATGTTTTAGGGTATTACCCCAGGAGAAACATGTAGGTTCTATAAATGTAAGCCAAAGTACGTTTAAGTGGGGGGGGGGGGGTCGAGATAACGTAAACAAAGACGGAGAAAAAACAGAGACCGAGAGATTAAGATTGAGGAAGTGAATAAGAAGTTTTAAAAAGACGAAAATAAATACGAGTTGTTAGTCATCGTTGAGAGGACATAACCGTTTAAAAATATATGACGTGATCTGACTGAAATGTAGGCCCTGCGTGTCCGAATCAAATGTTTTTACAAGACTTTATTTAGTTCGCAACGTCTGTTTGTTTGTTTCTTTGTTTGTTGGTTTGTGGGTTTTTGGCAAATCTTGTAACTCAATTTTTAACCCACTTCTAATAAAAAATTTCGTTCAAGTATACAAGTCTATCTATCTTTAATTTAATTGGATGTTTAATTGGTAAATAAAAAATAAATTAAATGGATTCATAACTTAGAGTAGATAACAAAATAAAATCACTCGCTAGATTACTTTAGTCAATAACAGAACGGGAGATAACTAGCTAGACGCGATCACTCTAACAATCTGGTTAGCCGTTGTACAGTCGATCTAGTGAATGCTATTAGGGGCAGATAATACAGTTTTTAAACTATTTAAAACTTAGGGGAGGTAAGAAAATTAAGACCTTGCTGTCGTCTGTAAAAAAAAAAATGGTCAAGTACGCTGTCTTCACTGGACAGCTAATCGTCTATCAGATATCGCGAGCTACTGAAGGTGTTTTAAAGCAGATATTTTTTAGTCATTTCGACTTCATAAATAAAGAAAGACTGCTATAGATATAGATGTTTTAAGAGAAAGAATGTTTGATTTGATGTGTCTCATTGTAATCAAGATAACTTTTCCGGTTGCTTAAAAATTTTGTAATATACTTTACTTTGATCCCAAATTTATTTCAGCTCTACTTAAAAGCCCAACCCCCTCAGCCCACCACGCCGATGAAAAAAAAACCTTGAATAATCATTTAATTACACATCTGCATTTTCAGGTTTTAAAAATAAAATTGTAATTAGACGTTTTGTATTAGATCTATGTATAAGTAAACCATATTAAATGAATGAAAGTAGGCTATAAGTAAGAAAGAAGTATTAGTATTGTAAATCTGTATCAGTCCTCACAGACCGATGATGAAAACTGTAATACTAAAGCGAACACACAACTGACGCTGTAAATTACATGTCTGAGGCGGGAAAAAAAAGTTCATATTTTAGGGACAAAAGCTTTTTTATTAAAGAAAGTAAATTATTTTTATTTTCTTCTTGTCTGTGCAGTTAAAAGCTTGTTACCATAAATGTTCTTTATAATTGTTTTATTTTTACTGATGTGAGCGAAATGTAGCCGGTGTATCTTTTGTGGGGTAGTCTTAGATTTCCATGGGACACTCAGTCTAATGAGAGATGTCCGTATTTTCTTATACCGCCCAGTTAGTTGACAACTAGAGGTTACATGTAGTGTTGGAGGTATAGACCTAACGAATGTATAATGTACGGTAAACTAAATGTGCATTTAGACTACTGCTACATGTTGCTGGCTAGAGAATTTTTGTTAGGGTTTATCTAGTTCTATAGCCATTTAAAGATGTTTAATCTCCATTCAACGCACCTTGATTATACAAAGTGTTTAAATGACTACGTAAAGAAAAAACTGAGATTCATTTTATAAAAATCTGAGATAAAATGGTGTTTTCTTTTGATTCATAAAAATATGTTTTTACACTTTTAATAATTCAACTACAAATTTATAATGTATGTCTACTTGGTAATATATAATATAAAAAATAATTATGCTTGGAGTTGTGTTATCATAATGGCAAACTTATTAGCATCGTCTACTTGGTAATATATAATTTTAAACCTTTATCGGCCAAGGGGCTTCGGGCATTCGTCTCATTCGGAAACAGAGTTTCTTCCAGGCATCTCTTCGGGGGGGCGAAGCCCCCCCGAAAAATTTTTACCGCCCCCCCGAACAAAATGAAATTTATATAATTTATATAGAAAATATATACTTTTAACAGTGTCCGCCCCCCCGAAGAAAGTTTACCGCCCCCCCGAAGATTTCAAGTGCCCCCCCGGAGAAAAAAGTCTGGAAGAAACACTGTTCGGAAAACGGTCCTCAGGCAAATGTCATTCCGGCTAGTATCTTTCGGGAATTGGTCGAACTCCGGCAAGTTTCCATTCGGAAAACGGCCTTCGGGCAAATGTCATTCCGGCAATTATCTTTCGGGAATTTATTGTAGACCCTATTTTTAGTAACAGGACTCCAAGATCACTAGCGCTGGAATTAAAAATAAAATTATGACTCGGAGAAACCTAGCGGGAAAACCCAAATTGTAATTATTGCCAACACGTACCGGAAACTCCACTATTTACTTTGATGCAAAAATAGCCGAGGAAAAAACTTTTTCCACTCTGTATGTCTCTGTAAGAGATGGACTACTAAACCGTAAGTCTCGAGTTCGAATCCGGGTTCAAGACAGTAAACCGTCCCTGAGTCAACCCAACTCTGATGGGTACCTAACTCACCTACTCAAATAGCAAATTTTTCCGATAAATATTTAAATTAGTGCATTTTGAAGAAGTTATTTGTAATAATCAAAGCTTATTGTTAAAATATTTCAGCGCGTGTATGACCTCGCTACCATGGAGACGAGAACCAAACACACCGATTTCGTTAAGTTTTTTATATCAAATTAACGCTGCATGCCTTGGAAAAAATTCCCATTGACATATCTAACCCGTATGATGTCATTAGATCTTGAGTGTTAAGCATTTACCCCTGAACAAACTAAACGACAAAAATAATTAGTCGTTATAATGTCTCTTTTACACCACAAAATCAAACACCTAATATATAGAGTTAAACGATCATAACAAACTTCTAAATAAAGTTTGAATTTTAAAATTATAAGAACAACCTTTCCAAAATAAATATTTCTTATTTTATTAAACTCCATTTACATAATAGTATAAACCCAGTGGCTTAGCTAGGATTTTCGGGCCCCTATGCAAAAATTATTAGGCCCTACGTCAATCTGTAAATTTTGTATTTTATACGTCCTAATTGTGTATTTATACAGCTTTATTATGTAGAACCCCGTAACGTAAAATACCTTTGATTTTATTTCACTTTTATGTAAAAGCAAACTAATAAATTAACTGTAAGCCTGTCACATTTAAGTAGCGTCACAGGGCAGGGGCCTCACATTTTAGGCGTGACACCATGACGAAAACTCGTTAAATTTACTGTCACAACAATGTTTCATTCAGTTAAAATAATAAAACATTAAGGAGAGGGGGTAACACTCCACCGGAAATGCAAAATTGTTAGACGAAGTGGGGGTGACACTCACTAAACGCACTAGGTGATATCGAACCTTGTGACGCCACTAACCAAATACAATTTTTTAAAGTTGCTCATGATTTATTTAGATTTTATTTTCTTATAAGTTTGCAAAGTGATTAATATGTTCCTTGAACTCCATTACTGACCCAAAGGGCACATAACTTGTTTCATAACATCATCATAATGGAGAGACTCGGGGCGCCTAATGTATACTACTGCAGAGGCGGCTGGAGGAACCCCTTATTTTCTTTAGCCATTGATTATAGTAGCCCTCCGTATCCCTATGGTATAGCGCTCATTAAAACAAGTGTATGCGCCATAGTGCTTACGGGCGGAGCCCGGGGCGCCGGTTGATACACCTGTGCAGTTTGACCGTTGAATTAAGCAGTAACCGTGGCCCCTTGTGCAGGACACCCAATTAACTGACCCCAGGTGCTAAGAAAGCCGCTGGGAAACTCTGGGTGGCAAACCGAACCGCCTTACTGTCAAGGGGTCGCACTCCGAACGAAATAAAAAAAATAGTTGATGGCAAAAAACTTTACAGGAGTCAAGAGTTTCTTTCTAGCTTCTCATTGAGATGGGGGGGGGGCACTGCTTCTCATGTTTGTTGTTGTGGAAGGAAATTTCGCGGTCAGTAGAGGTTTGTCTGAATTCTTCTAAACGACTTCCCAATGTTTTTTGGCGATTGGATCATTTTTGTAATAATGCATAAAGGACAAGGAGCCAGACAAACAAAAATCTTTAAGTAGAGGCATATTGATAAGAGATAAATTTGATCAACTAAACAAATTGTGATTACGGTTAAAACTAGAAACATATTGACACATTTTTGACGTAGCTTGTTGTGAAAACACTGTCCACGGCCCTTAACAAAAAATGGCACAATTGTAATCATGGATGAATGGAATTTCGTTAAGGACAGAGAGTTGAGAGGGGAGGGAGGTGCAGGTTTGTGGAGGTGGGGTAGAGAGTTTTTAGCGATGCCTATACATTTACGGGTGCCGAATGCCAATCTCACAAAGGATTCAATGTTCAAGTTTATTTATAGGCTAATTCTCTCCACGGATTGCCCGACAATTCAACAATGCCTATAGTCTTATTAATACCGATGGGCCCTGTGCAACCTCTCCCCAGTAAGAAAGGTCGGGGGGGGGGGGGCTTTTTCGGAACTTTTGATTACTTCTACAGTAGAAAAGAAACTGGATTTCTGTTTTCTTTTTAAAATTATTTTTATAATACAAATATTAAAATTTCAATGTAAAAGTTTTTAAAAATTTAAAGAGGGAAAAGGGCCCTATTTGCCTTGGGCACCTATGCCTTGCTTACGCTAGCTTTACGGTAGCTACGCCACTGTATAAACCATATGATTAGAGATGTTGGATTTAACGAAACATTGACTGCCATAAACCGTTGTATTCAAACAGGAATGGTAGCTCTTTTAGTTCTTCATCCTGGTTTGTAATTACTAACAATGTCAAACGTTGACAAAACGATTATGCAAGATGTTAAAATAAAGTTATCGAATCGATGCTTACAGATAGAATTTAAAAAGTGTAGCACAATAGCGGCAAAAGTTGGTCATCGGAAATATCCGCAACGTTTGCCCGGATTTATCTGAGGTTGTAAAGTTTGTTTACCATCTGTCACATTTCGGGTAAGCCCAAAGTTTGCTTCTTCTGCTGTTAGGCAACAAAAAAATTATTAATTGATATCTACAATTGTTTTATTTGTAGATTACTTAATACAACCATTGTGAATTATTTTTTACATCTTTAGTTCTTTACCATGAAAAGTTATTAGTATTCCAAACTTCTATATTGTGCTGTGACCTAGATTTAAATTAAGCCGCAAATTTTGCAGCTAAGGCAGTTTGAGTTAACCTCATTTACCCAACCTCTCACCAAGAGTGTCCGCAGGAGACAATTCACAAACACCATGGAGAGGGTGTCATTTTTTTTATTGCAAGACTAAATCTGCCGCCAAAGATTTTAACCATGTTAGGTGGACAGGGGACTCTGTGAGCGTTTTGGGCCGGATGAATTTTTCAGGCGCTAGATCCATTTTGTTTAAGTAAAGATGGTAATGGACACCAGCGAGAAAAGTCTCAAAGGTATTTGAGAGGTGCATACATTAATTTAAAAATCTTGCACGGCGTAGTTACAATTAATATGGTTATAAAATCCAGTTTGTCTGTTTTTTTTCGGACTTTACTAAAGATTGGACGTATTTGATGTTTTTAATATTTTCGGTAACTAAATAAAAATAAAAAAAAGCAAAAACAATTTGGTTTTCATGTGTAATGGCGACATAAACAATGGCATCCTGCTATTGGATAGGCCGCCATAAATTTTATTGTACACATTGTAAGCTAAAAATAGAAAACAAGGTCATGGGGTTTTAAATTTGCATTGTTATTTAAAAACTTGATCTGCAAAGTTTTGTAAACAAATAGTTATCGATCACTAAGTTACTTTACAGCCAATCAATATTTGTCTTACGAAAGTGAAACATCCGGTTATAACTTAGGCTTGATGAAAATAAATAGAAATGTAGCCTTAAACTCAACAAATTAATTTCAAGTTCTCTGGATCTGCAACTTGTATAGCATTAATTCTAAAAATATTAAATTTCTGAATTAATTTTAGTCTAAAAAATTTTTATTTTTTATTTTTACGGACCTAAATCTAAAAAAGCACATGGCCCCAGCCCACCCCACTCAGGGAAAAATTATATGGGACACCTGACAAACTGGAAACCACAGTCCGGTTTGTCCATGAAGTTGGACTTGTTGTCTAATTCCTCCACCATAATCAAAAATTAAGAACGAAGAAGAAGAAGAAGAAAAAAAGCAACTTTTGTAGCATTTATTCTAAAAATATAAAATTTCTAAATTAATTTTAGGCTTAAGTTTTTTTTTTTTTTTTTTTACGGTCTAAATCTAAAAAGCACGTTTTTATTCCATGTCAACAACACTATGGAAGGAATCTCGTCAACTCGCTTGTGTCCATTTGTTAGTAAAATAGATATATCTTCCAATGAAACAGATTCCATTTGGTGACCGTTTGTGAATCTGTGAATATTTACGATTATTTAAACCATCTTAAAACCAACTGTGGTCTGTCAAGACTGGGTTGAAATCGAAGCTTATGTTTTTAAACAATCGAAATTTCCTATGAAAAAGTTCTGATGTTTTAAAATAGTGTTATATCAATTACAGCATTAAGTTTGACTGGCAGTGTTCTGTCAATATCATCTTCTAAATGGGTGTCTTCTAAAATCTCAATGGACAATACCTTATTGTCTTGAGTCTCGATGATTTGATTCTGCATATGAGATGATGTGGTTGCTTGCATATTTTGTACTTGGGTATCTCCAGACACTTAGACCTCTGGTTGTGTTGTTGTCCAAGTAAACGACGTGAAGCTTGAAAAATTTGTCTCCAGTTTGACACATTTGGATATTGTTTGCTGGCGATCTGTATTATTACAATTTCTTCCTCTCTTACCCCGAATATTTCTTCCTTAATTGTTTTGATTGCATATAATAATATCTTAACTAATGAATACTTAGCATCGCTGTTGTCTTGGTCGCAATATATTTAATTTGATTACCTTTTGATAATTATAAACTAGTGGAAACCAATCCTACGATACACCATGGTGCTGTATACTCTGAGACACTACATACATGGTGCCAAGATTTAGCGCTTGTCTAGTATTAAATGTTTAAAAGCTGCACGAAAAAAAAATGTTGTAAGAACTTGATGTACTTCAATGTGCTGACTAAAAACTATCTCTTACAAAAATGATTTTTCTTTTAATTTTTAGACAAATAATTTTCCAAACAGGCGCCACTTTGCATAAAGATGGCCATGCGTACGCTATTGTCTATAGCTTAAACGTTGGATGAAGAAACAACACATTCGTACAATCTCACTCCAATTTTAAGAAATCAAATCATCTTTTGTTCTACTATTTATTATTTCTGCTGCACCAAAGGAACAACGCTATTTCATCAAAATTGTATTATCAATGCTTTTCAAATAATTGGCTTTCCTATGGTGGCAGAATTGTATTTGATGGCTGTGTCTCAACAGAAGGTTGTGTTGCCTCGGATGGTTGAGTTACTTCAACAGAATCTGTGGTATCAGCTGTGGTATCTAAAGATATAAAAAGCAACACCAGAATAAAAACTTGTGACAGAGTTTGACTTTTAAAACGTTTACATTAAATTTAAACAGCTATTATGAGGTTTTGGAGACTGACATACTCTATTATTTATAATTTTAAAAAAAACGTAATTTGAATACATTCTTGTTCTGGCTCGGTTAATAATTTAAATAAAATCTGTTTTTCACATTCTAAAAATTGCAATTAATTGGAGTTAGTAGGGGTAAATGAAAATTGACACTTGGAGAAAAGGAAATAGACTTAGTACATAAAAAACAGAGATGGCATGAATAGACAACCCCGTTAGAGTTCAGCCATTTTAACAATTTCAATTGCTGTCAAACTTTTAAAACAAAAATGTTCGTTTTTATTAAAATAGTTTAAAAAGTTGAATATATATATGTCGCAGGTTGGCGACAATTGAGCTTAAACGCTTAAAAAAGCACTTACCGCAGATGTTGTTGTTGATTTCCTCTATGAAGTGAGAAAAAAAAATATTTTAAAATAAAGAGTACATTAGTAATTAGTATTTTATCCTAGCTAGCTAGATCTTCATTCCGTTGACCCTATGTTTTTAGCCAAGTTTCCACACTAATCCCACCGTTTGCACTACGTTTATTTTATAGCACTCTTGAAAGTTTAGCTGATCAAATTTGATGTAAATAATATTATTTTCAACTAGTAGATTTTTATCTTCGCAAAAACTGGTTCTTACCTTTTATTTTCTCATCCAAGTTTTCTTTAAAAAAAGAAGAAAAAAAAACAGTTAATGACACATTACAGATTAGGAAATATAATTATTAACAAATACACCGATAGAAAGACATATAGACACGCACACAAACACACAGATGCACACAAAGACAAACACATGCATAGGCTACACATTCACAGACACAGGCACACACAAATTTGACACAAACACACACTCGAATACACATTTACATATGGACGCACACTCGCACATACAAACACTCACTGCAAGGGTGTTGCTGTTTTTTCATCTCACTGCTGATGAGTTCTTCAACACTCTCAGCGAGGTAAGGGTTAACCAGACATGCGCGGACAGCACATTCAATGCCCTTTGACATGTCCCTGGTGGGGTTGGAACAATGATGATGTTATAATGTTACAACATTTGGAGGTAAACATACATGAAATACTGAATTAATTTATAATGTTACAACATCAGGAGGTAAACATACATGAAATACTGAATTATTTTATAAAGTTACAACATATGGAGGTAAACATACATGAAATACTGAATTAAAAGTCGTAAAAAACATCAGTCGTTTGTAATATGATGGATGGTAAAAATTAATTTGATAGAAAAAAAAATGGGATAAACTACTTTGTTAATACACATCACATGACATGATATGTCAGACACCACAGTATAAGCGACATGGTATGACAGACATTGTAAGGCAGACATTAGATAACAGACATTGTATTACAGATATTAAATTACAGACATTGTATTACAGATGTATTATGTAAGACATTGTATGCCAGAGATGTTAAGACAGACATGGTATGAATGCCATTGTATGACAGACATTTTATTACAGACATTGCTTGACAGAAATTTATGACAGATGGGGTATGGCAGACTTTGTACGACAGACTTCATATGATATATGATGTATGCCAGATTATTTTATGGCAAACTTGTATCGTGTCTATATGACTGTCATATATACACGGTAACCGAGACAGTATTTTTCACAGAGTGATGTGTTACTTACTGGCAGTAAACAGTCTCGTTCTCTTGGCTGTGGTTAGTACGGTTGATGCCGTGGCTCAGCAGACACGCTGCAAGGTTGGCGGAACATTCTGGGGAAGATTTCATTTGTTAGGTGACTGTCTGGACATTTTAGTGTTATGTGTCTGGTCATTTTGGTGTTAGGTGTCTGGTCATTTTGGTGTTAGGTGTCTGGTCATTTTGGTGTTAGGTGACTGTCTGGTCATTTTGGTGTTAGGTGACTGTCTGGTCATTTTGGTGTTAGGTGTCTGGTCATTATGGTGTTAGGTGTCTGGTCATTTTGGTGTTAGGTGACTGTGGTGATTTTGGTGTTAGGTGACTGTCTGGTCATTTTGGTGTTAGGTGACTGTCTGGTCATTTTGGTGTTAGGTGTCTGGTCATTATGGTGTTAGGTGTCTGGTCATTTTGGTGTTAGGTGACTGTGGTGATTTTGGTGTTATGTGACTGTCTGGTCATTTTGGTGTTAGGTGACTGTCTGGTCATTTTGGTGTTAGGTGTCTGGTCATTTTGGTGTTAGGTGTCTGGTCATTTTGGTGTTAGGTGACTGTCTGGTCATTTTGGTGTTAGGTGTCTGGTCATTTTGGTGTTATGTGACTGTCTGGTCATTTTGGTGTTAGGTGTCTGGTCATTATGGTGTTAGGTGTCTGGTCATTTTGGTGTTAGGTGTCTGGTCATTTTGGTGTTAGGTGTCTGGTCATTTTGGTGTTAGGTGACTGTCTGGTCATTTTGGTGTTAGGTGTCTGGTCATTTTGGTGTTATGTGACTGTCTGGTCATTTTGGTGTTAGGTGTCTGGTCATTATGGTGTTAGGTGTCTGGTCATTTTGGTGTTATGTGACTGTCTGGTCATTTTGGTGTTAGGTGACTGTCTGGTCATTTTGGTGTTAGGTGTCTGGTCATTTTGGTGTTATGTGACTGTCTGGTCATTTTGGTGTTAGGTGTCTGGTCATTATGGTGTTAGGTGTCTGGTCATTTTGGTGTTAGGTGACTGTCTGGTCATTTTGGTGTTAGGTGTCTGGTCATTATGGTGTTAGGTGTCTGGTCATTTTGGTGTTATGTGACTGTCTGGTCATTTTGGTGTTAGGTGACTGTCTGGTCATTTTGGTGTTAGGTGTCTGGTCATTTTGGTGTTATGTGACTGTCTGGTCATTTTGGTGTTAGGTGTCTGGTCATTATGGTGTTAGGTGTCTGGTCATTTTGGTGTTAGGTGACTGGTCATTTTGGTGTTAGGTGTCTGGTCATTTTGGTGTTAGGTGACTGTGGTCATTTTGGTGTTAGGTGACTGTGGTCATTTTGGTGTTAAGTGACTAACATTTTAAACCAAAAACCTGTTCTTCTGACCTTGCAGTTGCATCTGTTGCAGGAAACCGAGCGGTACCTTTGATTTCTTTTTCTCCGTCACACATTTGGGGCGAGTTGTGGTGAAGACTTGGGGTGGACTTTTTGTGGGAGACCTAGTTGTAGTGGCCAAGTTACGTGTGGTAGGTTTGGGGTTGGTGGCCAAGTTTCGTGTGGTAGGTTTGGGGTTTGTGGCCAAGTTTCTTGTGGTAGGTTTGGGGTTTGTGGCCAAGTTTCTTGTGGTAGGTTTGGGGTTTGTGACCAAGTTTCTTGTGGTAGGTTTGGGTTTGGTGGCCAAGTTTCTTGTTGTAGGTTTGGGGTTTGTGACCAAGTTTCTTGTGGTAGGTTTGGGTTTGGTGGCCAAGTTTCTTGTGGTAGGTTTGGGGTTTGTGGCCAAGTTACGTGTGGTAGGTTTGGGGTTGGTGGCCAAGTTTCTTGTGGTAGGTTTTGGGTTTTTGACCAAGTTTCTTGTGGTAGGTTTGGGTTTGGTGGCCAAGTTTCTTGTGGTAGGTTTGGGGTTTGTGGCCAAGCTTTTGGTGTACTTGTTTCTAGTGGTAAGCCTCTGATTGGGCCTGGGTGTAATGGCTCTGCTTGTTGCCGTTGTTCTTACATTTGATCCATTTTTTGGGGTTTTTTTTTGTCCTTTCCACCATATAGCGTCCACTGTTATATAAACAAACAGTCAATGGCATGAGATAAACTTGGTTAATATCGACAACAATTCAAATCACACATTTCACACACATTCACAAACACTCACGCTCATACTCACACAATTACACACACACTCACACTAACAATGCATTCATATTTATATTTATTCATTTTATATATCCAGATTAACTTTTTATCAGAACATTGAATCATCTGCTTTATGGTATTGATATTTTATCAGAACACTGAAGTATCTGCTATACGTTATTTACACTTTATCAGAACACGGAAGTATCTACTAAGTGTTATTGATATTTTATCAGAACTTTGAAGCATCTGCTATATGTTATTGACATTTTATCAGAACATTAAAGTATATGATATATGTTATTGATATTTTATCAGAACACTGAAGTATCTGCTATATGTTATTGATATTTTATCAGAACATTGAAGTATCTGCTATATGTTATTGATATTTTGTCAGAACATTGAAGTATCTGCTATATGTTATTGATATGTTATCAGAACATTGAAGTATCTGCTATATGTTATTGATATTTTATCAGAACATTGAAGTATCTGCTATATGTTGGAGATATTTACTTACCGTGTACAAGCACAACAACGAGAAGCAGCGCTAGAAGAATCTGTGGCTTCATCCTGTTGATGAGGAGATTAGGAACAATAAGTTCAACAACTGGGGCTAGTCAATGATCAAACATATGATCTAGTCAGCATTGACCAGTCTATAAACCATATGATTTAGTCAGCATTGACCAGTCTATAAACTATATGATCTAGTCAGCATTGACCACTCTATAAACCATATGATCTAGTCAGCATTGACCAGTCGATAAACCACATGATCTAGTCAGCATTGACCAGTCAATGATCAACGATATGATCTAGTCAGCATTGACCAGTCTATAAACCATATGACCTAGTCAGCATTGACCATACACTGTTGATTGTTATTAAACCAACAATAGTTTGGGTCTGCCGATCGAGAACACGGATACAGTTTACCTTAGAAAAATAGAAGGTTTAGAACTTTTAAAAAATTGTTTTTCAACACCATATGTAATCTAACGACATGATCAAAGCCGCTCCGTAGCCATAATACAAGTCTTACAATAATACAGCCTTACAACAACCTAGTCTTACAATAACCTGTCTTACAATAACCTAGTCTTATAATAACAGAGCCTTACAATAACATAGCCTGGCGAGAAATTTCCCCTAAATGACCAAGTAAATGTGTACCCTAAGCCAATTGCTACAATAAAATAAAGTTTACTCTAATGTAATGCTATAACCGTGGCGTTAAACAACGTTTGTAACCGAAACCAATTGTTACAATAAAATAAAGTTTACCCTAATGCTATAACCGTGGCGTTAAACAACGTTTACAATAAGAATATAACAACGACGTACTTGAAGTAAAATAAATGTCATCAATTTGTCTGTGTTTGGTATGAGGATATAGGCGAGCAGTCAGACATTTATACCCTCATGTCTTGGTGCTAACATGACCCTTCATGTCAAATACAACTAAAAATAGATTTTTTGTTAGTCCTGTTCTTTTTTTTGACCAATGAGAACTGATCCATCCGCTTATGACGTCAATGTACCTCCAAACCCAGCCTGCACTAGAGATGCTAGTATCAGCGAAACGACCACCCACCGGATGTGCCCTGTTTACTTGTAAGCTGACCATTTAGCGTGGTTGAACTCAAGTTAAAACATATTTTGTTTATTATGCTGTAGTTTCGACTTGACATAGAGATGATTTCAAACGTACTTCTGTATGACGTGCGTGTAGGCGTCAAGTCTATGCTTGACTACTCACTCACAACTCACAGGATTGTAGAACGACCTTGACTGTCCTACCTGACCGTGACCAGCCGCGACCTCTCCACAAGTTCAACACCGGATGTTTGAATTGCTTGTTCTAGTGACATGAGGTTGTCCTTGAGTGCAAAGACGTTGTGTTTGAAGCAGACGATAAAAACAAATTGGATAAGTGTATAAAGTGTTTTGTTTGGTGCAGCCGATAAAAATAATAACAAGGTTTTAAATGCACTAAAATTTAGAAAATATAACTAATGGACACCAGCGAGTTGACGAGATTCCTTCCATAATGTTGTTGACATGGAATAAAAACGTGCTTTTTAGATTTAGACCGTAAAAAAACAAAAAAAATTCAGCCTAAAATTAATTTAGAAATTTTATATTTTTAGAATAAATGCTATAAAAGTTGCAAATCCAGAGGACTTGAAAATAATTTGTTGAATTTAAGGCTACATTTCTATTTATTTTCATCAAGCCTAAGTTATAACCGGATGTTTCACTTTCGTAAGACAAATATTGATTGGCTGTACAGTAACTTAGTGATCGATAACTATTTGTTTACAAAACTTTGCAGATCAAGTTTGTAAATAACAATTCAAATTTGAGCACCATGACCTAGTTTTCTATTTTTAGCTTACAGTGTGTACAATAAAATTTATGGCGGCCTATCCAATAGCAGGATGCCATTGTTTATGTCGCCATTACATGTGAAAACCAAATTGTTTTTGCTTTTTTTTTTTATTTAGTTACCGAAAACATTAAAAACATCAGATACATCCAATCTTTAGTAAAGTCCGAAAAAAACCAGACAGGCAGGATTTTATAACCATACTAATTGTAACTACGCCGTGCATGATTTTTAAATTAATTTATGGACCTCTCAAATACCTTTGAGACTTTTCTCGCTGGCGTCCATTTGTTTTCTTTCACAACATAGGTATGGTCGCTAACTAGATGTTTTACGTATTTTAGCGACCCCAGTTTTTATGAAAGAAAGCAAATTAGTTTTATTTCTTATTTTAAGCGCAGTAAAAAAATTGTAATGAGAAATTTAATTTGTATTTATTTTATTTTCTACTTTTTGGTAATTCATAATTTATGAACTCGACACTACATAGGCCACGACTAAAACATTTGCTATAAGACACAATCAGTAGCTTGCGTTCTCTGAAAGACGGTTATCTGCCCCTTAGCAACGCCCATGGCAACAGTCCGTGACCACAGTTCTGAGTTCACAGACGACAGTAACTGATTAAGCGATAGCTAGTTCTTGTTACCTCCCCTTAGCTTCGAAATCGTTTAAAAAAACTCTATTATCTGCGCCTAATAGTCTTTTTCAACTTTACTCGTCTCTAAGATAGTAAACATCCGGTGAAAACCACAGCTCAGCAGTCTGATCAGGGAATGAGTCTAGCTAGTTATCCCCCTTTCTGTTATTTAACATAGAGATCTTTAAATCAATTTTAATGACTAATTAAACATCTAATTAAATTGAACATTAAATATTCATGCATTGTAATCGACGAAGAAGATATCCGAATAGTTTGAACGACATTGATAAAAATAGAGTTACAAGCTTTTATTGAAGAAAGCAAATTAGTTTTCTTTTCATTTTTAGTGCATTTTAAAGCTTATTGCTACAAATGTTTTTTTTATTTGTTTGATTTTTTACTTATTAGTAATTCCTAATTTAAGAAGTCTAGTAATTTAATTTTGTTATCTCTTCTTAGTTAAATTAATTTAATGACTCATTAAATATCTACTTACGTTTAAAAAAATTAATAAACTTGTATTGTCATCGAACTGGGACGCATCTTGAAAGTTTGAACGAAATCGATGCATTAAAAGTGGGTCAAAATTGAGTTACAAGATTAGCCACAAACCCACAAACAAACAAACAAACAAACAAACAAACAGACGTTGCGAACTAAATAAGAGCTTGTAAAAAGACAAACTCAAATGTCGTTCATGTCTATCAAAGCTCTAGCTAACTACCCCCAAGCCATCCTATACGTGGTCTACTCTTTCAATTTTCTTTATTAGTGGTATATTTTTGACTCACACAAAAATCTTAGCGACAGCATAAATACATCTTGAAATAAATTTATCTAAGCTTAGTTTTTAAAAGTCTGAACAACAAAGCGATTTTTTTTAAAATTAAGAATGCAAAAGAATTTTATTATTTTTAAATTAAGGACCTATTCTACTCATTAAATGAATAGAAATAAAACTCTAGGGTAACATTTCACGGAAGATCGAAGAATGGAAGTATTTTCATGGAAGAATGCAATATCTCCTACACTGTTGTACACTGTTGTTTCCTTCTGTACATACTACAAACTTTCTGGAGACTGAAATTAACATTTTTCTTTTTGCAGAACTTATATCTCGTTACTTTCTCGTATACAAATTACAGAAAAAGTATTGTAATCGTGCAAAAAAAAAAAATCGTGTTTTTTTTCAAATCTCCCTGAGTCGAAAAAACATAGTTTTGCAATTTTGTCCGTTTGTCTGTATGTGTATGTGTGTATAAGTGTGTGTATGTGTGTGTCCGTGAACACCAGGGGCGGAATTACCATACCGCCAGACCCCGCAATGCGGGGGGGGGGGGGGGGGGGCAGGACGTTTAGGGGCCCAGTTCCGACCAAAAAAAAATGAATTTTTTTTTCAAAAATTAATTTTTTTCACGCATCTTGAAATGGGTTTTGTAAAAAAAAACAACAGGTCTACTATAGCAGAGATTGTTGCGTAGAAAAATATTTTAAAATCTACAAGAGCTATAGTTTGATAGGTAGGTAAACATTCACACTACTTCCATGACTTACTGCCCTTCTTTAAAATAGGGATCCCCACAAAGCTCATTTAAATAGTTTTGTACTATGTATATTAAAAAAAATTGATTCTCTGAATTATTACTTAAATAAGACGTAATATACAATAGTATAGCTATAAAAATCAATGTTTTCAAAATTGATATTATAAAAGCCAAAAATGAAAAAAATAAACATAACGCGAGAAACCATTCACAAATCAAGCTAACTTCTTTATATATTTTTGACCAACAAGTTTTTTGGACACTTTAATTACACAAGATGAGTTTGGACTAAATTTTTTTCTGGTTTGTTCTCTCAGAATGGTTGTATATTGCAATAAAATAGGCTACATTACTCAGTTAGGACAGGGGTCGGCAACCTGCGGCTCGGCTCTTTTGATATCAAGATGCGGCTCTCCAGCTCCTTACGCAAATACTAACAATCTTAATAAAAAAAAATATTTGAAATAAATAAAATGTTAGTGGCTCTTTAAAACCAAGGAAATTTTGAAAATTGTAACTTTTGGCTCTTCTATTTCAAAAGGTTGCCGACCCCTGAGTTACGATATAGATTTTATATATATATATATATATATATATATATATATATATATATATATATATATATATATATATATATATATATATATATATATATATATATAAGGGGCCCTATTTTTTTCTTTGCAGGGGAGCCTTTTTTTCTAGTTCCGCCACTGGTGAACACGACAACTTGTGTTCCGTTACAGCTAGGTTGATGAAATTTCATATATAAGTATTATATCAAATATCTAGTTCTGTATCAACTTTTGAGCGATTTCCAGTAAACGGATGTGGAACTTATTCTACTTTCAATTTTTCAAAGTCCTATAACTTGAGTAATGTTTCACATAAAAAAAATGAAATTCACATGTAAGTAAAACATCTAATTCTCAGCCTTCTGTCAAAATTTGAGTTGACCGGAAGTAGTAATTGACGCTATTTTCGATTTCTCAAAAAACACGTGCGAATTGATAAAGTACTCATAATATTCCGCAATATTATACACATATTGTTTGGCGTTCACTTGGTGCGCAATTCTTTTTTCTACGAGATTCTATTCTATTTTAAAAAGTTTGAGTAATTAAAAATGGATTAAAAATCATGTCTTTATCCCGAAATGCCATCCCCCGCAGTGTTATATGAGAATATTCGAGATAGTTTAGGGGAGATCACTCCCGGTTTATTTTCTAGCGTCTGTTGTAGCAAACACACCCAAACTCAACATTTCTTGTGACTAATCCGCTGGGTATTAAGTTGTCTCAATGTCTCTCTAGCAGGATTAGCTTTACCTCGCCACAGACAGTCGCACTAATTTATGTAGTCACTGTGTCCTAGTTAGTCCCGAGGTGTGTACACATGATTTGAGTATAAATAATAGTGTACATATTTATTTAGGTATATTTAAAATCATTTTACGTTTCTGGCAAATTAATTTTAAGGTATAAACAATAAATACTTTGAAATTTACATTAAACTGTCTTATTAAACATTGTACTGATTGTAAATTAAAATAAATCAAATATCCTAGGATCAACCGCAAACTACCTTACAGTATTTCTATATATTTTTAACGATTTTTTTTTACATTTTTATATATTAAGCTGACAGTAATAGCAATAAGTAATTGAGTTTCATTTCACCTCTGTACAGCGGCCTAGGATCCTAGAGGGACAGTGGGAGGGGAAAGAGAAGCTATTTTATAAGATAAAAAAATCAAACAAGACGAGGACCTAATCAAGCACAAACAGGACCAACACTGTCTGGTACTTCTGCCAGACGTCTGCTCTTTGTGACGATTTCTTTCAATTTTCACAGGTCAGTGAGTAGTATCACGCACGTGCTGGTATGTTGCACATCACAATGGCAGTCACGTGGGATGCACTAAATGACCTCGGGGTAAACTTTTTTGTTCATGCATCTCCGTGTCGTGACGTCATCTCCGGTATCGTGGTTTCAGTTGTATAGCTCACCAACTTGACTCAGCTATCAAGGACAGTTACACGACGTGAAGGGTTATCTCAACAACGTCCTACACTTAAGTTTTTTCGAGAGGAAGTTTAGAGATACAATCTTATGAGCATCTCACACACACAAACACACAGCAATTTATATGTACATATATACACATATATATATATATATATATATATATATATATATATATATATATATATATATATATATATATATATATATATATATATATATTATACTCATATTTGCTTGTGCAATCTTGTTATTAACATGCACATTATAGTTTGAGTTTCGAGTAATTTTAAGTTTCGTTGTAAGCTGATCTTACGTGTCTAGAAAATGAAAACTGGACTAACAAGAAATCTATTTTTAGCTGTAGTTGACATGAAGTAAATTAGCAGCTTCCAAGAAAACAGAACACAAATGAACATTTCCATATCTAGAAGTTTTGACCATCTTTAGATATGTGATTCATGTTAGCCCCCAAGACTTGAATGAATTGTTTAACCTTTCCATTTCTAGAAGTTTCGACCGTCTTTAGACCCGTGAGTCATATTGTACCAGAGATTTTAGGGTATAAATGTCTGACTGTTCACCTACATGCTCATACACCATCAGACCCACGACTTCAATAGATTCAAGATTTGCTGACATTCAGTTCGAATCTCTTTCAATTATTTTAAAATTCTCTCGTAAGGACTACATAGGAGTTGTTGAGTGCATGTCGTGTTCTAGAATAATAAAGTTCTAGCAGTTCAACCGATTCACCGATTGAATTCCGTTTTTTTTCCTGCTCCCAGACGTCTTTAGACAGTTTCTTCAAGCGTGCTGAAGGATGAAGACATTTGTTATTTTCGCACTTGTTGTTGCTCTGGCTGTCTTACAAGGTACGTTTATAATTCAAGTCACATTTTCATAGTCTAGATAAACAATACATGTGAAAATTGTCGAACCATTAACGATATAACAAGTTTATGTAACGTGAATCCTAGACAGATAAACCTTTTCGCATGTACTTGTGTAGACCTACTTGTTTATAACGTGTCATTAACACACCTCTGCTCGACGTTCATTCAGTCTCTGATCCATCTAAATTATTGATTTCAGCGGACGCCAGGAGTAAAGGTAAACCAAAGTTGAAGTTGCCATCTTTCAAGAGGTCAAATTGGAAGCCAAAGATTACAAAATTTACAAATCGCGGGATTTCCAAGTTAGGAAAGTTAACTGGCAAGCTGGCTTCTGGTAACCATAGCAACACAATTTCATCAATTATTTTAACTGTCTGATTAATTAGGATTGTTTGAGTTTATCCTTAGTATACTGTCTAGTACACTTTCATTATATTTTCTTACAGAATGTGCTACTTAACTTTGCATTGTTTATCTACAGAATGTACACTTTCATTATATTTTCTTACAGAATGTCTAGTCCATCTTTCAACGTGTCTTGTGAGCTACGGTATCGACCGGGCTGGGAACGAAGTGGCGGATCAGTCTGTCTACTGCCAGTAAGTTGAAGATTAAAGATACCACTACAACATCACCACCAAAATACACTATCAACAACATCACCACCATCTGATCATGTCAACAACATCACCACAATCTAACACTGTCAACAACATCACCATCATCTAATATTGTCAAGAACATCACCACCATCTAACACTATCAATAACATCACCATCATCTAATATTGTCAACAACATCACCACCACCTGACCATGTCAACACCATCACCACCATCTAACACTGTCAAGAACATTACCACCATCTGACCATGTCAACACCACTCTTATCACGTGACTGTATGATCCCCGCAGAGACTTGGCCAAAGTTATCGAGTGTGCTGTGAATATGTGTACGACCAAAGTACCGTACCTAGCTGCAAGTGTCCAGGCTCTCATAGACCGTCAGATGGAAAAATATCAGCACCCATGCAGTTAGTGTTTCACTCAGCTCGGTTTGAGAAGTGTTTTTGTGTATATATGTGTGTGTGTGATGAGCGTGTATGAGTGAGTGTCTGCATCAGCAAGTGTGTAAGTAAAGTTCCCTTTTCAAACCTGACTGTCTAAAGGGCAAGTGGAGTAGAGTTCATTTGTTTCTGTGACCTCGGCATATGAAGAGATAGTGTGGTCAGCACTATGCCCAGCCGCCTTTACTTTCCCTAACTTGAGTTAGGTACCCATCAGAGTTGGGTTGACTCAGGGACGGTCTACTGAATTGAACCCGGATTCGAACTCGAGACTTACGGTTTAGCAGTCCAGCTCTCTACCGTTAGACCACTCCGTCCCAAGTGTGTGTTTGCTGATATTACTGGATGCTGGAGGACGAGAGAGAGCGAGAGATAGCAAGATATTTTTCTCCGGGGGTGAGGCACTACCCCCCCCCTCGAACTAAATATAATTTATATATAAAATATTTCAGTCAGTGTCCGCCCCCCCCCCTTCCCAGAAAATTTCAAGCTTGTATTCTTTTATGTGACACATGTAATGCTGTTCCACTAAAACAGACAGCAGTGTCCGTGACTAGATATCTATATTTATAACACGAAAATGGCAGGAGCTAAGTAGTTTTCCCTTTTTCTGTTGTATGTGTTAGGTAACAAACGATTTTTTTTTATAACATTGACTTTCTTTTTCAGAAACTGAGCAATGGGACGAAATTCAACCTTCGGATGTAATTCCGGCATTCGACGAATTGCAGTCTTCAGGTGAAATCCACGAATTTGGCGAAATTTAGCCATTTGATGATTATCAGCCATACTTTTAGTTACCATCCAATAACAACCTTTCAATATTACATGTGTTTTTATTGTTTGTTATCTCAGAACGTGTATATTTGTTAACATTTTTCAAAGGCCAAACGGTAACTTTATGATGATGATAAAAAGTAATGGTGAATTATGTATTTTAGAAAATAATAAACAAAGAAAATAATAAACAAAGAAAATAATGAACAAAGAAAATAATAAACAAAGCAAATAATGAACCATGAAACATTTAAATATTTAAAAAATAGTTATTTAATGGCACAAAAACAGATACAGCACAAGGCAGTGTTCAACAGATACAGCACAAGGCAGTGTTCAACAGATACAGCACAAGGCAGTGTTCAACAGATACAGCACAAGGCAGTGTTCAACAGATACAGCACAAGGCAGTGTTCAACAGATACAGCACAAGGCAGTGTTCAACAGATACAGCACAAGGCAGTGTTCAACAGATACAGCACAAGGCAGTGTTCAACAGATACAGCACAAGGCAGTGTTCAACAGATACAGCACAAGGCAGTGTTCAACAGATACAGCACAAGGCAGTGTTCAACAGATACAGCACAAGGCAGTGTTCAACAGATACAGCACAAGGCAGTGTTCAACAGATACAGCACAAGGCAGTGTTCAACAGATACAGCACAAGGCAGTGTTCAACAGATACAGCACAAGGCAGTGTTCAACAGATACAGAAAAAGACGAAATGAGCGACTCTACTCATACAAGTGTTGAAGCAGCCGGCAGAGTTGTCTCCCATCTTGTCGGGGTGACAAACTGTAGAGACAAAAGGGAATTAATTAGGTCATAAACTGTAAAGACAAAAGGGAATTAATTAGGTCATAAACTGTGGAGACAAAAGGGAATTAATTAGGTCATAAACTGTAAAGACAAAAGGGAATTAATTAGGTCATAAACTGTGGAGACAAAAGGGAATTAATTAGGTCATAAACTGTAAAGACAAAAGGGAATTAATTAGGTCATAAACTGTGGAGACAAAAGGGAATTAATTAGGTCATAAACTGTAAAGACAAAAGGGAATTAATTAGGTCATAAACTGTGGAGACAAAAGGGAATTAATTAGGTCATAAACTGTAAAGACAAAAGGGAATTAATTAGGTCATAAACTGTAAAGACAAAAGGGAATTAATTAGGTCATAAACTGTGGAGACAAAAGGGAATTAATTAGGTCATAAACTGTCGAGACAAAAGGGAATTAATTAGGTCATAAACTGTGGAGACAAAAGGGAATTAATTAGGTCATAAACTGTGGAGACAAAAGGGAATTAATTAGGTCATAAACTGTCGAGACAAAAGGGAATTAATTAGGTCATAAACTGTGGAGACAAAAGGGAATTAATTAGGTCATAAACTGTGGAGACAAAAGGGAATTAATTAGGTCATAAACTGTGGAGACAAAAGGGAATTAATTAGGTCATAAACTGTCAAGACAAAAGGGAATTAATTACGTCATACACTGTGCAGACAAATGTGAAGAATAGAGTCGATAATTAGTTCACAAACTATAACAACAAAGTGAGAAAATGTGTTTAAGATATATGGAGACAAAGGAAGATAATTAGTCCATAACATTTGATGACAAGGGACGATAATTAGCTCACAATGAAGATAATTCTATTCAGTAACAGCTGTGGTAAATACCAGACAACAAGACATCGAGCACTTTAGCAGCCCTCTAAAGCCAAATGTTTGCTGTTTTGTCAAATCTGATACAACTTACGGCAACCATCACGAGACGCTGGTGTGTGGAGGGGGGGGGGGGGTTATAACTTATTATTTAAGTAGATTAAAAAGGACTGTAGCAAGGAGTGAGTAGAGAAAAGCTACAGCAAACTCTCAAACGTGGCAGTAAAATACTCTCATTGGTCGCAGGAAAATATTCTTGATCAAGTAGGCTATTACCCTCACATTTTAGCAAATTCATGTTAAAATTATTTTTTTTTACTCGCGTTTGTACACTAGCAGAATGGGCCAGAAATACAAAAAAGAAGGGATCGACAAAACAGGGTGCGAGTAAACAGGGGTCGATACATAAAGGGGTCGAGAAATAAAGGGGTCGAGAAAGGCCAAGATTGGAATGTCTGCAAGAAAAGAAAATGTGGACTTACGATTGGCACAGCTCTCAAAACATTCCATTTGACAGCCGTTGTAGCCGACAACACTGAACAACATACTGGCGAGTAACGACAGCTTCAGTAGAACGTTTGGTTGGAGATGCTATAGGACAATCGAAACATATATATATATATATATATATATATATATATATATATATATATATATATATATATATATATATATATATATATATATATATATATATATATATATATATATATATATATATATATATATATATATATATGCAAATCATTTTAATAAGGCTGTGTTTCTAGAACTATAGAAAGCCACATACCATCGTGTTTAGCCAGATATCGATGTAAACAAAACAAATTGTATGTCTGGCTGTCTGACAAAAACATTAATTAACTGGCAATGGTGCGATGACAGCAGTGAGGTGTGTAACGTGTACTAGAGACGTGTCAAATCTCTGTCTATTGCAGCACACTGACACGTGTGTTCTGTGTCAACCACGTGGTACCGCCTCGTGCTGGACGAGTCTAAGTCTGGCCAATATAGGGGCGTCTGGTAGAAAGTTAGGGCCAATATAGGGGCGTCTGGTAGAAAGTTAGGGCCAATATAGGGGCGTCTGGTAGAAAGTGGGGCCAATATAGTGGCGTCTTTGGTTAAAAGTTGGGCCACTATAGGGGCGTCTTTGGTTGAAAGTGGGGCCAATATAGAGGCGTGTTTGGTTAAAAGTCTGGCCTATATAGGGGCGTCTTTGGTTAAAAGTCTGGTCTATATAGGGGCGTCTTTGGTTAGAAGTGGGGCCAATATAGAGGCGTCTTTGGTTAAAAGTGGGGCCAATATAGAGGCGTCTTTGGTTAAAAGTGGGTCTAATATAGTGGCGTCTTTGGTTAAAAGTGGGTCTAATATAGTGGCGTCTTTGGTTAGAAGTGGGGCCAATATAGAGGCGTCTTTGGTTGAAAGTGGGGCCAATATAGAGGCGTCTTTGGTTAAAAGTGGGGCCAATATAGTGGCGTCTTTGGTTAAAAGTGGGTCTAATATAGTGGCGTCTTTGGTTAAAAGTGGGTCTAATATAGTGGCGTCTTTGGTTAGAAGTGGGGCCAATATAGAGGCGTCTTTGGTTGAAAGTGGGACCCATGATGTGGCGAGTTTTCTTGAAAGTGGGGCCCATGTTGTGGCGAGTTTTCTTGAAAGTGGGGCCCATGTTGTGGCGAGTTTTCTTGAAAGTGGGGCCCATGATGTGGCGAGTTTTCTTGAAAGTGGGGCCCATGTTGTGGCGAGTTTTCTTGAAAGTGGGGCTCATGTTGTGGCGAGATTAGACCATTAAATATTTAATTATTTTTTGCTAGGCAACATAGATCATTAATTGCTTGTTTCAAGTATTTTAATTACAGCTCGCGGTGATAAGTCTACCATTAGTATTTGATTGATAGACTAGAAAAACCTAGACAAAAATAGTACAACATCACCTATCAAATTAACTTGAGTATTGCCTGAAGTACATCTGGTAGAAGGTATTTAAAAGTCGACCAAACGCCAGCCTAGGTTTACTCTAGTGTTGTTCAGATGTGCCTCCATCATCAGGTGTAAGAGAAGGCTGGGCTATTCTAAAGACACAGATGTTAATGCTGCGTCTTGCCTAACTTTCCCATCTTTGTATAAACAGATTTACGTTAGGTACTGCTAAACGATTTGTCATCGTTGTGCTAAAGAGATTTGTGTTAGGTACTGCTAAACGATTTGTCATCGTTGTATAAATAGATTTGTGTTAGGTACTGCTAAACGATTTGTCATCGTTGTATAAACAGATATGTGTTAGGTACTGCTAAACGATTTGTCATCGTTGTGCTAAAGAGATGTCCAGGTTGAGCGTCAGTTTACTCTACTGCTACTACATGATGGTGTGCTGTGACTGTGTATCCCCGATGTTAGTTGGTGGACAGGGTCAACCTCTGGCCGGGGACACACGGACCATGTTAGATGGACACACTCAACCTCTGGCCGGGGACCCTGGGACCATGTTAGGTGGACACACTCAACCTCTGGCTGGGGACACACGGACCATGTTAGGTGGACAGGGTCACCCTCTGGCTGGGGACACACGGACCATGTTAGGTGGACACACTCAACCTCTGGCTGGGGACACACGGACCATGTTAGGTGGACACACTCAACCTCTGGCTGGGGACACACGGACCATGTTAGGTGGACACACTCAACCTCTGGCTGGGGACACACGGACCATGTTAGGTGGACAGGGTCACCCTCTGGCTGGGGACACACGGACCATGTTAGGTGGACACACTCAACCTCTGGCTGGGGACACACGGACCATGTTAGGTGGACAGGGTCACCCTCTGGCTGGGGACACACGGACCATGTTAGGTGGACAGGGTCACCCTCTGGCTGGGGACACACGGACCATGTTAGGTGGACAGGGTCAGGCCGGGGACCCTGGGACCATGTTAGGTGGACACACTCACCCTCTGGCCGGGGACCTTGGGACCACCAACCATGAGCTGACCTTGCACCAAGCCAAGAGAAACCTGCCGCCCTACAACATCTTGTGGAACAAATCCACGACCACGCCCCGATCCTACCAGCTCGGCTTCTGCCCCACCCGATGCCAGCCAGACCAGCGCCACTACCCCCTGTTCTTCATGTCTGGCTTCTGCCACCGCTGTGTCGAGTGTGGATGTGCCCAGCCCGCGTGCCACATCTACGGCAACTGCTGCCCTGAGCTGTACGAGGAGACGAAGCTTCTGGAAAACGTCGCCATCAATTTACCTGAAGACCGCGACACCTTCATGTCCAAAATGGCACCGGGAAATGGAACGGACACCTGGCCAGCGGAGGCCGGCCGGGTAGTGTGTGACGACAAGTTTTCTCTGCCGTCCGCCTTGTACATCCGCACCTGCCCCGCCCAGACTACCGGACATGACGTGGACATGTGTGAGCGAGACGTCCATCCGTCCAACATGACCTTGACCTTGATCAAACATGTGCAGGATACAAAGACGAAAGTGTTTTATTGGAATAAATTCTGCGCTGCTTGCAATGGCGTCGAGAAGGTAAGTGCACAGACCTCTAACTTTTGTATCTTTAACTGAAACGAATACTAATCTTAAAGAGAAAGTTTGGTAAGCAGAACTACAAAACTATCCTCATGATGAATACGCTCATGAAATAACAAATATATATGTATTTCCGAAAATTAACTAGATCTTTCATTTGGTGAAATAGAGAAAGCCGATTCCCCTACTATACATTAACAATAATATTACATGCTAGGTCGGGTGTCAATCGATTCGGCATCTGATGGGCTTTGATTTTCAGCTTGTGTTTATCACAAGAGAACTCGGCCTCCGCCATAGGTTACATTAAAAAAACACAATTGACTTATGTAGACACGCCCCTAACGTGTGTAGACACGCCTCGGATGTGTGTAGACACGTCCTTAATGTGTGTAGAAACACCTCTTACGTGTATAGACACGCCCTAACTTGTGCAGACACCTCCTAACGTGTGTAGACACGCCCCTATCGTGTGTAGACACGCCCCTAACGTGTGTAGACACGCCTCCATCCCCAGCTGACGCCCATGGATGTCCGAGTCAGCTGTAGCAGCTACATGTCCGTGTACACGGCCACCGACCAGGACACCTTGCTGCGGCTCGCCATGTCAGACCGTCTCTGTGTGGTCAAGAACGTCGCTTCACCATCCGCCTGGCCCATACAGTGCGTCCCCGGGCAGTTCAGGTAAATTTTAGTGCTACTAAAAACGCTAATTAAAATATGTATTTATTTTCTTAATACAATATGTTTTCCACTTAAGGCTGGGGGGGGGGGGGGGGGGAAGATCGTGGGCGGGGAGGGGGCAGTTGCAAGTCAACAGATGCAACCCCGCATGATACATCCAAACCTTCTCACCAAACCCTAGCACCAAAACCTAGCACCAACCCCTAACACCAACCGCTAGCACCAACACCTAGCACCAAAATCTAGCACTAATACTAGTACCAGCCCTAGCACCAAGCCCAGCACCACCCCACCAACAACCCATAGCAACAACTCAAGCACCAACCCATAGCACCAACCCTAGAACCAACCCTAGCACCAACCATTGCACCAACCCTAGCACAAACACATAATACCAACCCCTAGCACCAACCCCTAGCACCAAAATCTAGCACCAACCTAGCACCAACACTAGCACCAACCCTAGCACCAACCCCTAGCACCAACCCTTGCACCAACCCTTACACCAACCCTTGCACCAACCCTTACACCAACCCTAGCACCAACCCTAGCAACAACACTTGCACCTACCCTTACACCAACCCTAGCACCAACTCTAGCACCAACCCTAGCACCAACCCTTGCACCAACCCTAGCGCCCAACACATAGTACCAACCCCTAGCACCAAACCTAGCACCAACTCTAGCACCAACCCTAGCACCAACCCTAGCACCAACCCTAGCACCAACCCTAACACCAGCCAACCTTCCACAGCAATGTGGTCGACAGCTGCAGCCAAACGACCGGCTCACACGATGACGACATCACACGTGCGTGCAGGGATTTGAACCACTCAGCCTACAAAGTCTATACCACCAAACCTCTGACGTTCTATAAAAATATTTTCTGCGCTATTTGCAATCAAGTAAGTGCTATATTGCAATAGTGTTAGCTACGCTAATTAAATTATTTTAAGCAAGTTGTTTATCTAAGGATCCATGTACAAACTTTCAAACGTTGTACCCATCCTATGGCACAACTCCACAGAACATGTACCCATCCTATGCGACATATCCACAGAACATGTACCCATCCTATGCCAGATGTACGGAGGACGTGGGCAGGGTACCGACATCTGTTTTACCTTTCTCAATGCTCATCGACCTTGGGGCAGTAGAACGACCTCAAGAGGACAACACAGCTGGTCATCGTGTGTCGTCATGCATGTCTTACCAGTGGTCATCACCCGACGTGAGTCAGATGTCAGCAAGTTGTCAGTGTCAAACATGACTCAAGGAATGACTGTAACTGTATGAATGCATGAGTTCAAGTACCTAAGTGTGACTGACTGTATTGATGACTCAGCAATACAGTTCTTACTCTCTGTCTATCCAGGGAGGTTGTATGACATTGGGATGTGCACCAGGCAAAGTTCTCAAGGACGACAACAGCTGTACAACAGCCTACAGCATCGTCGCTGGACTTGGCTACAACATCCACATATGGCTGATGTCTGACAGGCTGACCTCCCTCCCTCCACCCTCGGCCGTCCTGGGGGGCGCCACACGTCAGGTAGGTGGGGGGGGGGGGGGACATTGAGCATTACGTCACTTAATATTACAAACTAAATCAAATTATTAACGTAAAATTGCACAAAATAAGAAAATGTTTTCTTACTGAAATGAAAATTATAGTCCAGTAATAGCATTATATTCAAGGTAGCATTTTTTAAAAAAGTTACCGTTATATTGTCTATTAACATTGAAATTTACTTCGTTAAATAAGTTTAAAATTAAATCAGATGTTAAACTTTCCTGTTCCATGTGGCAATGCTAATTGTAATTGTGTCTTGTCTTACCATCAGATAGACGCCATCTTGTCCAATATCAGCAGCCTTTATTCGTTGGAAATTGGGGCTGTGTCGGCGTGGAACTCTACTGGTCACCCTAAGCTGAACTCTGAACTTTTGCTATGGGTCAAAGGTCAAGTTATTGCCAGCGAAAATTTGACCAGGGACAACTTCGAAACGGAGTTGGTTCGCGTTTTGTTCCAGTCCCCGCTGTCGCTAGAGGTTGCAGGTTCTGGGCCCGTGCGGTTCATCGCGATACCAAGACTCGCATCTGACGTACTCGACGCGAACTTCTCTCGTGACGTACCAAGATGTGACGCACTGGACGCACACTTTTCCCGTGGCGAACCAAGATCTGACGCGAAGGTTCCCTTGACTGAGCCATCAGAACGTTTCTCGGCTGTTGGAGTAAACGTGACGAGAAATATCTCCGCCACGGCAGAAGTTCTCGACTCTATGGACGCTTTTATCAACGTGGGCCACACCTTACTGTGTAGTTTTGTCAGCTTCAACCAGTCCCAGTACACGGTGGATGTGGTCTACACCGATACCCCGCCGACCGTCACCGTGACGGTAGATCTTAACGTCACCACTGTGGTCTTCACGGACAGGTCAGAGCTTCTCATGCTGGAGGTCAGAGGTCACGGCGTGCTGCACGTCTGTCGTCAGTTGCTGGACGTCAAGTTGGGTGGACACACCAGCCCTGGGGTCAGTGCACCAGCAGTTGACCTCGTGACCTTGACCTGTGTGGCCGCGTCGATGCTGTGTCTGGTGCTGACCATCTGGACCTACGCCAGGTTTCCGGTGCTGAGGAACACAGCCGGTCAACACAATGTCCTGCTGTGTACGAGTTTGTTGCTGGCCCAGATGTCGCTTGTGGTCAGCTCATTCCTGTAAGTCGGGCTATCCATACAGGCAACGTACACACACATATAATTTATAATATATATATATATATATATATATATATATATATATATATATATATATATATATATATATATATATATATATATATATATATATATATATATATATATATATATATATTTGAAAATTATATTTATTTATTTATTTATTTATTTTTATTAATTAATTTTTTTATTAATTATTTATTTTATTTATTTATTTATTTATTTATTTATTTATTTATTTATTTATTTATTTATTTATTTATTTATTTATTTATTTATTTATTTATTTATTTATTTATTTATTTATTTATTTATTTATTTATTTATTTATTTATTTATTTATTTATTTATTTATTTATTTATTTATTTATTTATTTATTTATTTATTTATTTATTTATTTATTTATTTATTTATTTATTTATTTATCTATTTATTTATTTATTTATTTATTTATTTATTTATTTATCTATTTATTTATTTATTTATTTATTTATTTATTTATTTATTTATTTATTTAATTTTTTATTTAGTTATTTAGTTATTTATTTAGCAATTTATTTAATTATGTATTTTGTTATTTATTTAGTTTTATATATATATATATATATATATATATATATATATATATATATATATATATATATATATATATATATATATATATATATATATATATATATATATATATATATATATATATATATATATAAAGTGCACTCATACATTACTAGGTCGGCGCCAGGTGTGGTGTGTGTGGTGTGTGGTGTGGCGACCCACGCCCTGTGGCTGTGGATGTTCTCCTGGACGTTCGCCTGTAGCCTCCACATGTTCCGTGTCTTCTCGTCCAAAGTGCGCATGCCCACAACGCTGTCTGAAGGCCGACTAAAGCTGGTGAAGACCGTCGCTCTAACGCTGCTGTTGCCTGTTGTGTTGCCTCTAGCAGTGATGGTGTGGTCGATCTTTGAGTCGGATGGTAGACAAGTTGGGTACGGACAGTGGAGATGCTACTTGGATTCTACTTTATTAGTCGGTATACACTTCTCTTTTGTAGCCTTTTACTGGTATACAATACAATACGTTTCTTTAACAATGAGCTAACGTACAAGAAATTGTTGAACAATTAGTCGGTATTCGCAACAAAAATTTACTTTTACTCACATTTTTTGTCTGACTTGTACATGAAGTCTCGCTGTTATAGTCACGTGTCTTAACTACTCACCTATAGGGCTTGTAAATCTACGGTCTCGAAATCTACTAGCTGGCAAGTGCTTGAACGAGAAGTTGTGACCTACTTACAAGCCCTATAGTAACTAGCAGCATTTATAGACGGTCCCCATCATCATGTTCATCCCAATTGTTTTATACAACACATGTCTGACACAATGAAAGCATCTCTCCCTCTCTGTCACAGAGCTCACCATGATAGGGCCCCTGGCGCTCGTGACGATCTGTAACGTCACGTTTTTCGGTGTGACCGTCTACAAGATCCAGGAGGTCCGTGGTCTGCAGGTCAGCCAGCTGGGCAGGCGAGATGACGTCACCAACCTGTACGTCTACGTCAAGCTCTCCTCCATGACTGGCGCCTTCTGGCTGCTGGCCATCTTAGCTGAGGCGTCCGACAACAGCGTCCTCAGGTGGGTCTATGTCGTGGACGTCAGAATATGACGTCTTCAGGTGGGTCATTGTCGTGGACGTCAGAATATGACGTCATCAGGTGGGTCTATGTCTTGGATGTCAGTATATGACGTCATCGGGTGGGTCTTTGTCTTGGACGTCAGAATATGACGTCATCGGGTGGGTATCTTGTGGTGACTGGACGCCTTAAAGTGTGTCTTGAAATTGAGAATATAACGTACTGAGGTGGTATTTTGTGGTAGCTAAATAGTGGAGTTTCTTGTCATGTTCTAATGTAGTATTGACTACCCAGGGTTAAACACTCTTAGTAAGCTCAAACTAGCCAGCACGCAATACTGCCCGAGTAAGATAAAACTAGCTAGCCAGCACGCAATACTCTCCGTGTGAGATAGACCAACAAGCTAGCCAGCAGTTGGTAACGTCCGATTAAGACTTTGTTTCTTCCTGTAGGTACGTCTCCATCTTGTTGAATGGCTGCCAGGGTGTGCTCATCTTTGTCTCCTACATCTGCAACACGCGCGTGCTTCGTCTGTACCTGCCACATCACGTGACCAGGTCATCGTCTGACTCACCCTGGACGCACGAGACGTCTCTACGCTACTGACAGGCTGTATGCTACTGACAGGCTGTACGCTACTGACAGGTTGTACGCTACTGACAGGCTGTACTGACAGGCTGTACGCTACTGACAGGCTACTGACAGGCTGTACGCTACTGACAGGCTGTATGCTACTGACAGGCTGTATGCTACTGACAGGCTGTACGCTACTGACAGGCTACTGACAGGCTGTACGCTACTGACAGGCTGTACGCTACTGACAGGCTGTATGCTACTGACAGCCTGTACGCTACTGACAGGCTGTACGCTACTGACAGGCTGTACGCTACTGACAGGCTGTATGCTACTGACAGGCTGTACGCTACTGACAGGCTACTGACAGGCAGTACGCTACTGACAGGCTGTACGCTGCTGACAGGCTACTGACAGGCTGTATGCTACTGAAAGGCTGTACGCTACTGACAGGCTACTGACAGGCTGTACGCTACTGACAGGCTACTGACAGGCTGTACGCTACTGACAGGCTGTACGCTACTGACAGGCTGTATGCTACTGACAGCCTGTACGCTACTGACAGGCTGTATGCTACTGACAGGCTGTACGCTACTGACAGGCTCTACGCTACTGACAGGCTGTACGCTACTGACAGGCTGTACGCTACTGACAGGCTCTACGCTACTGACAGGCTGTACGCTACTGACAGGCTGTACGCTACTGACTGGCTGTACGCTACTGACAGGCTGTACGCTACTGACAGGCTCTACGCTACTGACAGACTGTATGCTACTTTCAGGCTGTATGCTACTGACAGACTGTATGCTACTGACAGGCTGTACGCTACTGACAGGCTGTATGCTACTGACAGGCTCTACGCTACTGACAGACTGTATGCTACTTTCAGGCTGTATGCTACTGACAGTTTGTACGCTACTGACAGGTTGTACTGACAGGCTGTACGCTACTGACAGGCTGTACGCTACTGACAGGTTGTACTGACAGGCTGTACGCTACTGACAGGCTGTACGCTACTGACAGGCTGTACTGACAGGCTGTACGCTACTGACAGGCTGTATGCTACTGACAGGCAGTACGCTACTGACAGGCTGTATGCTGCTGACAGGCAGTACGCTACTGACAGGCTGTACGCTACTGACAGGCTGTACGCTACTGACAGGCAGTACGCTACTGACAGGCAGTACGCTACTGACAGGCAGTACGCTACTGACAGGCTGGCTTGACAAGTCTTGTCTGTAGGGTTGACTTTAAAACAGAATTTATTGGTTAAAAAGCCAAGACATATTTTTGTTTCATAATTTGATGATTCTAAAGTTCTAATTAGTTAATCAAGTCGACGTGTCAATTATCCCAAAGTACCAGCCCCCCCCCCCATATCACTTAAATGTCACCAAGCCCCACCCTCTCTCCCCATATCACTGTGAAGCCCCCTCCCCCCTCCCACCATGTCAGACGAAATGCCCCAAGCTGTGACTTCAGTACAACAATGACGTTTTTCTAACCATTAAAAATAATTCACTGGACTACTTAATTACTACTTAATTATCTTTGATTGCTTCTGAAATAGTCGCGCGATGACTTAGTTCCGGACCATCTGCCCACAGTGCGTCACAGTGACGTTATGACGTCTCGTGGTTGCTTTTTGACGTCTGTCATTGACGTCTGTACCTAAAGGCCTGAAGGTCTGACGTCACTCGTTAGTTTATGTCTAAAAACAATTTCAAGATTTTAAAAATGGACGGATTTAATAATATGGCACTTCCATTAGCTTTCTACCTTCTAAATTAACGGACTCTCATTAAAAATAATGAATCAACATTTGATTTATAAATAGTTTAAGAAGCTCGGCGCAATATTTTGCATTACGAAATTTGAAGAACATTAAAATAAAGGCTGAAAAATCTCGTTTTCGTGTTTTGTTTTAGTTGTCTTCTTGAGATGGGTCAAGTTTGATAACTCAATTGTCAAGGCATTGAGAAATTCGTGTATCCGGGGAGCAAATATACAACCTCTCAATGTATATCCAACAAAAAATGTATCCAACAAAAATATCCAACAACAAGTTTATTCAACAAGTGTATTAAACTTTTCTTTCTCTTTTTTATTTGGCTACTTAAACTTTGTTGTATTTACAAGGTTAAGTACATGCATGAAAAATAGAGTTTCAAGGTAATACTACGGGTAACCGTAGATGTAATACTACAGGTAGCTGTCAAGGTGAAACAACAGGTAACTGTCAATGTGATGCTACGGGTAACTGTCAAGGTAATACTACAGGTAACTGTCAAGGTGATACTACAGGTAACTGTCAAGGTAATACTACAAATGACTGTTTAGACTAATATCACAGAACTTTCATCACACTAACTTCCAACGTTGAGAATCTCATCATGACGTCATCAGTTCTAGACGCGGTGGGACATTCTTCTACTCGACATGGTCTGTAACGATGTATCAGGGCGTCCTCGGGCAGGATAGTGACGCTAACATTGACAGAAATAATGTTAGAAACTCGTTATCAATCGTTCGTAGGGAAACAGTCAAAGGTAGAGATAAAATATTTCAAGGGAAACAATTTATGGTCATGTCAAAATATTTCAAGGGAAACAATCTAAGGTCGAATCAAATATTTAAAGGGTAACAATATCTAAGATCGAGTCTGAATGTTTGAGCTTAACCTACTGTAGAGATGGACTAAAGCACTAACGACGAATGTTTGAGCTGAACCTACTGTAGAGAAGGACTAAAGCACTAACGACGAATGTTTGAGCTGAACCTACTGTAGAGATGGACTAAAGCACTAACGACGAATGTTTGAGCTGAACCTACTGTAGAGATGGACTAAAGCACTAACGACGAATGTTTGAGCTGAACCTACTGTAGAGATGGACTAAAGCACTAACGACGAATGTTTGAGCTGAACCTACTCTAGAGATGGACTAAAGCACTAACGACGAATGTTTGAGCTGAACCTACTGTAGAGATGGACTAAAGCACTAACGACGAATGTTTGAGCTGAACCTACTGTAGAGATGGACTAAAGCACTAACGACGAATGTTTGAGCTGAACCTACTGTAGAGATGGACTAAAGCACTAACGACGAATGTTTGAGCTGAACCTACTGTAGAGATGGACTAAAGCACTAACGACGAATGTTTGAGCTGAACCTACTGTAGAGATGGACTAAAGCACTAACGACGAATGTTTGAGCTGAACCTACTGTAGAGATGGACTAAAGCACTAACGACGAATGTTTGAGCTGAACCTACTGTAGAGATGGACTAAAGCACTAACGACGAATGTTTGAGCTGAACCTACTGTAGAGATGGACTAAAGCACTAACGACGAATGTTTGAGCTGAACCTACTGTAGAGATGGACTAAAGCACTAACGACGAATGTTTGAGCTGAACCTACTGTAGAGATGGATTAAAACACTAACGACAGCGTGAGTTACCTCTGTGTAGCGTTGGTCAGGCTCCCCCTGGCTGCCATGTCTGCAACTCTTCTCACGTCGACAACTCTCGTCACGTGACCAGATCTGCTGGCGTAAGTTTTCTGAGGGTCAGATGACGTTCTGAGGGTAGAGGATACACGAGCTCAGGCGACACGTGATCTCATCTAACACGGGAATCACGTGACCTAGGTTTGGTCACCTACCTTCTACCTACAGTTATATGAGCTACCTGTGACGTATATTCTTTGACCTGCCTGTGAAATATGACTTACCTTTGACCTACATAATTTTACCTATCTGTGATTTACATTCTATGACCTACCTGTGAAATCTGCTCTTTGACCTACCTGAGATCTAGGTTTCTATGACCTACCTGTGACCTATGACCTACCTGTGACCTACATTATTTGACCTACATGTGAAATAAGTTCTTTGACCTAATTGAGATCTAGGTTTCTATGACCTACCTGTGACCTATGACCTACCTGTGACCTACGTTCTGTAACCTACCTGTAACGTTTAACCGTCAACATCTCCCCAGGATGACTGGGACCTGATGACGTAATGAAGTCAGCCACATAAAAGTCAAGTTTGGAACTCCCTGGGTTTGCCGCGAATTTTTCCTGGAAATAACGGAAAATGTCTGGTACTTTCTGGAATACAATGGCTTAGGTTGTTTGTATAAGGGGGTCGCCCATTAGCGACGTCACACATAGGGATGAGGGTGGAGTTCGAATCCTGTTGGCGGTGGGGAGGGGCTACAGGACATTACCCCCCTGGATATTTCCCCCCGGACATTTCCCCCCCCCCCCCCCCGTATTTACCCCCCCGGAGCAATTACTCCCCTGTCAATTACCCCCCTGTCAATTACCCCCCCCCCCCCCCCGGGGAATTACCCCCCCCCTATCAAGTTAAAATCCTAACTCTAACTAGAATTTTATACCTATATACTACTTTAATCCAAACCTTAAGAAAAAGACCAAAACCTAAGCATCCACCTTAGCCTAAAACTTCACACAAAACCAAAATCAAAGCTAGACACAGCCCTAACCCTAACACTAGCTTTAACCCTAACCCTAGCCCTAACCTTAACCCTAATCTTAACCCTAACCCTAACCCTAGCCGAGCCCTAAACCTAACCCTAACCCTAACCCTAACCCTAACCCTAACCCTAACCCTAGCCCTAGCCCTAACCCTAACCCTAACCCTAACCCTAACTAACCCTAACCCTAACCCTAACTAACCCTAACCCTAACCCTAACCCTAACCCTAACCCTAGCCCTAACCCTAGCCCTAAACCTAACCCTAATCCTAGCCCTATCCCTAACCCTAACTCTTACCCTGTCGGGGGGGGGGGTAATGTCCTACTGGACGGGGGGTAATTGACAGGGGGGTAATTGACAGGGGGGTAATTACTCTGGGGGGTAATGTCGGGGGGGAAATATCCGGGGGGTAATTGACAGGGGGGAAATGCCCTGTTCCCGTGGGGAGGTGGGGGGGGGGGGGTAAGAAATCGTTTGAAAAACGTGAAGTCGCTTGTGGATAAGCCTCAAATCAAACTTTAAAGCAACACAAAACAAATAGGTTCGACTTCAATAGATAATTTAGACCTTTAAATATCCATTTATAGATGTAAATTTTACAATAATATATTTTATGCAAATCTAATTTTAAGGAACGTATTTTTTTAATTTAAAAAATGAGTCACATTTCAGAGTAAGGATATATCCTATTACAGGGGTCTCCAAACTTTTCAGCCCGAGGGCCGTATTAACTATCAAATATCAGTTCGGGGGCCAGAGTTTCTTCAAGTTTCCCAACGAAATATAATTTATATAGAAATATATACAAATTTCAAGTGCCCCCCCCCCCCCTCCCCGGAAGAAAAAAGTCTGAAAGAAACACTGTCGGTGGCCAAAATCACATTCGAGGTCCAAGTTTGCTTTAAAATTGTTCTTCACGTATTTCAATCTTGAAAATATTTGTTCACACAGGTATCTTGTTCCAAAATTTGAAAGGTACTTTGATGCAAAAGTTTTAATATTAGGAAAATCTTCCTTTTGCAAAAACTTATAAAAACCCACCCGCCCTTCTTTGAACGTGTCTCTAATGACCTCCAGCTGCTTCAATTGGGTTCTGAAACAGTCTCACTTATTTCTGCCTTTGAATCCAAGTAAAAAAACCGCTACTGAAACTGCAGTTTGATGATATCGTATGCAAATGACGTGGGGAATTCAGTGGTTGCTTCAGCCTAAAGACCTTGCGCTACTGAGAGTGCGTAAGTTGTTGGCTTGTAGTTGTTCCAAAAAACATAAGTTTGGATCTGAAAGCCTTTAGGTGGGTGTATAGATCAGAAACTAAATTTCCATCTCTTGTAGTTTTAAGTTCAGAAAATTTAAATGACTAGTTATGTTTGCAGCAGAGGCCAATTTCTATACTAACTCTTCATCAGACAGTAAGTACATCAGCTTGTGGCTTGTCTTTACTTTCAAGGAAGTCACCTATTTCCTTTTTTAACTTAAATACTCTGCTCAGAAAAATTTCTTGCAAATTAGTCATCTTACTGCTGTTAAATATGGTAAATCTTGCGATTCTGTGTTTCTATCTTTTAAAATGTCTTTGAACTATCTATATTCACTCCTGTAAAAGTGCCATACATTCTATGTAAGGAAGCCAGTTCTTGTGTTATGGTTATGTCTTCATCCACACCTCAAATGAACATAAGCAGTTGAGATGTGGAACAGCTGTCCAGCAACTGATCCATTACAATTTAAAAATTGTAAAACTTGCTTGCATTTTCGCTACTTGAGACACGATGTTTTCACCAATGTCTGAAACACGGCGGGCAATGGTATTTGCACCCAAAGCTACATTTTCAAATTGTTTTGAATTTTCTGGGCATAGTTTTCAGCAAACTCTAACAAACATTTATTCCGTGGACAAAAAGATCGCCTCGGGCCGGATAAGAGGACCTCGCGGGCCGCATCTGGCCCCCGGGCCGTAGTTTGGAGACCCCTGTCCTATTAGTAAAATACCTGCAATAACGTGTATAGGGAGGTCTCCCTGTGAGGTATGACCATTTCGTCCAAGTTCAGGTTGATGACGTAATGGTACCCTGCCAGTCTCTGCCTGCAGTCAACATTGACCATCTCCAACACTTCCGGTCTGCTCATGTTCCGGATCACGTCTTCCGGTGGTCGGAACTCCATTAGCTCCAGAAAATTTCCATCTTTATAAAACTTGAGAACCGCCTCTAAGTTTGCGTCGTTTGGTGTGACGTAGAGCACAACTTTGGACACGCCCAGAGTTTTCTGCACCTCAAACCATTCGATGACGTAAGCTGGCGTGTAGGCGTGGGGCTGTGTCAGCGCTACACACACGGCCACGGCTGGGTGTGCTGTCGTGTACCCCACCCTGACATACCCAGACGTGCTGGGCGGACACGTTGATGACGTCAGAGTGGCGTACTGAGCTCTGAACTCTGACGTCATAATCACATTGTCACACACGTGTTGTCTGACTGTGTAGACTGTCTGTCTTGGTGTGTCGTGACCTGTGTCGTCACCTGTGTTGTCAGGTGAGCGGACCGTGGAGTTGACCACCACCAAGGTTATCGACTCGCTGTCCTCAAACAGAAGACAGCATCTGTAGGTCTGGAGACCAACGTCAAAAGTCGTGAGTACTACGGCTACTGTTGGCGTGAGTACTACGGCTACTGTTGGCGTGTCCGACACGTTTGTCCGTGTGTCCCTGACGTGTGGCTCGGTGTGAGCAAGGGCTGAGTACATGTACGTGTCGTCATACGCGACACGGATAAAGTTCGTGGTGAAAATCTCGCTTGTCCCCGAGACACGAACATCAGACTGTGGGTCACGTGACTGTAGGTTGACCGTCTGGTGCAGGATGGACGTCATTCTCAGCACGTGCGGGGTGGGGGAGTGTAGAACCTGGGGGGAGGGGCACGGGGTGGGGTGATCTTTGTTAGGTCATGATGTATTTTAATGTGATGTGGCCTTGTTAGGTCATGATGTATTTTAATGTGATGTGGCGATGTTAGGTCATGATGTATTTTAATGTGATGTGGCCTTGTTAGGTCATGATGTATTTTAATGTGATGTGGCGATGTTAGGTCATGATGTATTTTAATGTGATGTGGCCTTGTTAGGTCATGATATATTTTAATGAGATGTGGAAATGTTAGGTCATGTTGTATTTTAATGAGATGTGGAAATGTTAGGTCATGTTGTATTTTAATGTGATGTGGCCTTGTTAGGTCATGATGTATTTTAATGTGATGTGGCCTTGTTAGGTCATGATGTATTTTAATGAGATGTGGAAATGTTAGGTCATGTTGTATTTTAATGAGATGTGGCTGTGTTAGGTCATGTTGTATTTTAATGTGATGTGGAAATGTTAGGTCATGATGTATTTTAATGTGATGTGGAAATGTTAGGTCATGATGTATTTTAATGTGATGTGGAAATGTTAGGTCATGATGTATTTTAATGTGATGTGGAAATGTTAGGTCATAATGTATTTTAATGTGATGTGCCCTTGTTAGGTCGTGATTGATTGAAATTAATGAAGCTTTGGTAAAATGACGATCGATCGTCAAAAGGTGATCGATTGTAACGTCATGAAGTCATGTATAGCTTCTGTGTTGCGACAGAAATGATCGGTGACGCAATGAGTCGTGTAACAACCATTATGGTTATTTCAACGTTCCTAGTCTAAGCTATACACACTCATATATACACCTATTCACAGACAAACACACCATTTCATGCAGCGATACACACCAATACACACACCTATTATTACAATTAAGAACGAAGACATGTCTGTTTAATGTTGAAACTTTACTCCACAGTAAGAAATATTAATTTGATACAGTTTTTTGAATGTACTTTATGATTTAATTTTGCCAGAAACATAAATAGAATTAGGCCCACTTTCGACTAAAGCTTTTATCAAACCTCAATACTTAACCTGATGAAATCCCACAAAATCCCTGAGATATCCCATAATCCAATTTTAATTATATGTATGCTATAACCCTCACCTCACATAACGGTGACCTAGTTTATCGGCTGCACATCCAGTCAAGCGTATCGTTACCGTATATCTACCGAGTTACATCGATTGTTATAGATTTGTTGTTGGTTCAGAAAGAACTTTGTTATATTGATTATGTAATTTGTTGTTGGTTTAAGAAATTAGTTATAGGCCTACTGATTGTGTTATAGGTTTGGTCTATGTACACACGTCAACAAGTAGGGCTATGTACACAACATGTCAAAAACTAGGTCTATGTACACAACATGTCAGCAACTAGGTCTATGTACACAACATGTCAACAACTAGGTCTATATACACAACATGTCAAAAACTAGGTCTATGTACACATGTCACCAACTAGGTCTATGTACACTACACGTCAACAACTAGGTCTATGTATACGTCAACAACTAGGTCTATGTACAAAACATGTCAACATTATGTCTACGTACACACGTCAACAACTAGACCTATATACACATCATGTCAACAACTAGGCCTATGTACACAACATGTCAACAACTAGGTCTATGTACACAACATGTCAACAACTAGGTCTATGTACACATGTCACCAACTAGGTCTATGTATACAACATGTCAACAACTAGGTCTATGTACACAACACGCCAACAACTAGGTCTATGTAAACTACACGTCAACAACTAGGTCTATGTACGCAACATGTCAACTACTGGGTCTATGTACACAACAAGTCAACTACTGGGTCTATGTACATAACATGTCAACAACTAGGTCTATGTACGCAACATGTCAATAGCTAGGTCTATGTACACAACCTGTCAACAGCTACACAACACGTCAACAACTAGTTCTATGTACACAACATGTCAACAACTAGGTCTATGTACACACGTCAACAACTAGGCCTATGTACACAACATGTCAACAACTAGGTCTATGTACACAACATGTCAACAACTAGGTCTATGTACACAACAAGTCAACTACTGGGTCTATGTAGACAACATGTCAACAACTAGGTCTATGTACACAACATGTCAACAACAAGGTTTTTGTACACAACACATCAACAACTAGGTCTTTGTACACAACATGTCAATAACTATGTCTATGTACACAACATGTCAACTACTGGGTCTATGTACACATGTCAATAGCTAGGTCTATGTACACAACATGTCAACAACTAGGTTTTTGTACACAACACATCAACAACTAGGTCTTTGTACACAACATGTCAATAACTATGTCTATGTACACAACATGTCAACTACTGGGTCTATGTACACATGTCAATAACTAGGTCTATGTACACCACATGTCAACAACTAAGTCTATGTACACATGTCAACAACTAAGTCTATGTACACATGTCAAGAACTAGGTCCGTGTACTCACCGACCAGTAGCTGGCAATCAAAAAGCCCACCAAGATGAGTACCATAGCATGAAGCAGCTGTCTGAACGTCCACCTCACACCTGCCATGTCGCCCGTCTATTTTCCCTGAAGGTGTCTCTATCCTGGTGGAACGGTATCACGTTACGTTTTGTAGCCAAACCTTCTTGCTTAGACCTGCCTACATGAAACCAGAGATTTATCCAAGTGTGTTGACAACAGCAGACGATCGCGTGTGTGGTAAAACAACAGACGATCGAGTGTGTTGACAACAGCAGACGATCAAATAAGTCACGCAACAGCAGACGACTAAATGCGTTCAAGCGAATCTCCCTTTGCTACTGGGCTGCGTCAACCCCTCCATTAACATTGCCCACTGCAAGCTGGGAAATTTTTTAACACTCTAATCCTTTAATCCAAGCTCGAACTGTTATATACATTCTACAGTAAGGGATTTAAGTCCTTTTCAAATTTTTAACGATTATGTTAGAAAAATGTTCGTGTTTTTTCTCGTTTTTATATCGAACATTTAAATATTTTAAAGTTGGGACATATCGGTTACTGTTATATGTTGTATGTAGCTGTAAAGCTAGATAGATCAGTTACTGATATATGTTGTATGTAGCTGTAAAGCTGGATAGATCAGTTGCTGATAAATGTTGTATGTAGCTGTATGTAAAGCTGAGACGGATCTGATGCTGTATACAAATAATTGTGTGTGAGTGAAATGGCAGTAATTCAGAATTCGAAACAAAACATTATTTTTTCCCACGTTTTCTTTAACTTTCTTTCTCGTCTGTCTTTCCATCAAATCTTGCGATCGAAATTTCGGGCACTTCCCAGTTAGCTAGCGCGCTGAAACTTTCAGGGAAGCTTTGATTCCGATGACAATACAATATGCAATTATTATTATTACTAAATTGATCAATGGAAAAATTTTATTGATCATTTTAGGCCGCCCTTTTGCCGCTAGTCGGTGAGAGGGGCGGGGCGCGCTCGGAACGCGGCTGCAACCTTTTTAAGAATCAATGAACTTAAGTTTTAAAACCAAACCGAAATCGTGAGAGTCGTCGTTGTAAAACTAGATTTAACAAACGGCTGCGTAATATTAAATTTAAAAATAACATATAATATCCCCTATTGATTAAATACTGTATAATAAGCTTCATTCAGGATCGAATCATTGATTCTGGAAGAAACGCCGACAAAATCGACATGAGCAAAGTTGTATCCAACGATATAAATAAGACTGGAGGATTGCAAAAGGAAATGGAAATATTCCTCGGCGCTAAAGTGATGTTGAGAGCGAACATCATCGTTGAAAAGGGACTGGTTCATGGTGCAATCGGCAACATTACAGAAATTCATTGGCCAAATTTCAGACGCGACCAGATTGATAAAGACATTCCCGACTTAAGCATTGACTTTGGGCCAGATGGAATCCATCGGATTGAGCCGAGATGCGTAGAATTTGATGAAAAACTGAATTATGGAAAAGTCGAGCGAAGACAACTGCCCATAATTCTATGCTGGGCATGCACAGTGCATAAAATGCAAGGCTGCACAGTTGATCACGCAGTTGTCTATTTAGGACCAGCGCTTTTTGAAACGGGCCAGGCGTATGTTGCGCTCAGTCGAGTACGATCACTCGAAGACGTACGAATTGTGGAATTGGATTGCAGCAAGCTAACAGGAAAAAAACCTGCAATGAGGAATGTCTACAGGAGATGGAAAGAATGCGTCGACACGAACTTCCAGCTGATCCTGAATGCCTGGTGTCATGCCTGGTATAAGTCCCTTTTATCTTTGTGTACGTCCTTCGTGAGTGTTTGTCTTCGTTTACCCAAAAAAAAGTGAATGCGAGAAGATAAAATCGATAGCAAGATTTGAATGCAAACAAACAGACAAAGACTAAAAAGTAGAAAATAAATGCTATACATCACAATAATGCAAGCGATCACTCTACTATAAGCGATCGCAAACTGCGTGCGCATTATGACAAAAAATAATGAAAAACGTGGGGCGCCGTGATTTTCTTACAGTTTCTAATACTGCTGACTCTCTACAAGCTCCCTAATAAAACTCAATAGTATTATCTAATCAATAGTAATATAACTTTTACATCTTATATTAACAATGACCGATAAAAAACTTTTACTTCTGCGCGTTTTTCATTTTTTGTCATAATGCGCACGCAGTTTGCGATCGCTTATAGTAGAGTGATCGCTTGCATTATTGTGATGTATAGCATTTATTTTCTACTTTTAGTTCAATCAGAAAACGTGTTTGTTTTTTAATTTAATGATAATTATTTTAAATTATTATCTTTTTTTTTTTTTGCAAATTCGAGAAGACACTAAAAATAAAAGGACTCGGTCAAAAGGACAACACATGTGGGAACCTAGCAGATCTGCTAATCAGTGAGGGTAACTACAGGGCCAATATGTAAAGAGTTGAACATTGGAACAGTCGAACATTGAACGTTTGAACATTTGAACGGTTGAACATTTGAACGATTGAACATTGGAACGGTTGAACATTGGAAAGGTTGAACATTGGAACGGTTGAACATATGTAACGGTTGAACATTGGAATGGTTGAAAATTGGAACGTTTGAACATTTGAAAGGTTGGACATTTGAACGGTTGAACATTGGAACGGTTGAACATTTGAACGTTTGAACATTGGAACGGTTGAACATTGGAACGGTTGAACATTTAAAAATTTGTCACCGTCAAACTATCATACTAGTATGAATAAGAAACTTTCAATCAAAATTTGGTTTATAAAATTGTTATTCCAGAGAAAAATTGAATTACAAGTGTTCTTTTCAATTAACTCTTGCAGAAATTGACTATCCGATCACCATTAACTTGGGAAGTGGCTGAGAAGGACGGCGCCCGGCACGGTAAAATTTAGCGCCCCCCCCCCCCTCCGTCAGCACTATGGCGCCTACGTTCGTTTTAAAAAGTGCGATACACTATGGATACGGTGGGGTACTATAGTCAGATTTAACAGACCAACTAAATATCCAGAATATTCTAGTTACTACTTCACTTAAAATGCACTGCAACATTGCAACATATCTGAAACATTTTTCTTAAAACAATTATCGAAAAAAATAAATCCTCATTTCTTTTACGTTAATTTTTTTTAAAGTGTAGATAATCGAAAGAATTTTTTTTTAAATTGTAGATGATCGAATGAGATATTTTTTTCAAAAATTGTAGATGATCGAATTCAACAATTTTTTACAAGCTTTTATTTAACTCACTTCCTCTGTCTGTCTGTCTGTCTGTCTGTCTGTCTAGATCGAAACGCCGGAGCGAAAATTCGTACAGTTCTACTTGACCGATACGATTCACAGTTGGCACGTGGGTCAATACATGAAGACAATGCAATCTGAAACTAAATTTGATTTAATTGGATGCCTAATTAATTTTTTATGAATTAATTAAAATTTGGACCGAATTAGTAGGCATGTCTATCCAACCACACCACACGCGTCATCACGTTCAATAGCTGCGCCATCAGGTTCAATAGTTGCGCCATCACGTTCAATAGACGCGCAATGGTTTTTAGTCATGTAACACTATTGTAAATAAAACATGTAAAGCACTAAAAAAGAATTCATAAAAAAACTTTATAGTAATTTAAATATTAGTGTATAATTTATTTTCTACTTTTTAGTGCATTAGTACATAAAAGCTTGTTATTAAAACGTTTTTTATGAATTTTTTACAAGCTTTTATTTAACTCATTTCCTCTGTCGTCAGTCTGTCTAGATCGAAACTGCCGAGCAAACTTGCAGGCACTTCTAACTGACAGATACGATTCGTAATTAGTACGTGGGTCAAGACATGAAGACAATGCATCGTGACATTAAATTTGACTTAATTGGTCGCCTGATTAATTTTTTATGAATTAATTAAAATTTTGACCAAATTAGTAGGCAGTTCTATCCACACGCGTCTTCACGGCAAAAGCGCGTCATCACGTTCAATAGCTGCGCAATGGTTTTTAGTCATGTAACTCTATTGTAAATAAAAACATGTAAAGTACTAAAAAAAAATCATAAAAAACGTTTTAATAACAAGCTTTTATGTAATAATGCACTAAAAAGTAGATAATAAATTAACACTACTATCTAAATGACTATAAAGAAAAGCGTGGGTCTCTTCCTAAATATTAGTAAAGGTATCCAATAGATACTAAAGTGACCCACGCTTGTCTTTATAGTTATTTAAATAGCAGTGCATAATTAATTTTCTACTTTTTAGTGCATTATTACATAAAAGCTTGTTATTAAAACGTTTTTTATGAAAGTTAAAAAAAATTGTAGGTGATCGAATGAAATATTTAGACGGGATGATTAGACGAAATCTAGGACCATTTAGTGTGTGTGTGTTATCAGCCAAACAAAACTCAAACGTTTATGTTTAGGTTGGATTATCTGAGGGTTAGAGATTACGTAGGATTATCTGTGGGTTAGAGATTAACGAATTTCAAAGTTTTCCACAACTTGCATGATGTGCTATCAGTGTTGTACGAGTGATGTAAGCTGGAAAGATTAGCAGATTAAGATTAGCTGATCCATGTCTAATCCAAACCATCGACCTGTACTGGAGAAGATAAATAAACTCTTTCAAATTGAAGTTTTCTGTAACAACATTCGAGTCACACAGATTTGGTCAGTCCTTTATAAACATCAGCTGGTGATAGGGAATCTCGTGTCAGTCAAATGTTCAAACGACAAGCCCAAATTTTCTGATCTGTAAGTAGCTTTGTGTATGTGTTGGTAAACTTGGAGAAACTCAAATTTTCTGATCTGTAAGCAGCTTTGTGTATGTGTTGGTAAACTTAGAGAAACTCAAATTTTCTGATCTGTAAGTAGCTTTATGTATGTGTTGGTAAACTTGAAGAAACTCAAATTTTCTGATCTGTAAGTAGCTTTTGCGTATGTGTTGGTAAACTTGGAGAAACCCACATTTTCTGATCTGTAAGTAGCGTTGTGTTTGTGTTGGTAAACTTGGAGAAACCCAAATTTTCTGATCTGTAAGTAGCCTTCTGTATGTGTTGGTAAACTTGGAGAAACTCAAAATTTCTGATCTGTTAGTAGCTTTGTATATGTTTTAGTAAACTTCAAATATTTTTAAGTATTGTAAGTAGTATATTTTTATTGGTGGTAAACAAATCAATTATTAGCTAGAATTAATTCAATAGACTTCTATATATTGTATAATTATTTTGATTGTATTTCATTAATTTTAATCTCACTAATTTAGATGGTTTTCGTGAAATGTTTTGATTTAACAATATTTATTTCCTATGTGATCAGCAGTCAAAGGGAGAGAACAACACTATTACCATGCCCTGGCCGAGACAACTCGCACGTCAAGTATTTCCACGGTTACTCGCTCTTGTATCGCTGGTTATGTGTTGTTTTCTTCTATACCGCGCGACACGTGATGTGGTGTCTGACACACACGTGTACTCACTCAGTCAACAGGACCACAAGTCACATGACAACCTAACCAATGCCAGCGGCCCCTCCCCCCACAGTGTGGTGTCCCAGCCAGCAAGAGATACATTCAGCATGTTAGGGTTAGTGGACGACTCCCTGCTGAATAACCTAACCAAAAGCACGCATGCGTTATACTCTGTGATACCCGACGAAGTGTATTTAAAGAACAACCACACTGTTTTTACACCTCGAGCCGATGTCAACAACAGCCTGGATTACCTTTTCCTCATCTCAGGGGAGGCCATCTGCAGGAACCATAACCCGTTTCTCCTTGTCGTGATCCCGTCTGTAGTCACAAGGGCTGAGACCAGAGACCTGATTAGAAAAACTTGGCTGCGGGCCTCTGAGACCAACTCCTGGCCACATGTCGTTCTCGGGGAAAACATTAAACACATTTTTTTGTTTGGATTTCAAAATAATTCAAAGGACAAGGACCTGAAGAGTCTACAGACGGAATCTGTGTTGAACAATGATGTGGTGATGGCGGACTTTGTGGACAGCTACAGGAACTTGTCCGTCAAGATGTTGGTCGGGCTCCAGTGGACACTCAAGTACTGCAGCAGGACACGGTTCGTCCTCAAGGTGGACGAGGACACGTTTATCAACATGCCGTTGATGGTTCAACTGTTGAAACACGTGACACGAGATTTTAACGGTGATGTGTTTACAATAGGGCGCAGGCACCCCAGCCCGCGGCCGTTAGTGGTGAGACACCCCCACCGCTGGGGCGTCGGGTACGACGAGTACCCTCTAGAGTACTACCCCCAGTACACCATCGGGGCGGCGTACGCCCTCACGATGCCCAGCATCGCCCCCCTGCTGTCTACAGCCGCACACGTTAGACTGATCTCGCCGGAAGACGCGTTCATCAACGGGATTCTCGCCAAAACAGCGGGAGTTGCTCGACTCGCCGCGGATAGTTTTGCCAGCGACAACAACGTGAACGAGATCAGGGACTGTGACGTCGTATGGAACAGGAAGGTTGCGGTCATCGGGGTGTCCAGCAGAGAGAGGCTGCAAGAACTCTGGACTAGTCTGGTCACTCGACAGTGTAACACCACCAAACACTGAGTTCACTCGACAGTGTAACACCACCAAACACTGAGCTCACTCCGTGTTTTTTTGTCTCGTTGGTTTCCACGTCTTAAATCTTTTCACAGATCTCCTTATTTGTTCGGGGTATCTGTTACTGTTTGATGATTTTGATACTGGATTTGTTCGTGTTCTCTGTTATTGTTTGATGATTGAGTTACTGGTTTGTTATGTGTTCGGGGTATGTTATTGTTTTATTAGTGTGTTACTGGATTTGTTCGGGGTATCTGTTATCGTTTCATGATTGTGTTAATAGTTTGTGTCTTTTGTGTTGCTGTTTTCGTGTCGTTTGTGCGAGTCTCGTGTCTATAAATCGCTGATTTTTCAGCAGCCACAGGTACCAACAGGGTAATCTCACGTCGAAAGGTTCCCATTACTGTGTAAATTGACGTTTAGAAAATGCAACGCGCAAAAGTCTCAGTACTAGCACATGATGTCCATAAAGAGGAATTTTGTGGGGTGAAGACATAAAGTCGAAACTCCAGAATGTATTAGCAACTGTTCAACCTTACTGCCGTCTAATGTTGAAAACCCGCAATTCATTTTTCACTTGTACAGTAGTTTTTTTAAATTTAAAAAAAAAAACATTTAAATGAAATGGCCTTTAATAAATTATTCCTATGAAGTTGAGCCAAAAATATTAAAACGTTATTTTTTTTTACATGTTAAACTTTTAATTCGATAATTTATAGATGCGCATCATTTTAAACCGTCTGTTTCGAATACTTTACATTGAATGTAAACCCAGCATAGTTTGCTAATGACGACGATAAAAACAGACCCCCCCTCCCCCTACACCCCAGGCACTGTGGAGCTAATGTTTAATGAAATAGCCCCCCCCCCTCCACTCAGCGAATGGGATCAGAGACCAGCAGCCTATAGCCAGTGATTGATTGATTCTATTATTCAACAGCCACGAGAGTCCCCGGCCACAGGGTAAACAGTTCGATGCTGGTAAACCTTTCAGTGGCCAGATTTGTCTGCTTCGTGAATCAACAGATCAAACATACATACAGAAACACATACACATACATCGTGAATCAACAGATCAAACATACATACATAAACACATACACATGCACATACATCGTGAATCAACGGATCAAACATACATACATAAACACATACACATACATCGTGGATAAACGAATCAAACATACATACATAAACACCTGCACATACACATACATCGTGGATCAACAGATCAAACATACATACATAAACACATGCACATACATCGTGAATCAACCTATCAAACATACATACATAAACAAATGCACATATACATAGTCATGTCGTGAACGTACGCCTACACGCAAACGCAAACATGCAAACGCACACGTACGCGGACACACGAAGACGCACGTAAACGTATCAAGATGTATTAAACTTTAAAAAAGATTTTATAAAAAGTATTGTTTTTAATCTATTAAGTTTCTATAATATTTTTCTGTTTTTTTATCCAACATATTTGCCATATCAACCTTTGCAGTATTTGTCCTAATCAATAAAAAATTGTTTTGATTGTTTGAAACATTCAGTGGGAAGTCAACAAAAAATCAAAAATTTGGTAAACAGTTTAAAACATTGTTTTCACCAATTATTGGTATGCACGGAAGAATTTATATTTCAGTATTTTATCTGCGCTGAGTTTGAAAACAAAATAGATCTAGATGTTTTACGTGAATGATTAGAACTATATGTCAAAATAAATCTTTTTCAAAATCAATTTTTGAAATACTGACACTCAGAATAAATGTTTGAAGCATAAAAGTTGCACCTGGGTTTGAAAAAAAAATCAATTCCTTAAAAAATCTACCGGACTGGTTCGTGGCATGAGAATAGACGATCAGTCTAGATATAATTAGCAGGGGATCTAGTATGTGCTAACAGGATACAGTTGAATTATTTCTAGTCGACATCTACAGAAAGACTACTACGAAAATTTATAACAAAGAAACAATTACATAAAGATTAAGACAAATAGATAACCACATAAAATTAACACAAATAGATAACCACATAAAATTAACACAAAGAGATAGCAAAAGACAAAGACACACCACATATAGTTGTAGGTCTCTGTGGGTCATTGAACCTTAAGTTGTTGGTCAATGGCCGTCACCCCAAGCTTGTAGTTTGTGATTGGTCTATTAACGCACGTGACCAGCCATAAACCATGGCGTTGTTATGACAAATGAACTCTTGTGTTATCGGTTAGCTTTCACAGAAGAAAAAAATAGAATCTGAATCAATAATTCAAGAAAACAAAATATTTTTTATTGACCGAATGCCAAAACATGATGTTTTTCTATCAGCAATGACCAAAAATGGCTGCACATTTTTTGTGTTTGTTTTTGTATACAGCCTTGACACAGCGATGTTATTGAGTACAAATGCTGAATTATGTCACACTATACTGAGCTCTAGTTCTAAATGCTATTATACTTCCTTAGAGAGTTCGTGCCTAATAGTGTACATTTTATATTATTTAGTATTTGTTTATATATATATATATATATATATATATATATATATATATATATATATATATATATATATATATATATATATGAAAGTATGTCTGGCTGTGGGTTTGTTTATTTATCTTTTTTTAATTATTATAACTTTCGTCGACCCGGCAGGATGCTATTTGGCGCCCAGAGAATGCCAGAGATCTGTTACATGCACGTCCTACCCAAGGGGTCAGAGGTGCAACTGATTCTACGGTCAAACTGCACCAGGCTACCCTGAACACACCGGGGTCCCACGTGAGCACTATAGCGCCTACGTTCATTTTAAAGAGCGGCATACTATAGGGAACTCCGTTCGATGGTTTAACCGAACCAGGAGACGCAGCCGACGCTCCTGTGGTAGTACCCGAGAGCGTCACACGACGCCTCTGACACCTAGGCGGTCGTGGATGTCAGTTTTACCGCATTATTACGGAGGGTAATTAACATCAGTTTTACCCCATTATTACGGAGGGTGATCAACGTACACGAAATGTATTCATACAGCACGCCCTGGGACCTCTGGGCGGGAGTAAGGACCAACCTGTTCCCCAACTACTAGGGTCCAAGAAATATAGTGCCGGCATTGTTTACATTAGAATAACTCAGTTTTAGAAAACAAGGTTACACGTCTACAAATACACAATTTGTAACGTATTGATGAAATCCTTTTAAAATATGCAACAACAACACGTGCGCTGGGTAGGCTAGTATCTTATACACACATCAAAGTCTAAAAGGTTGATGGTACAAATGTCTTCTAGATGCAGGTAAAACAAAATCTGCCTGAAGTGGTCAGCGTGGTAGCTGACCATCTCACTGTTTAGTTGATCGTCTCTGAGTTAGATGGGACTGTGAATCATTAGTTGATCATCTCTCCTGCTGAATTAGATGGGACTGTGAATCATGCAAGTTTTGTGAGCCCAGGAGGTAGCGCGCATGATTCCCTTGTTTGTTTTCAGACGTCGTCACTGTGTCCGCTCAGCTGTGTTGGGTACCAGGCATGAATTGGGGAAACCAATGACGTGCATAGTGCTGACCACACTGTACCTTCACACGCACCAGATAAACTCTACTTCTTCTGCCTTGTTTTTGGTTTTCTGCACGTACTTTACCGTACAAGAGATAACATCAAACACATCATTGACTGCGACATTTTTTGTCCTCTAATAGATCATCGAGTCACCGTTTTGTTTTTTTTTACGGATCAATTAGGAACAATTTGACATTTGAGCTGCGTCACTGGCAACTGCGCATGTCCTAAAGGTTCACTTGGGTCACGTGATTCATCTGTCACCACGCAGTACAGCACGTGTCGTGTGCTGGTACCGAGGCTGTAGCTTGAATATTTCATCCACTGCCCTACCGGTCAGGCGCAACCCGTCAGGCCCTGGGGGGTAAGGCTGCTCATCACTCGAGTCCCGCCCCCACCTTTGATGTAGGATGACAGGCTGTTTTATCACGTGACACAACAGACCGCGACACTAACAGGCTGTGGATCGACATCATTGGCTTCCACACATCGAGACAGTAGTTGGGCAACATGATCACCTCGCAAGCACTATCAGCCATTTCCCACAATTTTCCTACTTGATGTGAAACAAATGGACCGTGAAACGACACCCGCGTTGTATTTCTAATTTTGGAAACATCAGACATTTCTGTAAAAAATGGCGTTTTCCAAATGTCTGAGTTTTTTTGTCGTGGCCATCTCTACATACACTTTCATAGCGTCACAGCCTCTATCAAATTCTTTAAACAACAGCACGGAGTATTCCGGTTACTTGGAAGATTCAGGAGTACAGGAGTTTGTGATAAACAATCAAACTAGCGGCAGCTATTGGATAGAGTATGAAGAAACTTACAGTTTTAATTCTTCGCTGAACTATGACCCTGAGCCAGGTGACTCGTGGTTGAACTATGACAGTGTGCCGGATAATGCATCGTTGACCTATGACCCCGAGCCAGATGACCCATCGTTGACCTATGAACCGCCCGCGGAAAACTATTCCCATAAAAAGTCTCACATTTACCCCTGGAACAAGACTCAGTTTTCTCCCCTTGACTACCAGCAGAGTTACTGCCCCATGAGATGTAAGGGAGACAATGTGGTGTATATCAACAACTTGTTGCAGATGGCGTGTCCGAGATTTTACTGCGCAACTTGTAGCTGCCACAGGCCATCTTGTGAGATTTATGACGTCTGCTGTCCTGACATAACAGAGAATTACCTCCCCCCACCCGGCTTAAAAAGTGGGATCTTCTCTCAGCTGGATTTTGATCTAAACGTCAACTTGACAGACCAGCCGGAGAGAGTTGATGGTTTCTTCAACGTCCGGAACATCACGAACAAGGTCGACAGCAGAACCCAACGTAAGCCCCCTACATTGGACTGTGAGGCGGAGTTCAGTGCTCTTCATACAAACTTCTTGTACGTCCGCTCATGTGCCGAGGACTACCAGGGTGATGTGGTCAAGTTATGTGAGGAAGATGTTTCACCTGAGGAGATCACATTGGATTTGATCACTCGTGTTGTAGACACAGATACACAAGTTGTCTATAGAAATAAATTCTGTGCACAGTGTAACAATGTAACAAAGGTAGGGCACATTTAGTTTCGGTGTTTATTAGCTGTAGAGTTTGTAATCAATAAACGGTAGACTAAAAGTCTCATGACATCCCCTCAAGCCTCGACTCTATATTTATCCTCAGTCTAGGTTGGTACCTAATATAGACGCATAAAATAAAAGACCGCCACAGAAACTCCATCTTATCTATGCACTGTTAGACTTACATGAGTACTTAATTTAATTAGCTACTTCAATGTCCTTAAGTTTTGATCGGAACTTTTACAATTTACTTCTTTTATCTACGGAAAAATTATCGAGTTCTGTATTAGTTTAGTTTTAGTAACGAATCGTTTCAACCCTTTATTTCTCTTCTAGATGAGCTATATTGTCAAACCCTCCCTCCCTCTATCTAACAGCCCTCGCCCCTCCTGCTGAAGATCAAATGCAAGAACTTCATGCCCGTCTACAAGGCTACCAGCAGGGACGAGATGTTGAGGCTGGCTCGTGCTGACGTCACGTCCTGTGTCGTCACACAATACTTCCAGCAGGACACGCCCACTGTGCCATGTAAATCGTACCAATACAGGTTGATATTTTTTTTCATACACGGTGTGTTTATATATATACAGTGGCGTCGCTAGGTTGGGTACCTCAAGGTGTCACCACCAAAGGAAAAAAGAATATGATATATATTATTATATGTGATAGCTTTAAACTTGAAAGGGTTCGCATTTACTGGCGAGGATGTTTATCCATATTCGATTATTAATATATCTGAATGTAGCACTGTTTTCTCTTTAGTTAGTAGGTTATGTTATGGTGTCATGCTAATAAAAAAATTTGAAAGCGAATTCCGCGGACTTCCGTAGGGCATTATTGTTGGAATAATAAAATAAGCATGGATTGATAAAGTGCAATATGTTAGGTAAAACACGGATATTTTTAATAAAAAGTAAAAAGGGTTACTATAGTCGTTCACTAAATTGAAACCAGGGCGTCCTCCTTCACTCCGACTTGGTGCTATTTGGCTCCACAGGCCGTCCCGTGAGCGCGATGGCGCCTACGTTTATTTTAAACAATGCGATAGGCTATGGATAAGAAGGGTTACTAAATTCCTTCACTAAATTGAATCCAGGGCGTCCTCTGGCGCCCCAACAGAGTGCTTTTTGGCGCCCCGGGCATCCCCATGAGCGCTATGTTGCCTACGTTCGTTAAAGTGAGTGCAATAGACTATGGATAATTTGAGGTATTATAGTAGTTTACTAAGTTGAATCAGGCGGTTCACCCGGCGCCACGACAGGGTGCAATTTGGCGTCCAGGGCTAGTCAGTGAGCATTATGCGTTTATGTTTGCATTTAAGTTGTGTTTATGTTATGAGTTATTATTTGCGTTTAGGTTTGTGTTTTTGTTTGTGTTTGCGTTTTCTTTTATGTTTGTGTTTGCCTTTGCGTTGTGTTTGCGTTTGTGTTTTTCTTTTGCTTTTGTGTTTGTGTTTGCGTGTTGCTTTTGCGTTTTGTTTGTTTTTTGCGCTGTGTTTGTGTTCGTGTTCGTGTTCGTGTTTGTGTTTGTGTTTTTATTTGTGTTTGTGTTTAGTTTGTGTTTATATATAATCTTCAGCCACCCTACTATAGACCATTGCAACACCAGCTTTGGATCTGACAATGATGTGGCTGATGCATGCCGGGAACTTAGCGGGAATTCTCATCTCGTCTACAGCCGAACCTCCAAGCAATCTTTCACAAACATTTTCTGTGGGATCTGTAATTTGGTAGGTTGTCACAGGTTAACTTGGTAGGTTGTCAACTTCAGTGGCGTAGCGAGGTCGGGTGTCACCTGGTGCGGCACTTAACTGTGTCACCCCCCAGAGGCGTAGCGACCCTTCCCGGCGACAAACTTTCAATTTTCGATTTGCAACCCCTCCCCCCTCAAACTTTTGATTTGCACCCATCCTCAAACTTTCGAACCCCCCCCCCCCCCCCCTCAAATCTTCGATTTGCACCTCTTAAAAGACTATTTAACACTCGAATTAATCACTTAATTAAGTGGAATTATCATTTTTCTCTATATATTTTGCTATTTTTTGCCTTGGTGTCACCCCCTAAATGGTGTCACCCGGTGCAGTCCGCACCCCAACCTCCCCCTTCCCCCTCGCTACGCCTTAGGTCAACTTTACGTTTACCCCACTGTGCAATCCGAGCAACAAACATGACGCCAACAGAAGAAAATAATGCATGTAGATGGTCTAAAAATATTTGATGTGGCGCTTTTCTTAAACTAACCTGGCGGGTGTACAACTATTACAAATCTCTTGTGTCCAACCCCACATCCCACCCCCACACCCCCCAGGTTACAAGATGCATGTACTATTGAGGGAGAGAGTTATGCCCAGCATTCTTTATTTTAATATAATCCTCAACAGCTCACTCTTTATTTATACTTTATGATCTCATCACTTTCTTATGTTAAACACAAATCTGCCGAGTTTTTCAATTGATCACGTGCTACTGACTGCGTCATCTCTCTAGACCAAATGGCCCCGCTACGGGGTGTGCACCTCTCGCAGTGGTAACGGCGAGCCAGCCAATGTGAGGACCAACCCGCCACTTTCACTTCTGCTCAACTTTGGTCGCAGACGACTGGCGCAGTCGCCAGCAGCCGACAAGAATCGTTTCATCAACTGCTCGGCAAACATGTGGCCGTCTCCAGACGTAAGTCACAATTTGTGATGTATGACTTACCTGTTCCCACAATCTATGACGTATGACTTACCTGTTTACAGGGAAGTCAAAACTTTGTTATGTCTAACGTGAAATTTTAAGAAGTGACGTGCAGAATTCATAAAATTACAACATAACAAAAGTCTTTGCGCAGAAACAATACATTTTTTCCCAAGGTACCAATCAGTACCTAATCTTTTACCTACATTTGTAAAGGAATGTTCACTAAATATAGATTAGCAGACACACACACAAAGTTTATACCTACATTTTCAAACGAATATTCAATGAAGATAGAATGACACTCAGCTACGACCCCACTGCCCCCCCCCCCCCCCCACACACACGCACTATTGACACGTATAAAACAGTACAACAGCTTATAACATACCTGTCTGGCACCCACCTGTTTACCTTCCAGGGCCGGTGTCTGGCACTGCGGTGCACCCCGGGCAAGCTGCTGGACAACAACACGTGCTACACCGTGGTGCCGAGAGTTTCTGGCCTGGGGTACAGGCTCAGGCTGTGGCTGGTACCGGAGGGGGACGTCATCTACTCGACCACTAACTTCATCTTTGATGACTCCAACTTTACCGTGTCTATATATGACTCGGACGCTGACTCCAACTCTACCGTGTCTATGTCAAGCCTGCTGGATAGATTACAATCAAAAGTAAGTGTTTTTGGTCCTTTCTTACAATTATTACAATGGACATTAACGAGTTGATGAGAATCCATCAAAAAATATTATTTTAAGAACCAGTTTCAAATGTAGAGAACTTTAAAATATTTTTGTGTGTTAAAGGCTACATTTATATTTATTTATTTCAAGCCTAAATTATAGCCTAAATATTCACTTTCGTAAGCAAACATAGGGTGTACAGAAACTCCGAGATCGATCATCTTAAAATCCCACACTGTAGTCATTTGTATACTAAAGATTGTAGTTAAAATTCTAAAAAAAATTATTATTTTTTTTAACCATATGGCCTAGTTATGCATTGACCTTATAACTCTCCATCATCCATCTCGATCTTCTGCCACTTTGATTTGTTCTGAGACGGGCAGCCCCGTCCTTTCATTGATGTCATTTATCCTGTGACGTCTTTGTCTTCCTCTTCTTCTCTCTGCTGGCACAGCATCTTTTAATATTGTTTTGTATATCGGAATTGTGCTTTTTAAATATACTCAACATTTTATTAATTCAGTTGGTCCATCTGTTGGTTGCTAAAAATCACCCAACATTTTATTGTTTCAGTTGGTCGAGCTGTTGAGTGAGTGTGGAGGTTGGTCGCTAAACATAAGCGCGATCGGCAGACAGCACAAGACACAACAACACAACCCCATTGTCTTATGGGTTGACGGCAACCTGCTGGCCAGCCCGTTTCTGATGAGGGATGAGTTTGAAACCGCCATCACCCAGACCCTCATCAACACCCACATCTCATTGGACATTGGCACACACGGCAACGTCTCTTTCAGAACTGTTGCCATGGTTACGGCTCATGAATACATATTGTTAGACACGATGGAGTCCCCTAGTCGGAATGTTCTATCGATGGTTTCAGAAAATTATCATTCACAAAAAGGTTTGATTGCATATTCGAATTCGTTTCTGAACATTTCCAACCTCCTATGGTGTAGCTATGTGAGCTTTAACAAAACGTCCTACACTATTGAAGTGGACGAGACCAGAGCACCGCCTAAGATAAATATAGAGCTGGATCTTGTGGGGACGAGAATCACTTTCTCGGAATTCAGTGAGCTGAACATGTTGGCGCTTGACGGAGACGGCGTGCTCAACGTCTGCCGTCAACTGCTGGACACAAAGCTCGGTCAGATGGACTTGAAGGCTTCAAGGGTCGTTGACCTCATAGATCCTGACATAGTCAAGGCTGAGTACATCCTAACGGTCGTGCTGCTCGCTGTCTCCATGGGGTGCCTGCTGTTGACCGTCATGACGTACATGTGTTTTACAAAGCTCAGAAGTCGGGCGGGCAAGAGCAACATGTGTCTGTCAGGAAGTCTTCTGTTGGCACAGGGGTCATTGTTGGCCAGTTCACATTTGTAAGTCTTTTGTTGGCACAGGGGTCATTGTTGGCCAGTTCACATTTGTAAGTATTTTATTAGGACAAGGGTCATTACTAGCTAGTTCACATTTGTAAGTATGAACTTTTGTTGACTCAGAGGGCTTGCTACTTTGGCATTCTATAAAACAATTTGCACAAGCGAAAATAAACTACAAATTTGATTTGTCATACACTAACATAATTTTTAAGGCTTATGCTGTTTTTTTTATATCTTCTTTTTCCTTTGAGGTCCTTTTACAAAGCACAATTTCTATACAGCAATTAGAGTCCAATAGGTAAATCAGATTTAAACTCAAACCAAACGTTTTTAATCTGAGATTTGTTAATATTTTTTAGACCTTAATTAATCTTTTAAACATATATTTTCACACTACGACAGGAGCGGCCCCAGCTGGCTGTGTACAGCTGTTGGTGTCTCCACCCATTTCCTGTGGCTGTGGATGTTCACGTGGACGTTCATCTGTAGCTTCCAGATGTTCAGGGTCTTCACCGCCAAGACTCGAGGCTCGGCACTGACGTCACGGGAAGAGACGTGTCAGTTTGTCAGACAGGTCTGTCTGTCACTGCTTGCGCCCCTGCTCGTGGTGACGTCTGTCATCGTGACGTCACTAGCTACAAACGACGACGGGGGTACTGGCTACGGCAACACCGTCTGTTATCTGGACTCCACCCTTCTCATTGGTGAGTTCATACACGATTACCTTCCTTGTGTCGTTGAGATTTAGTTATCTCCCTTTATGTTTATACCCATACGACATACTCTCTTCCTTCTGTGGGTTTTTATTCACTGTTCGCTTAATGTAAAATTGATTTTGTTCTGTTTAAACTGATTTCAACCGAGCATAAATAAATCACTAATTTATAACTAATGTTGATCTAGGCCACTAGTAATCAAATCACCAATTTCAGAACGTAAATCTTTGCAACGTGACGTTTTGCATACTGTAATGATGGTGTACTTTAAAGTTCAAGATCTCGCAAAAAATATTGTATTCTTTGAGATGATAATTGTTTTAACACCAGGTGTCGCCCTAGTCCTGCCACTGTCACTCATCATCGTCACCAACTTGACGTTTTTCATCACCACTGTCGTCATCATCTACCGTGTGGGCCAGCTGCAGTCTAAGGACCACGCGAGACGTGAGGACCGCAAGAACCTGTTTGTCTACGCCAAGTTGTCCTCCATGACAGGAGCCTTTTGGATCTTCGCCATCGTAGCCGAGGCCACTGATCTTAGTGCACTCAGGTAGGGTAGCTATTTATTTCTTCATCTTAGTGCACTCAGGTAGGGCAGCCATTTATGTCTTGATCTTAGTGCACTCAGGTAGGGCAGCCATTTATTTCTTGATGTTAGTCCACTCAGGTAGGGCAGCCATTTATTTCTTGATCTTAGTGCACTGAGGTAGGGGGGCCATTTATTTCTTGATCTTAGTGCACTCAGGTAAGGCAGCCATTTATTTCTTGATCTTAGTGCACTCAGGTAGGGCAGCCATTTATTTCTTGATGTTAGTCCACTCAGGTAGGGCAGCCATTTATTTCTTGATCGTAGTGCACTCGGGTAGGGCAGCCATTTATTTCTTGATCTTAGTGCACTGAGGTAGGGGGGCCATTTATTTCTTGATCTTAGTGCACTCAGGTAAGGCAGCCATTTATTTCTTGATCTTAGTGCACTTAGGTAGGGCAGCTATTTATTTCTTGATCTTAGTGCACTCAGGTAGGGCAGCCATTTATTTCTTGATGTTAGTCCACTCAGGTAGGGCAGCCATTTATTTCTTGAAAGCCCGCTCATTAACTGTACGTATGTTGAAATGGTGTGTGGGTATGTGTTCGTATCTGTATGTTTGATAAATGTGAGCGTGTTGCTTTGTATGGCTGTTTGTCGTTGTATGTAAAGTTAAAGTTGTGTGTTGGTAGATGTTGTAGTTGTGTAGTTGTGTGGACTTGGGTCTGGGCGCACGTCTGCAGTTGTGCATAGACCACAACATAAAGTAAATTGGAATACAGCAGTCTAAGAAATAAAACATTTTAGGTTCCTGTCTATCGTGATGAACGGCCTACAGGGTGTCTGCATCTTCCTCTCCTACACCTTCAACAAGCGGGTCCTCAACCTCTACCTCGTCTCGGCTGGACTCGAACCTCTGCCAACCAGCAGGTTCAGCTCAGAAATCAAGTCAAGGACTGAGTCGACAAGCGTACGTCATTAAAGAGTTGATGACGTCACTTGCCCTTCCATTTTGTGAAAACGATATTCGAAACCCAGAGAAATATTAGAAACCTTTGTGTTGTTTACTGTTTAGACTTGTAGGCTTCTAGTGGTTGTATGTAAGAGCCACCACACAGTTTAGACTGTTATAAATATCTTTTAGCCTTTTAAACTCTTTTATGATAAGAAAGCGATCATAACTGCGAATCATTGCAGCATTTTTTTAAAATATATATTCGTGTCAAACGGGCTAAATTGAACATAAAAACAATTTCAACACTTATTTTTACTTTCTAGAATACAGAGTATAGAGAAACTATTGTAATCGTGCGCAAAAATCACATGAACGTGTGACAGTTTTCATCGTTTCATATACGGAGTATAGTGGACTAATTTTAATCAGGCAAAAATTATAAATGCAGATGTATCAAAATTTCGGTGTTTTATGCGTAATCGAGTCGGAAAACACTGGGCTTTGCAATTCTGTCCGTATATCTCTCTGTGTGTGTGTATATATGTGTATATATCTGTGAACACGATAACTTGAGTACCGTTGATGATATTTTATATGCAAGTACTATATCAAATTTTTAGTTCTGTATTAACTTTTCAGCGATTTCCGATACCGGAAGTGGAACTTATTCTACTTTTGGTTTTTCAAAAGAATATAACTTGATTACTGTTTCTGATAGATAAACAAAATTTCACATATAAGTAAAAGATCTAATTCTCTGCCTTCTGTCAAATTGTGAGCTATTTCCGTTGACAGGAAGTAGTATTTTACGCTATTTCCGATTTCTTAAAAAACGCCAAGGAAGTTTATAAAGTACTAGTATTCCGCACTATTATACACATATCGTTAGACGTTCACTTAGTGCGCAATTCTTGTTTCTACGAAATTCTATTCTATTTTAAAAGGTAAGTAATTAAAAATGAATTAAAAATCATGTCTTTATCCCGAGTTGCCATCCCCCGTAGTTTTATATAAGAATATTCGAGAAAGTTTAGCGGAGATCACTCCAGGTTTATTTGTAAAGATATTCGTGTCAAACTTGTTTGCAACGGGCTAAATTGAACATAAAAACAATTTGAACACTTATTTTTACTTTCTCGTATATACGAAGCATAGAGAAAATCTTGTAATTGTGCAAAAAAAAAATCGAGATTTTTGCAAATCTCGACCTTTTACACCTCCCTGAGTCGGAAAAACATAGTTTTGCAATCTTGTCCGTATTTCTGTGTGTATGTGTGTCTGTGTGTGTGTAAACACGATAACTTGAGTACCATTACAGCTAGGTTGGTGAAATTTCATATATAAGTAATATATCAAAATTGTAGATCCGTATCAACTTTTGAGTGATTTCCGATAAACGGAAAAGGAACTTTTTCTACTTTGAATTTTTCAAAAGCCTATAACTTAAGTACTATTTCATATAGATAAATGAAATTTCAGAAGTACGTAAAATATCTAATTCTCTGCCTTCTTTCAAATTTTGAGTAAATCCCGTTGACCGGAAGTAGTAATTTTCGCTATTTCCGATTTCTCAAAAACGCATATGAATTTATAAAGTACTAATAATATTCCGCACTATTATGCACATTTTATTTGGCGTTCACTTGGTGTGCGATTCTTTTTTCTATGAGATTTTATTCTATTTTATAAAGTTTACGTAATTAAAAATGGATTTAAAAATTTCATAAAAAACGTTCTAATAACAAGCTTTTAATGTAATAACGCACAAAATAGTAGAAAATAAATTGAACACTACTATTTAAATTACTGTAAAGACCCACGCTTTTCTTTATAGTAATTTAAATAGCAGTGTATAATTTATTTTCTACTTTTTAGTGCATTATTACATACAAGTTAGTTATTAAATGTTTTTTATGAAAAATTGTTTTAGTACTTTACATGTTTTATTTACAATATATGACTAAAAACCATTGCGCACCTATTGAACGTAATGACACCCTATTGAACGTGATGAGACAGCCTACTAATTTGGACAAAATTTTACTTAATTTTTAAAAAATTAATCAGGCAACCCATTAAGTCAAATTTAATATCATGTTGCATTGTTTTGATGTTTTGACCTACGTACCAACTACGAACCTTATCTGTCAGTTAGAAATGCCTGCAATTTCGCTCTGCCGTTTCCATCTAGACAGACAGACTGACGACAGACTGACAACAGACTGACGAGAAAGTGAGTTAAATAAAAGCTTGTAAAAATCATGTCTATATCCCGAGTTGCCAACCTCTGTTGTTTTATTTCAGAATATTCGAGAAAGTTTAGGGGAAATCACTCCCGGTTTATTTCTCAACAAAGTCATGTTTGAATTTTTCACCAACAACGTCATTTCTAATGTTTGGTATTATTTACCAATAACGTCCTTTCTCATGTTTGAAATTTTTTATACCAACAACATCATTTCTCATCTTTGGTATTTTTCACCAACAACATCATTTCTCATGTTTGGTATTTTTCACCAACAACATCATTTCTCATGTTTGGTATTTTTCACCAACAACGTCATTTCTCATGTTTGATATTTTTCACCAACAATGTCATTTATCATGTTTGATATTTTTCACCAACAATGTCATTTATCATGTTTGATATTTTTCACCAACAATGTCATTTATCATGTTTGATATTTTTCTTGTTAGTGTCTGGTGGTGTACTACTAACATAAGAACTAAAATTTTGTTAATAAAACAACTGGACCGTCTATGTATGACATCTTTAGTGCTTTTTAACGACAAAACCAATAGAATTGTTTGGATATCAATAAACTGTTTAACGACAAAACCAATAGAATTGATTGGATATCAATAAACTGTTTAACGACAAAACCAATAGAATTGATTGGATATCAATAAACTGTTTAACGACAAAACCAATAGAATTGATTGGATATCAATAAACTGTTTAACGACAAAAAACCAATAGAATTGATTGGATATCAATAAACTGTTTAACGACAAAAAACCAATAGAATTGATTGGATATCAATAAACTGTTTAACGACAAAACCAATAGAATTGATTGGATATCAATAAACACTAGCAATACTGTTACATCTTGCTACTTTTACTCAAGTATTTTGTTTTAAATAAAGAAATGTTAGAATAAGCATGAATGGAAACTAAAATGCTTTCTGCAAATAATATTACATCAAGAATATTTTTTAAATTGTTACACGGCTTGTAAATTTTGGTGAAAAACAGCTTGCTGTAGATTAATCTAGTTTACATAACTACATTTTAAATGTATTTTCAAAGGAAAAAAAATTATCATTTGGTAGAAAATTTAAATAAAATCATTTTTGGGGCATTTTCAAGATCTAAAGCCCTTTGAATACTTTTACCATGTTTGGCACATAAAAGTAAAAATTAAACAGCAAAAAAAGGGTTGAAAAAATGTTGATTGTAATACACTTATAGCAATACAATTTAAACTTACTATTTCAGTATATATTAAAACTTTTGTCACGACAACTTTTTGAAATAGCTACTTGTAAGAATTTTACAATGTCTAAAATATCGTACCCTTTTTAATATTCAAAAGTTTAAAAATTTGTATATTATTTACCGTATACTTTTTCTTAAAGAAAGCCATCACAATTCCCTCTTGACAAAAGTTTTATTTTTGCATGAAGAGCAATTACTGAAAATTTAGTGGCCATTGTTTAATAATAATAAAAAAAAAAAGAAGTAGGCTTTTTAGTGTTAAAAACCTGCGAACTGAGAAAACAGCAAAAGGTAACGAAAAGTAGGACACGAAAATACCATATCTGTGTAAACTGCAAATCCGATTGTAAGCTTTGGGTGTTTCCGAGATGTAGGAAATTAAGATACATGAGAAATCCAGCTTTTCAATGATGCCAAATACAATATGATGATGGATATAAAACTTTTCATAGAGAGCTTGTAAGATTGGGAAAAATTGATTATTTTTTTTAATTAATAGGGTCATAAAAATGGTATTTTAAACATATATAAAATGTTCTCATTAATTATTTTAATACGAAAATTGACAAAGTATCCAAAAGTGCAAAACAAAACATTATGACGAAAAATCAGATGATTTTTTACTGAGCATGTCCCCTTAAAAGTAGTGAATTCTATTTAATACAATTATTTTCCTCAATGCACCTGTTTAATTAGCTAAACTAAATATTTTTCCACGTGTCAATGGTGCCCTGTACCTTGGCGCCCTGTACCTTGGCGCCCTGTACCTTTGTGTCTGTACAGTTGCCAGTCCTGGAAGTGGTAACAGACCTGAAGTCTGGCATCACCCCAGACCCTCCCCTCCCTCCCCCGTATCCCAGCTGTGACAAGCCAGTCCAGGTGAGGTAGAGTTGAAGCACGCGTCTGTTGGCCACATAGGAGAAGAATATAAAGACTCCCTGCAGCCCGTTCAAAATGATGGAAATAAATCTGTGTGAAAACAAATGTTAGGTAAAGAAATTTGAACCAGTGAAGTCGTTTGTTCTATTCTACTAGGGTTTATACAAACTAAATTAACTTCAAAAATAATAATTTGATGGACCTTTTTCTTTCGGTAACAAAAATATAAAAACTGTCAAGAAAGGAATAGACAACTCGTGCCCTTACCTCAGTACATCTTCATCTGCTATCTCGGCGAGGATCCCCACGATCCAAAAGGCCCCTGTCATGGAGGACAACTTGACATACACATATATATCATTGTGGTCATCTGGGACCGCAGGTTTCAACATCCCGCGGACTTGGTGGATCTTCGCGACAGTCAGGGCGAACATCACGATGTTGCAGGTAGTGGCCAGTGAGGCGGGTCCAATCATAGTCACACCTGGTCAGGGGATAGCACAGGTGATAGATACACCTGGTAGACAGGTGATAGATACACCTGGTAGACAGGTGATAGATACACCTGGTAGACAGGTGATAGATACACCTGGTACACAGGTGATAGATACACCTGGTAGACAGGTGATAGATACACCTGGTAGACA